TTTGATCCGCAATGTAGTTAACGTGAGTTCCTCCCGAGGTGGTAGCAATGGAGTTAACAAAGGACACCTGATGGAACGAGCCGTCCGAGACTGTAAATCCGATCTCCCAGTGAGGGTCTGGACTGCAGGTGATGATTTCGTCCTTGGCGTTGGTGTCCTCTTCGCCCCGTTCACGGCGGATGGCCTTGGTGTACATTTCCATGTACTTCTTGAAGTTGCGGACTGGGATGCGGCTACCATTCAGCTTAACGGCGACCTTGGCAGTTCCTGCCAAATCGTAGACACGACGCTTGACGAGAGCTTCAAAATCATCGTCCATACCCTCCATTCCGAATCTGGCGTAGTCCGGCTTGAAGGTAACCTTGGTGTAATCGTCGCCCTTGGCATCGGTGATCTTGGCCTTGCCCATCTTGGACATGTTGTTGGTCCAGGTCTGCTTGTACTTTTTCTTTTGACGGGAGTCTTGAGTTTCGATGGTGAATTCGGTGGAGAAGACGTTGCAAAGCTTGGCACCGAAACCGTTACGACCACCGGTCACCTTCTGCTGGGTGTCATCGTAGTTGGATGAGGTGAGAAGATGGCCGAAGATCAACTCGGGAACGTAAATCCCTTCTTTTGCATGAATCTCGATGGGAATACCGCGACCATTGTTCCAAACGCTGATCTCGCCCGACTCGCGGTCGATGGTCACACGAATCTCATCCATGTTCGCGTCATTTTGCTTGTTGTCAGCAGCGTTGACGACGATTTCGTCAAAGATCTTGTAGAGACCGGGCACATAAGAGACCTCCCTGTATTTCATTCCCTCCATTTCGGAATCGTACACCCACATAAGCTGAGTAGTTCGTTCGACGGACCCGATATATGTATCAGGACGTTTGATAATGTGTTCAAGTTGTGTAAGCTGGTAGATAGAACTAATTAGCACGCTTCCTCTACATAGTGGTGTGCAAAGAGGGGTGCAAAGTCAACAACCGACTCACCTTCTGGTACTTCTCTGACGCATTGGTGGACTTTGCAGGTTGATCGCCAACATCCCCTCCAAATGATTCGTTCTCCACGTCTGCAAGAGGCTTCGAGCCTCCTTTCTTGCTAGCGGGAGCCTTTTTGACCTTCTTGGGAGGTGTCTGGGAAAGAGAGGAGTCGTCGTCGGCGGACATTCCCATGTCGTCAGACAGATCATCCTCACTATCGGGCTTGGATCGCTTTTTTGACGCGGTCGCCTTCGCCGCTGGCTTAGCTGTGAGTTTTGTTTGGGTCATTTTCTTTGGTGCCGCTTTCTTGGGGCCGCCTTTGCCTTGGGTTTCTACGAGAAGACAGGTGTCAGCACGAGCTGTCTGGATTGAGAAATTGTCAGGTTTTTGAGAATTCATACCGGCGCAGGCTCAGGGACGAAGTCGGAGCTACCGTCGTCCTCAAAGACGGAGCCCTCCATGATAGAGTCATCCATGATGAGGGAGTGTTATGAAAGACTCGAAAAGCACGAGCGGAGAAATGAAGCGGAAAAGAAGAGGCAAACCCGGAAGGTCAACGAGCGACAAGGGGGTAATAGGACTGAAGAGATGCCAGAGACTAGTCTAAACCTCCGGCATGCTCGTAGAAAAAAGGTGAGTGAGATATGCTCACTGCTCGTTGTTGTGTTCTGTAAGTCCTGATTACCCTGTTGTTGACGCGCGCTGCTGCGACTCCTTTGTTGTTTCCAGAAACTGTCATGAGCCACGCGGAACATTGTTTTCCCCAGCCGGATGTGGCGCAACAGCAGCCTAAAAGGGAAATTCACAAACAAGCTTGCTCAAAGAGGAAGGCGGGACCCAAACAATTCCAGGAGCGTCGACGGGGAGGGGAAAACAATATCTGTGACTTAGGCTCACCCTGAGCCACAGTGATACCGCCAACCACACTGAATCCGCCATTTTTCGAATGAAATCATCATTTTGAGGCTACACTAGGGGCTATCAGTCTAAAAAAGATGACTATTCTTATCTGCTGCATCTGCTGATGCATTTAAGACCCCATTCTCTTATAGATTTGGTGGTGTTGTGGGTCTACCATGCACTTTCTCCTATTGCTTTTATGAACATCCCTCTTGCGCAGCAGCATCTTTGGTCTTCCTCGAAGCGATTAATCAATTAACATCCTGTAATTTCAGTATACCAGTCTGGCTAAGAGGCTTAACCTGCTGCTTAGTATACTAATGCTGTAGAGGGGCCTGCGCGGCCCTGATTCAACTAATAGTTTCATTCATCATAGCCAGGTGCTCATATACTAGCCGCGCTGGAGCATCTTTAATCACATTTGCAAGCTGATTATAGTAGACCCACAACACCACCAAATTTATAAGAGAATGAGGTCTTAAATGCATCAGCAGATGCAGCAGATAAGAATAGTCATCTTTTTTAGATTGATAGCCCCTAGTGTAGCCTCAAAATGATGATTTCATTCGAAAAATGGCGGATTCAGTGTGGTTGGCAGTATCACCGTGGCTCACCTCCGCGTTGAGGGTGAGCCTAAGTCACAGATACTGACCTATGCTGGGACGAAACCTTGGTTTCGTATCTCTTTCTCAGCTTGTTTTCGGAGTGCATCAACGGAAAGTCTCCACAGGTCATTGGGGTTTCTCCCAGCGGGAGTTTGGCTGCCAAATAGCTCCCCTATGCTGATGGGTATCAGTTGAGGAGGACTGCGCGGAGGAGGGCGGGGGAAAATCTCCTGCAATGACACTGTTATTTAATGATTACAAGAATTGGAGGGGAAAACCCCGTACAAAGGTAAGGGGCGCTGGCTGATTCTTCCTCCAGACCTCGACACGGCCCTTTATTCGGGATTGAGCTAACAAGGACCATTTGATGAGGATGACTACATTAACGTGGGCGGCGGCCCCCACTAGCCAGAGATCCTTGTCTCTTAAGAGTCGAGGGTATGATTCGGAGTAACCGACTTCGAACACAACTGTGGGTAAAGGGCAGCTCTCTGGCTGTATGTAGGCCTCCGGTTCTTTAAACGACATAGCGTAGGGAGGGGCGAAGGAATCAAACCCTATACTTGGTTAGATATTCAAGAAGCAAAAGAGGACGTAACATACTGGTACTTGAACTCATAGTAAGGGTGTCATTCTCGCAGGCACTGAAAAACCCCGACTGGCCAGCTCGAAAGAACTCATTTTTCAGCCAAGGAATCACGGACATATGTAACCCGGTTGGCATCGTGACATGGAACTCCTTGCTAACGGAGTTGAAGTTAATATAAACAGACCTCGCTTCGATCTCCTTATCGCAATCAAGACTGATTGCGACCAGACTGCCAATCTCAGGCTCGATGTTGGTGTATGACAGGAAACCTGGCCCATTTACGGAGAGAATGTCACTCTTCACCTTCAAGAAGAACCTTTGAGGAAACTGAGTAGGGTCAGTCGGAGTGCGGCTGCGCCGTGGTCGTGAGTGCATAGGATCAGTCGACATTGTGTTAGTGTCTGAGGGAAAGTAAAGAGCAGAGTAAACAATATGATAGGAGTGATAGGGAATAACAGATGAATAAAGGGAAAGGTGAAAGTAGTGAGAGAGAAAGCAAATGATATCTAGTTCTTAGGGCGCTCAAGTAGTGAATGAAAAAATGAGGCTATTAAAGTAGTGAATGAAAAGTGAAGTTATGATGATATAAAATTCAAAATTTAGCAAACCTTCACCACAGGGCATCATGCGACCTCAGTATGATTAATCAAGTTATTGACTTTCTTTACTCCGTAGTTACCAGCATAGACAGCATGATGAGATCATGCTCCCCCATGGAAACACAAGCTGCCTGCCGCCGTCTACGTCTCCGCATCTGCTAAACCTCGACAAGGTTGAGATCGAATATACTTTCCCATATATTGTTCAATGATCACCAACCTCGCGGACTTATACTCAAACATCTGATTTGAGAGTATTTTGTGTTCATTATTCTCCGACTTCGCTGCCACCCGCCGCAGGGACTCAATACTGAGTTTCTAGTGCTGAATAACAACATCTAAGAAGACTGGGGTAGCTAGTATCAGCAGCGTAATAGTGTTAGGAAGTAGCTTAAGAGTAGCAAATACACCAGGGGTTGATATGGATGAAGTTCGGGACTTTGACGCCTTGAGACGCGAGCTGAAGTCATGGACTAGCAAGTTATGCGTAGGGCAGTACTCTGTACTTGTTGGCTCTCTGATGCGACATTTCACTATCAGTACACTAATGTGCCTGAGCAGCCTTGCCAATTATCTAATCACTAGTCCCAATTTTCAAGATCTCGAAATTATCAGAAACAGAAAACCAGAAGGACCATCCATATCCTATCCCAATTCGACCGTGCGCCTTCCGGAGCGCATGGACAATGTCGCGGGCATCATCCCGACCGCTGGATATCGGATTGACCACCAGTATGGGGTAGATACATACCTAATCCTTATTTCTTTCGACTCAGTAATTCATACCCATTCAGGGGCACCAAAAGTCAATCCATGGGTCAAAAATCCCCCGTGCGGAGAAATGACTGGTACTGGTCTTATGGGCCTGACTCTGTGGCCTGCGTGCCTTGCAGATCAGTCTTTACTCCAAATTCAGGGATAACAGTAGACGACATACTCCGTACTTGGATTCTTCCACTCACGAAGCCAAGACAATCATCTCCGTTGATATTGACACCAGCAATTGGGAAAAGACGTATAAACTGAAATCATCAAGAATAATTATTGACCCGGGATCGACATGGGCGAGGCCTTGAACCGAACAAGATGGATGATTCGTGGTTTTCGCGTTTCTCGAACACACCAAAGTGGGCTCGGGCTGCCCCTATTTCATCAATTCATCCTGTCATATCCCACTTCTGAGTCTAAGGCCGTCCTAGCATTGCTGCTAGCCAAACAGCGCTGTCCACTAAACGGGTCTAATTCATTATTCTAGTAACACCCTGAGGATCCACCGTCTAGACTAGGAGTCCATAGACTCTAGTAGTGTCCTTGACATTAGCTTAGGGAGGAGCCTTGAAACACCACCGCTACTTCTCCCACTTCCCTCGACTCCTGATGTACTGTTTTTTTCTCTCCCAGTTGGCTTAAGGTGACACGAAGTCAGTGTTCACCACGTTCTTTCTGCTCTCGTTTTTAGAAGCGATGCTGCCGTTATTGGCGGTTTATCGACCTCTCGTTCAGCTCATTTCTCCTTATCGCCCTCTGGTTTTAGGTTAATCCTCTGCGGGTATTCGAATTTCACATAGATACTGGCTGCGATCTGCAATTGAGGCCTTTTTTGACCGATTAATTGTCGACGAACTGTGATTGATCTGCGGTGGAACATCCACGATCGAATCCTAATAAACAGCACATCGACAATGGAGAGCTCCGACCCGATCGCGTCTCGCGCGCATCCCGCGGACAGCGTTCCCGACAACGATGAGCCAACGCATCCGAACCATACCGATTCGATGGTGACGGTCCCTTTATCCGACGTACAGTCCAATTCCGAGCATTCGCAGCCCGATTGGCGGACGCTTGATATTCCTCAGACACCCGTCGAGTCGACTTTGCCTGGGGAGGAAGAGACATATGATGAAGCTAATGTGGAAAGGGAGACAACGCCGACCCAGGGCTTTGTGAAAACAGAGCTTGCGACGGATTGTACCTCGGCGGCTCCCTCTGTTCGGTCCCGTAGCAGCGAAGAATATGAACGGGGCGATGCAGTTAACTGGGAAGAATTGGATAAAACAGAAGAGCAAGAGCCCCGTGGTGAGGGATCTGATGAATCGACTGCTCTTCTTTTGGCTCGGTTGGAGCAGGAGAACAATGCTCTAGCGACGAATCCCAAGTCTGTGAGCCAGCACCGACTGCAGACAAGGGCGTCGCGAGCGCAGTCACTCCATCAAATCAAGCGGCTGATTAACGAGGACCCTCGATCGTCTCTGCGATACTCTCAGCTGCCTCCTCCTCCCATGACTGAGCTCGAGTTCTGGGCTGCCTTGGTCGCGGATTACCCTCAGACTGCCCAGCGATTGCCGACTTTGACCTCCAATAAAATCCGCGGGGTATTCCCCCGCCGCTTCGAGGCGTAGTATGGCCTAGCTTGGCTGGGGCTCGAGATTCTTCATTACTAGTCGAATATGAAAGGCTGTGCGGCGAATCAAGTCCGTACGAAGGATTGATCGGAAAAGACATTGGTCGCAGTTTTCCTAACGTGGAAATGTTCCGTGACCCCCACGGCGAGGGACAGCAGATGCTGGCTAGAGTTTTGAAGTGTTTCAGTCTCTACGACACTAAGATCGGCTACTGTCAGGGGCTGGGATTCGTCGTCGGACCCTTGCTGATGCACATGACCGATGCGGAAGCGTTCTGCGTACTAGTACGGTGGGTTTCCACTCAAATACTATTTCTCGAGGCCCGAGCTGATTGTAACAGGTTGATGGATCACTATGATCTGCGGACATGCTACCAGCCTGATCTATCGGGTCTCCATTTGCGCGTCTATCAGTTCCAGAACCTCCTTGCCCGCCACCGTCCCGCTTTGTTCGCCCACCTGGAATCCTTAAATGTGGAGCCGATCTATGTGTCTCAATGGTTCCTGTCCTTTTTCGCAGTATCCTGTCCTCTTCCCATGCTTCTTCGCATTTACGATGTCATCTTCTTGGAAGGGGCCTGTGAGACCTTGATGCGTGTCGCCTTGTCGCTGATGCAGAGGAACGAGAAGAAGATCATGGCCTACACTGAGTTTGAGGATGTGATGCAATTCTTGCTGTCGAGAAGTTTGTGGGATACGTGAGTCTGCACGACCTTAGAATTCCGGTGCGAACTGACTGGTATTCGCAGATACGCTTGCCATGCCGACGACTTTGTCAATGACTTTGTCTCGCTGACATCGCTGGTCACCAAGGAAAGTTTGCAGGCGTTGGAAGCCAGCTATAATCAATCGCAAGGAATGCCGACCGGCATCACTTTCCCTCAGATGCAGGCCGCGGCGTCGAGATTCCTGGGCCGATTCTGGGCGGGATCCGGCTCTCAGACGAAGTCCTTCAATCTCAACCCCAACAACGGCAGTATGTCAGCTCGCGCCAGTGTCCGCCGGTCCGCATCCAAACAGAGCATGACATCCACGCTCAATTCGATAGAATCAACATCCGATGCGAGTACAGCTCCGACGGAGCTCTCAGCAGAACCACCCAAGCCACGGGCGAAGTCAGCCATGTCGCACAACAAAGACCGTGATCTGCACTCACAGATCGAGGATTTGCTGATGGCGCTAAGCGATCTCCAGCGGCAGCATGCGAATCTTACACGGGAGCTGCAGCAGGAGCGCGAGGAACGGGAGGAGGACCAGGAACTGGCGAAGTCCATGCTGAACTACATCAAGGAGGTCGAGGCAGATGACCCGCCAGCTGAGCTGATCAGCAAAGCGGAAGAGAGATTCGTGGACGCGGCCAACGCGAAGCGCATTTCGATCCCCCAGACGAAGCAGCAACTCCGTGAGGATCTCAACCGGTGGAAGGAGATGCACGAGGTCGAAGCGGGCCGGTGTCTCGACCTGACGCGTCGCATTGACGAACATGAACAAGAGAACTCGTCGCTGAGAGAGCAGTTGCGCGAGGCTCGCAGTCGCATCCAGGATGGTTACCGAGATCGCCAACGCCTGGAGAGAACCATCCGGGAGCTGCGGACCATCAAGACGTCGACCCCCGACTCACCACCAGAGACATTTGGCTCGCCGACCAGTGACGCCGGAGAGAGCCGGTCGCCCAGCGGGCTCCGCGAGCTCAAGCTGGGGCGGTCGAATTCGCAGAAGAGCACGACGTTCAACAAGAGGTCGAGCAGCCTCGGACTGCAGTCGGTCCTGGCGACGGAGAACCACAAGCCCGCAGCGGAGGAGACGCTGCTGCTGGAACTGGTGAACGCCAAGACGGCCGAGGCGGTGGCCAAACAGGAGCTGGAAGAAGTCAAGGCGAAGCTGGACTCGTTGAGGAAGATGATCGGAGGGCAAGGATCATTGCAACGAAGCGATTCGCGAAATTCTTTTATCGGCCGGTCCTCGACGAATCTCGCCAAATCAGCCACGGAGCCGGTTAATAGTGGAGGAGGATTCTTCAGTGGCTGGGGGCGTCGAGCCGTGTCTTCCAACGATTCGTACGCAGAAGCCAGGTGATTTTCGGCCTGTGGCATTGGTGTCTGGCATGTTGGATAGGCGTTTGGTTTTTCATCTTTTTCAAGTATATGATACCTTGTATATACCTCACAGATTGTACTAAATTGATACATATATCCACTGTCCGATCATACAGAAAAGTAACTTAAGGTAACTATGTAACTACCGAAAAGCAGCCCAAGCCTGCAACGCCCCATAGCCGCAACAACCACCCCATTCGCCTTGACCCCCTTCTTCAGATACCACCCGGCACTCACCCACACAATCGCCGTCATCAACGCCGCAATCCCCTTGTTGATTGGCTCCGCCAGCAACGCCGGATTCTGCGCCCAGTTGTAATTGATCATTGCTGCAGCCTAGCCTCAGTCCTGGCATCTTCCCAGGGGGATAAGGAATAGGACAAACCAGTCATGAGGAAAAAGGCACTACCCTGGTACCAGCCTGCCTTGGCACAGGTGTAGGCTAGATTAGGCAGTTTGTGGAATTGAGGGAGGGATTGCCAGTCCCGGGCTGAGATCTGAGGCATTTAGTATGTATGTAGATATGGACTCTGCAGATCCAGATGGGATGGGAATAGGGGAGTCTTACAGTATGGCCTACGGAGACGAGGAGCCAGCCGATGGAGGTAGCTTTGAGCGGGGTGGAGGTGGCTGAGAGGGACATTTTGCTGGTGAGGTTTCTTCCTTTGAGTGTGATAGTGTGATTGATGTGGTGATGTGGATGTGGAAAATAGGAGATGTGAGATGGTGTTGAGATGAAGGGAATGGCGATGTTGCCAAGACCGAGTTCCTCGGCTCAGGATGGTCAGGATGGTCATGATCATGATCGTCATGATCGTGGTGTTGTGAGCATACAGACAACTGTTTGCATTTAGGGATGTTTATCACTCTATAGACTGTGGACACTATAGATCAGTAACTGGTATACTGTTTGCAGGAGCTTATTCTCTGTATGAGGCTTACCGTGCTATTGTACTCCCTTCTGGATCCTCATACATACATTCCGCTCTGGGGCCTTTTGGGTGATCCCGTTTCGCGGGGCCGGCGCCTCGGGCGGGCGTCTACATGGGGAGAGCTTGACAAGATGAATTCTGCCTGTCTGGTTGAGTGCTTGAAATGCCTTATCTTTGAATTTGGAAGACATCGTGCATATTCTGAGATCAGTGAAGAAATGACTATGTTCCAGGCTGATGTCTGCCGGGAATTCTGTGATCCTATCAAGATGATCGCTATATCGACTACTGTGGATAGAGGACCTTTGTATAGAAGTCTTTAGCCTCTGAATTTACCGCACCTGTTGATAAGAGCTGATCATTTCCTGGTTTATCGCCGGAGGGCCTCCGATGCGGGGTTGACGTGTTCGCGGGGGAGGATATCTTCATCGTGCGTTCAAGAGCATCTCTTCAGATCCAAGCAGAATCAAGATGGTCCTCGCAAAACCGGAGAATAAGCATGTCCTCAAGGCCTTTGACCTCACGGGCAAAGTGGCCGCTATAACTGGTAAGTTGCCAATGTAATGCATGGCGACAAAGCTAATCAGATAGGCGGCGCTCGTGGCATCGGACTGGAAGTTTCTCGTGCTTTGGCTGAAGCAGGTGCCAATGTATGTCTCTTTATTATTTGTCCTCCCTCCTTATCATGAAAAAAAGGCTTATAGTCAGGTCGCATTGATCTACAACTCGTCCAAAACTGCCGACACAACCGCCGCGGAAATCGCCTCCGCGAACAATGTCAAGGCCGCAGCTTACCAAGCAAACGTCAGCAACAAGGCCGAAGTCGAGAAGACCATCCAGCAGATTGCCTCTGACTTTGGAGGACTCGATATCATCGTCGTCAACTCGGGGATAACCTCGAACGTCGCGGCGGAGGACTACACAGCCGAGCAATGGAAGGAGATCATGCAGGTGAACCTGGACGGCGCGTTCTACACTGCGCAGGCTGCCTCGCATATCTTCAAGGCCCAGGGACGCGGAAACATCATCTTCACGGCCTCTGTGAGCGCGACGCTGGTGAATGTTCCGCAGAAGCAAGCTGCGGTATGTTTTTTCTCGTGTGTGCAGCTGCAGCGAGATTGCTGACGGGAATAGTATAATGCCTCGAAAGCGGGGGTGGTGCAGCTGGCCAAATGTCTGTCTGTCGAATGGGTGGATTTCTGCCGGGTGAATTGCATCTCTCCTGGTTTCATTGAGACTGATATCCTGGATATCCATCCCAAGGAATGGAGGGAGAAGTGGTATAGTATGGTCCCTGCGCAGCGGTTTGCGGATACATACGAGCTGAAGGGGGTGAGTTCTTTGTTTTCCAGGTGAAGCGTAGCAGTGCTGATTTGGTCACAGGCGTATGTGTTTTGTGCCTCGGATGCGTCGAGCTACATGACGGGGGCTAATCTTGTGATTGATGGGGGATATACTCTTCCATGATGCTTATGCTCTCGAGTATGACAGGATTCACATTGTAACTCCGTGATTGATAGAAAGCACCAGTGTCATAACCATGAAGCGAAGGGACTTGTCAAAATGATGCAAAGTGAACGGCTAGGTCAGTTGTTTCTCTATGATTTAGGTAATAACTCAAGGTGATATAACCTATCAAACGAGAGGCAAACGACCAGCTGTAAAGGACTGGTGATGTAGCGCCGTTAGGTGGGTAGTCGAAAGACAAATAATGGTTTGTGTCTGTAGGCGCTGGGATAATCTCGTCGTCCAAAATGTGTAGGTCTCAACTCATGGGCACACAAGATACAATAACCTCGATAATATACCACGGACTAGCACTAAGCTAGATTTAGCAAGATTCTTGCATAGAGCTTGAGTACTGGGAACATACCTGCTAGCTCAGCTGAAACATTCTGCACTCCATTAAGCGCCGTCATCGACGGCGTTTAGCCGTTGGCGTGGTCAGCATCCAGCTCTTGCTTTGATCAAATATGATAGGCTCAAGTCAAGAGCAGACTTTTCCCAAGCATTTCATAAAACAACCCATCTTTGCTGAACCAAATGACTGGCTAAGAGTGCTCAGTGTAGATCGGCGCTTGAGACGTCTGTTTAAAGCTAGCCATCCCTCTATTACCAGACACATAAGCACGTAGAACAACATATAGGGAGATAAAGAACTGCAGGTACTCGAATATCATTCTTGAAGTCAAGTTAGATATCAACAATTTATACACAATGGACACGGGAAAGCAGACAGAAAAGGAGAAATTGAATCTCCTCTCCTTAGACGGCGGAGGCATCCGCGGTCTCTCCTCCCTCTATGTGCTCAAGGCTATGATGGAAGCAATCGATCCGGACCATCCGCCAAAACCATGCCAAGTTTTCGATATGATCGGTGGGACAAGTGCAGGCGGGTGAGTTACCAGCAAAACAGCCCAGCCAATGCTCTATGTCGCATATCATAACACCAACAGATTAATCGCTATTATGCTCGGCCGCCTCAAGATGGACGTGGACCAATGCATCGACGCATACGTTCGGGTCTCCCAGCAGGCTTTTACCAGGAAGAACTATGTACCCGTCACTCTACGGGGTAACTTCAGGGCGCGCTTCAACACCGAGAAGCTCGAACGGGCTTTGAAGACAGTAGTGGTCGAACAGGGTCTGGACGAGGATGCTCTCCTCTGGGACCCTGATACGTCCTGCCGCGTCTTTGTCTGCACGACGAAGCAATTGACTGGGAATGTCACCAGCTTCACGAGCTATTACCATTTACGTGGACAGAATGACTTGTACAAAATTTTGAAGATCTGGGAGGCGGGAAGGGCGACTTCCGCTGCGCCGTCGTTCTTTGATCCATTGGTGATAATCGATCCGCTGTTGGGGTATAAGCGGGTGTTTCTCGATGGTGCGCTTGGAGCCAATAATGCCGTTGGACAAATGTGGCTCCATGCTGGGGATTTATGGGAGGAAGACCTGAAGAGTCGGCTGGGATGTCTGGTGTCTTTGGGTACTGGCATGCGGTCTGAGATGAACTTTACCGGGGGATTCATCCAAGAGCTTAAGCTGAGGAAGCGTATTCTGACGGATACGGAGTTTGAAGCAGACACATTTGCCTATGAGCATTATGATCTAGTTGAGGAACATCGGTACTTCCGATTCAATGTTTCGAATGCGTTGGGGGATATTGGACTGGGGGAGGTAAAGAAGATGGACAAGATTGTTTCCGAGACGAGGAGGTATCTTGCCAATGATGCTGTTCGCGAGGAGATTGCGCTGTGTGCTGCATCATTACAACAGAGGCAGGTTTGAGTAAGATAGAGCCGTTTCCTGTCCTGAATTTGCATTTCTATTTTGTATCAATGTCACCTATGATGATGTGTCTATTATACGTGTATTGACTTGGAATGAAACGATAGCTATGACTATGAACAGAACGTCGCCGGAAATCAACTGACACGAAGGCGTCCAAGTTTGAGACCTATTACCGTATCGTATGAACCCTCCAACAGAGAAAACGAACTGTGGGGGCATTTGTGATTGGCATACCCTGGCTGGTAGCTGTCCCTCCACTTCGGGGCAACAAATGACTGGACGGATTTGGTCAAGTCTGTGACATTGCAACCCTTGTAATAGAATTTGACCTCTGACTCAAGTAGACCCTTTTTGTGCATTTGCCCCGTGAGAGAACCAAGCATGATGGGCCTACACTCGAAGTTGCAACCTTTAATTCCTGTCAAGAACGCATCACGTTCTTGCTGAAGTTGAAGAATCACCTTGCATATAGCCTGTTGTCTTTTCTGGTTCATCTCGTCTAGATCCCTGGTCAGCAATCGTTCTTATTGAGAGGATTGGCACAGACTTACAAATGATGCGCGCTGGAATCGGCAACTCCAGTGCATTGATCTCATCTTTGCTCTGCGACATGGCAATCGAGGTCGCCTTCTTGAACTTCATGGGCATATTGAAGTACCAAGAAATCCATAGCCACAAAATCAAGTTCCGTGAGTACATATCTGGAAGTTCTTCCCGCAGACAGGTAATCCACGCATCACGGATGAACCCCACGAGATCGTTGCATTCATAGTAGTCTGCGAGAACAGCGATCTTAGCAGCGAGCTCGAGGCTCACCCTCTTTGGGAGTTTGTGGTGCTGGCAATGAAGAATTCGAAGGAGAATCAAGAAAGCCTCAACATCCCAGCCCTCAGTGGTAATCTCGACTGATCCGGTTCCAACAAAAGTTGAACCTTCCTTCCATTTGCCAGTCAGGGGTCTCTTGAACACGGGAGAGGCCAGCATTAAGTGTTTTGCTGACACTTGAATATGGACGTCGACTTTACAAGGTATGCCGTCCTCCCCTTCGACAGACCCGTTGACAGGCTCGTCACTCGAAGCAACAGAGCGGCCATCAAACGTCAGTGTCAAGACGGGGCCCACCTTCTCAGCTACTTTCTCTGATTCTTCTGTAGACTGTTAGCCTGTATATGATGAGTAATAGTATTTTAGTGACTCACCGGAATTCGCAGGCTCTTCAACTTGAGCACTGTCATCCTTCCAGACCGCGAAAGGTGCATTGGGATTATGCACGATAATGACCACTTCGCCGTCTGGGTCAATAATATGAGTTTCCTCCATGGTGATGTTGTAGTCGCTTTGAGATCTGCTTCTAGATACTATAGACAAAGGGAAAGATCTTTCAAGCTGGGAGGCAAAGGATAAAATAGAAGATCAATGCTTTCGGCAGTAGCTTTAAATATGGAGCTGACCTTAGGAAGATGTCTGTCTAGTAGTCTGCAGCTGTGTAGTAAGTATAAATAGTGATGATGGTACCTGGGTGTTCGTATCATATCCAACTTGCTTTCACCTCATCAGCTAAGAGGCTCTTTTCATATCCGTCACTTGATGGAAATGGGAAGAGTATCGCTTAGATTGCTCTCACAGGTAAGCCTGCAGCTTGCCTCGCCACTGTTGTTTTAATCTTCCGCTCACTGCCAGGATACCCAACCCGTACCACGCCTCTATCATATCTTCCACCGTCTCATCAACTTTGCATTGACAATGATCCGAATCATCCCAACGCCACCACCAGCATCTCAACGTACTTCTAACTCTTCAAATTCTCTAATGAAGGTCGAAGATAACTCTCTACAAATCCAGCTAACATATCCGTCCGCATAAGCCTTTAAGGCTTGCGTTTCGTTTCCCCGCAGGGAAGTACTCACCTCCCACAGCCAATCCTCCAGCGTCATCTGGCCGACGCTTTTACGTCCGTGTTTCCCTCATGATCTGAAACAAAATTGATGGCCTGATCCTTGATGGAAAAACCTCCTCTCTCAGCTCTTTCCTTCTCAGGCCGATGCCGCACAACACCACGCAATAGAAAGCGCTCAAGAACCGCGTAGAATGCAATTGTCCCTTAGTTAGAAATGGAGGTGAAGGCAGATTTGAGGATGACGCCGAGAACATCCGCAGGTAGACGAAAAGAGAAACCATTCTGTCCATGTCTTATTCTTGACTCTAATGGTGACGCCGCTATGGGATTTGATGTTAAGGTAGAGGAGGTGGATTTCTCATATCGCGGAGGCAACAGCATTGGTTTGCTGCTAAAGTCTTGCTCATCGGCCAGCATGCTCTTCTTGCCACTGAAAGTTCCGATGCACCCGGATCGACATGGAATTCCTTTCATTCCTTTCACTGTCGCTGCCTTCGCCTCCCGCGAATTTGGTCCCTTCGGCGGGCTCCGAGTTTGTCGTCAAGATTGCTTCGTCTTCTGTAGGCCGGAGAATCAAACGTTCATCATTGCTCCTGTGCTGACTGTCGTCAAGGGAGCGTAAGAGACGATGTTCATCATGGCCGCCTGAGACACGCTGGATTTGTGCTTTACGCTGGAGCTCAACCTCTTGAGACGAACTCGCGCCGAATTTGCCTGCTATCCGAGAGGACCCGAGGATGCGCTTGAGAGCTGATTTGAGAAGAGGCTGCAAGGTTGGAAGACAGGCGCAGACAATGCCGATACACGGTTCCACGCTGGACCAGATGAATACGTCGCCCATGTTCCAGGTGATGTCGAGAGATCTGCTGAGGAAGGTCATGAAATAGATGCGGATGACGCTCGCGACGCAAACACTGCAAGTGTTAGCGTACCCCCGTACGCATTCATCAGGGACAGGGCAACCTACAATCCTCCCAGTAAGAAGATACCGGACACCAGGATCTTCTGTGCCGTTCGCATCTGGAGTCTCCAGACCAGAGGGATGGGAACCATTAGGATTATACCATCCGTGGCCACGTTGGCCGCCGCATTGCCGATGTAGAAAGGGTACAGGTTGAAGATACATTCCCCCCGCCGGGGTCCCGATACTGTGTCCAGTAATATGATAATGGGTCGGCAACAGACAAGGAACGCAATAGTGCATGAGAACCAGTAGCCGACGGTCAAGAACGCACAAATCCACATCACCCAGTTCATGCCAAAGATGCGGCGGTAGAACAGGATGATAGAGAGCTTGATCAGTGGAATAGCAACGACATAGATGAGGACATATGCAAATAGAAGCTGTGGAATCAGCCCATTCGTCTCATCTATCGCACACGTTTGGCGGGCCATACCTGCATCACGACGATCACATTGTCCAACTCGACCACCCAGACATGTTTCCCAAGGCCATAGTAGCCCCCTGAGATACGTTAACCTTCAAGCACCTGTTGCGGCATCAAGTATGGGGTTACATACCCACAATGGTGCAGACGAGATTCGCCGTGACGGGGATCTGTTTTCGCTCAGTATGCCCCAAAAGACCTGTTCATTGACAGAGACGTACAAGTGATACACCAATCAACCAGTCATCTGCCAGGACATTGGCATGCTGCACCTTTAGCCTGGCGGTGATTCGTAATGCAATCGCAATGATGGCGAGAATGTACAGTGCGATGACCGTGGCATTGTTCCTGGGCGTGTGGTTTTCTTTGAGGTCTATGCCTGGGGAAGGCTCACCGAACGGGCTTGACATCGCAATTGAAAGTGTCTGACAGTCAGAAGTCACGAACCTTCTGAGAGACTGAGGAGCACATTTCCCAATTGCGATGGATGAGCGAGGGACATGACTTCTCCCTTGAGATTGAGATCTCCAAGGCGGAAAACAGGCATCACCAGAAATCTCAACCTCTAGTGAGTCTGGATCGATATAATGTCTCCTATCTAACATCCTTGTATACTCTCCACTTTAATAATCAATTTGCAGGGGTAAGAGTCAGTCCACATGATGTTCCTCCTGTCAACGCGCACGCCGTTTCCACACGACGATGTCTCCGCCTGGACGGGGGCATAGCACGCTTTAGGGCGCCATGGCACCATTAGTACCAAAAAAACGGCCCATATACATCCCTGCGGTGACAGGGATAAACCGGCTCAACATACAGGACAGAATGCCAACTTGGAAATAGAAGGCAGGTATCTTGGTCTTTTGGCCCATTACCCCTGGAAAGTGGAAAAGGCATTGGCAACCCGTAGCCCAGCAGCTGTTCAGCGTTTCCACCTTGACAAATAAACGGCTGTTAAAAGGAGCCACTGAGGGCGCATACAATCTAACAATATAGGTTGTGGAGTGCATACCCTACGTTGCACTGACCCATTCTAATATGTAACACTGTCTAGAGTACTCCCTGTCAAGCGAACTGTCAAACGATCATCCAATCCACTAAACATACTAATCATGCAACTAGCCAACTGGCTCTATTTCTCCTCCCGAACTACTCCAGACTAGACGTCCGTTCCCCCGACGGTCCAGAACAGAAATAGACAGGACCCAGCAACTGAGATTCCCTGAGCGACTGGTCTCGAAAGGGGTCGATGACCGACATATATCCCCTTAATCTACCCCGCGTCCGATCATGGTCGGGGAAAAGTGACAATACCAGCAAAATGCCTTCAAATGAATCATTCCCAGTCTCAAACGGCCACATCCAGGATGGCTGGTCTATTGACCCAAGCCAGTTCGCCTTTACGCCTCGAAAGCTCCGGGTGGTTTGCATAGGTGCGGGCTTCTCGGGGTTGATACTGGCGTACAAGCTGAGGCACGAGAGACCAATAGACTTTGTCGATTATACTATCTACGAGAAGAATCCAGAGGTTGGGGGGACGTGGTACGAGAATGTCTATCCCGGGGTTGGATGGTTAGTTCTTAGCTTTCTCTACGTTGAGACGATCCGCTGATGATTCTGGCAGTGACATTCCGGCCCGTAGGTTTTATTCGCATTTGTTGCTGCTTGTTCTAATATCAAATAGATAGCTATGTCTTCCCCTTTGAGCCAAATCCGAATTGGTCCAAGTTCTATGCCAGCGGACCAGAGATCCAGGACTACATCGTCAACACGACGGACAAGTACGGTCTCAGAGACAAAATCAAATTCAACACGAAGCTTCTACGAGCGGTTTGGAACGAAAGAGACGGAAAGTGGGAACTCACGCTGGAGCAGGCAGGTTCGCTCATCGAGGACGTGGCCGATGTTGTCCTGGATGGCAGTGGCATCCTAAAGTGCGCAGCTATTCCTCCGGCTGGCAAGTACGAGGCTGACTCGGGACAGTCAATGGAAATGGCCTCATGTCGAGGGCCTGGATTTATTTCAAGGAAAGCTCCTTCATACTGCCCGATGGTAAGCGCTACGATAGTTCGCTGGTGCTCTGTAGCTAACAATGTAGGGATCCGGATTACGACTGGACGGGAAAGAGAATTGCCGTTATTGGTAACGGATCTTCTGCTCTGCAGATCGTTCCAGCACTCCAGCCAAAAGCCGCAAAGATTGTCAACTACATTCGTCGCGCGACCTGGGTATCCACGAATCTCTGCGGAAATCTGACCAAAGATGGCATGGGGACGAACTTTGAATTCACGGAGGAGGAAAAGCAGCGTTTTAGAGATGACCCTGATGAGTTTTTCAAGTACCGCAAGATGATCGAGGACTCGTACGTTCGTCTCTGGCAATATTAGAATTGTGCTAATATCCCCTCAGGGTCAACTCCGTTTTCCGACTCATGCTCTCCGGCTCCGAAGAGAACAGATTCCTGTTCAAGCTCGTCGACAGCGTTATGCGAGCCCGGCTGTCCAAGGACCCAGAGTTAGCCGACAAGCTCATCCCAAAGTATGAAATTGGATGCCGCCGTCTCAGCCCCGGAGACGGCTACCTCGAAGCCCTGCAGGCAGACAACGCGGAGATCTGCTTCGACAGCATCCAACGCATTACCGAGACCGGTATTCAGACAGACAAAGGCGTCGAGGAGTTTGATCTGATTGTCTGTGCAACCGGATTCAACACCTCTTTCATTCCTGCCTGGGAGCTCGTTGGCCGAGACGGACGACGTCTTGACGAGGAGTGGAAGGAGAAGCCCGAGGCGTACTTTTCTGTCTGCGCGGCCGGTATCCCCAACTACTTCATGTTTGCTGGCCCGAACTGCCCCATTGGACATGGCTCGGTGCCGCAGATGCTCGCCTGGACGGCCGACTACATGTTAGATTGGGTTCAAAAGATAGCAAGCGAAGATATCAAGTATGTCTGTCCCTAGTCATCACGACATCTACTGACTACGCCATCTACTGACGTATCCAGATCGGTCGCCGTTAAAGACTCCGTCGTCCGTGACTACAACATCTACGCGCAGGAGAATCTGAAACGCGCAGTCTGGTCCAAGGGCTGCCATGCCTGGTATAGCAACAAGAACAAGGGAGAGGGTGTCACGGTCACCGCAATGTATCCGGGAAGTGTCTTGCACTACAAGGGTGAGTTGCTACTGCCTTTTTTACAAGAATGTACTGACCATGCCACAGCTGCCCTGAACACTATCCGCGGCGAACATTTTGATATCCGGTACAACACGACCAATCCGTTCCGGTGTCTCGGAAATGGGGAGCTGGCTTTTGAGCGAGGGGAGGGAGCGGATCTGGCGTTTTATCTGAAGTAGACCGTACAAAGAGTACACTCTTCTGAGATGGGAAACGAAAAGATTGATGAGTATGCTTAACGGGGCTCTTGCAAGTATGTGCCTTGAAGATGACACTATGGGACCACTGGTTGAATGCGATGACCGAAGAGAAGGGCTTCCCAGCTGCACTAGGTTCCTAGTCTACCATTCAATTGCTCATGCAAAAGATGAAAGTGCATGACTCCTTAGCAATCACCTCAAGACCATATCTTGCATTCGGGTCTTTTCAAAGGTTGGAGGCTGCCTAAGGCACATCCTCTGCCATATGACGGTCTTGCCTTCTTTTCCATTGCATCTCGGGCCTTCCTCGTTCTTAACCTCCACCACCGCGTTGCCGGTCTGATCATTCCTTTCTCGGGAAGCGTTCAGATCGCCCTATCGCTACTATCTTCCTCCTTTCCTTCAAGTTTATCTTCTCCACCATCATAATCCGCAAGCCCGACAACAGTTGGTAGGATAAAAACAGTCGCGTAATGATGTAATGCCTTGACGACGAATTCCATCATCACCAGGAATACGGAGAAACTCTAGCCTCTCCGCAATCTCCCCTTGAGATTTCGAAGGACTCCGGAGCATCCCAGCTTCCCCAGAGACTCGCGTCTGTCTGAGGGAGTCCATTTCAGTCAGCCTCGGAATGCAGATCCGGCTCATATTGGCCTGGCCACGCCGCAGATAACAAGCTCGGGGTGAGCGACTGCTAGGTTTGAGGAGTCCACGTCCCATTGTCCCCGGGGTACAGTTGCGCCCTATCCTTTTCTTAATCGCGGAGGCAAATGCGGAGAACGATTGGCAGTCGACTGCATTACCCTCCCCGGACGTTTCCTCCACATCCAAACGCTCGGTGAAGCTTGGTAGAGCCTACCCTGGCCTATGGTAGCGTGACGTCAAACCAATCGGAGGCAAGAAGGTGACAATCGTAGTCTAGGCCGGCCGCGAGAGGCGATTCTCGTATGGCAGACCCGGACGCATTTAATGGGGAAAACCCCCATTCTGATCGAGGCTAGGACTCATCATGAGCGCCGCTCGCAACCTTCTATTGAACCATATCCTCAATTCAAACTCAATGCACCATGTCTGCCTCCCATGACTCTCATCCCGAGTTCAACGTTTCCCAGGAGCTTGGCTTGTCTGATAGGGAGAAGCAAGAGGCTCCCGACGGTACCGCAGCGCATTCGCCTGCGTCTCAGTCTAGAGCCTGCCATGGAGAGGAACGGCAGAAGGAAGAGGGAGCCGATAGAGCGGCTGATGGACGGGCCGATGGCAGGGTAGAGTTGAAGGAGAGTGACTGTTATGATAAACTGGGGTTTTCCTATCCATCGTGGAAGAAATGGACAATCTTGACGGTCGTCGTCATGGTTCAGATTTCCATGAACTTCAATGCCAGTTTTTACGCCAGTGGAATCACTCCAATTGCTAAACACTTTCACATTGCAAAACAAGCCGCAAGAGTGGGTCAAATGGACTTCCTCATTGCCTACGGATTCGGTAGCGAGTTCTGGGCTCCCTGGAGTGAAGAGTATGGGAGATGGCCCGTCATGCAACTCAGCTTGTTTTTCGTGAACATATGGCAAATACCCTGCGCCCTAGCTCCCAATTTCGGCACCATCGTGGTCTGTCGTGCGTTGGGTGGTCTGTCATCTGCCGGTGGCTCTGTGACGCTCGGTATGGTTGCGGATATGTGGGAACCAGATCGGCAACAGTACGCTGTGGCGTACATTGTCTTTGCATCGGTAGCAGGGTCAGTCGTGGCACCCATCGTCGGAGGCTTCGTAACGACTTTTCTGAGCTGGCATTGGAACTTCTGGCTCCAACTCATCCTGGGTGGCTTCGTCCAAGTCGTGCACTTTTGGGTGCCGGAAACGCGCTGCAGCATTCTCGTGACGAGAGAAGCTAGAAAGAGACGCAAGCAGGGAGAGGAGGTGTACAGTGGTGATGAGCTCAAAGGCAAACGGGTTGACCTCAAGTACTTTGCGACTCTCTGGGCTCGTCCGTTCGTCATGTTCGTTCGGGAACCCATTGTGCTATGGCTTTCCCTCCTCAGCGGGTTCAGTGACGCCTTGATCTTCACTTTCCTGCAATCCTACGAACCTGTCTACAAGCAGTGGAATTTCAATACCATCACAATTGGGTTGGCCTTCATTCCGTAAGTCTCTCTCGACGATAACCCGCGGAGCAAGTGCTTGCTGATTATATAAAGGATCATGGTCGGATACGTTCTGGCTTGGTTCTCCTTTCTGCCCTGGATTCATCGCCATTGCCGTGTGCTTGAACGAGATCCTGACGCGCTCCAGCCTGAAGTCCGCCTATACTGGCTGCTCTGGGGTAGGTCTCTTCTCGCTTCTCCATTCGCCTGTCAACTCACAATAGTATTAGTTGCTCCACTCTTGACGATTGGTCTTTTTGGCTTCGCATGGACCAGTCTAGGTCCGAAACACCACGTCCACTGGATAGCGCCGATGATATTCTCTAGCTGCATTGCGATAGCGAATGTAAGTTCTCCTCAGCACTGCTGGACTTGTCTTAACGCAGAGACAGTATTCCATCTATATGGCCACGATCGACTACATGATTGCCTCCTACGGACCATACTCCGCCTCAGCAACCGGCGGCAATGCCCTAGCACGAGACTTCCTTGCAGGCATCGCAGCCATGTATTCCGTTCCAAGTAAGACCAGCACCACTTTTGAAAGATATCCAGGTGCTGTGCTAATAATTGCGAAGTGTACAAATACATGAGCAAATCACTCCCCCTGGAATGGCCTTCCACCCTCCTCGGCTTCCTATCCATCATCTTCATCACCCCGATCTACATCTTCTATTGGAACGGACCTAAAATCCGTGAAAGGTCCAAATTCGCCCAGATTCTCGCGTCCGACAGGAAGAAGGCCGGACGCCGGGTCTCTCAATGCGGTTCTGGCGATGCCGGTCCCGAGGAGTACTACTTTGATCCATGAGACTGGACCATTTAGTAGTTTGGAATTTGACCTCGTATTTTGACACTCGGAAGTTCTTTTCGTGCGAATGTTATATTGACAGCTGAAAGGAGAATTCCGGTAATTGAGATTGGCGAAAATGGTGCCAAATGGGACTAACAAGCTTGTGCATTTGAATGCTTGATCTTTGCATTTCATGTTCTTGTTCATTCGATTACATCGCATGATATTTGCATCAGCTTGGCGTATTGGTGACACTAACTTTGATAATCGGAGCGAATTTGTTTTCTAGGCACCTGGTATCGCCATCAATCGTGATTTCGACTTTTCTTTTTCTGGTAGAAGCTGACGCTATTCTGATGTGCTCGCGTAGATCGGGGTTGATTTCCGAGGTCCGAAATATTTGATTGCCGGGTATGAACCGGGATGAATTTCCGGTTAATGATGTCACCCATTTGTGCACTGTTTATTGTAGTTAGCCAGGCTGTACTGCACTGACTCCTAGACCATCTTTTAGGACGCGCAGACTGCGGCTAGAATTAAGAGTATGGACACGATAGTGATGCCGTTTGATATAGTTGTGTCGTGCTATGGCGGAGGTATATGTGTATCGACGGCACCATCCAAGCCGTTATGGTTGGAGCCATTTCCGACCAGAATCCGCATCTGTGCAAGTCATTGATTTGAATAGCCGGGCAGGCTTTCTGCAGCACTGATTAGATTAGTCCTTCTCCGAGACTGTGTAAGGCTCCCTAGAGCGTCAATGACGTACGGCCCACCAAGTAACTGGGGTTGACTTCAGTGTGTTGCACGAATACCCAATCAACCTCGCAGACAAGCGCTTTCACGTTATGGTGGCCGATGGCAAGCAGCTTTGCAGCCTCGACCTATCACTGATCCCACAGGCTCTGGAGCTTTTTAATCTGCGAACCAGTCGCCCATCCCAGATCAGCTTCGACGCCGCGCAGCAGGTCTCCAATAATCTGGCGTTCCTCGGGGCTCTCGAGGCACTGCCCCACGGCAAAGAGCAGGGGTATCATGTAGATACGGACACCACCTTGCGGTCTGCCGAGAGCGATGCCGCAGATCTCCTTGCAGCGGTAGTCGACCTCTTTCGTCAGCTCTCGGTAGCCCTGCAGCCGGTCAAAGGCGGTGCTCGGTGCGCTGATCACATCCGGCGGACGGTTGAGTAACAATGCAAGGCGGCCAAATTGATACTGCTGCATCGCAGCGGCGCAGGATGACATGCCGTAGAAGATTTCGGGGAATGGCATCTCGACGACCTCAGGGAGTTTGGATAGATCCTTGGGGCGAGCAAGACGCAGACAGGGGCGGAACGTCTCGGGGATCTTCTCGACCCACGTTTGGAACTCGAAGCAGAGTCTCAGCCAGGCGGATGTTGTCGGCTGAGAACGTGGAGATGTGACGGTTGGAGAGGGTGAATTTGTCGGCGGCTGACCGACCCACTGCTCTACCTGGGACCTTTTCGAAGCCGCCAAGAAGTTGAGGACCTTGTTCAGAAGCCAGATTAGACTGTTTGCTGCCAAGTCCTCCCGTTGAAGCATCATTGGGTTTCGAGTGAGTCCACTCTCTAGCAGGAGGTTTCCTTGATCGTCAATGGGGACACCGGCAGCTCTCCATAGTGTGAGGCTGTCCGGATCAAAATGTGTCAAAGACCGATTGAAATAGGCTCCTAGATAGTCAAAGCGAGCAAAGTCAAAAAAGCAGGCCGCAATCCCATGTGAAAATTGTGGAGGCTCTGCATAATTGTTGTATATTTGCAAAAGACTATCAAAAGCAGATTTGGCGCCATTGAGATGACTGTTCAGAGGTTAGCGAAGCACGCGACTGGAGGTGGGTTTAACAATGCAACACACGATTGCCACATTTCCCCAGCTTCATCCAAGAGCTTGTACGTTGTGAGTATGACCGCCGCGGCGAGTAAGTCTTCCACTTTTCTCCAAAAGGTCCCTATGACTGGTTGCTCCGTAGGAGGTCCATGTCCAGTTTGCTGCGCTTGGAGGTTCAGCCATTGACTGACCTTCTCCACTGGCGACTCCAGGACGGCTGTGCTAGAGACAGCTGAATAGGCATCGGAGACCGAGGTGTTGATGTGAGAAGCGGCAAGATAGTAGTAATTCGCAGCTTTTAGGAACCAGTCCACCTGAGCGGAATTCGGGTACACCTCCATTGTCGGGGGCTGGTAAACAGTCCGCCACCGGCCGGAGATATTACGCCTTTGACTCTTCCCAGATGCTTCGCTGCCAGAGCGGCGATTGCATACTTGAGACAAGGATCGTCAATCGCGCGAACTGGAACGTATGCTGAAAAGAACTTTCCAGAGTCCGAGATGTCTAGCCTGAGATGAATGAGCACAAAGTGTAGCTGCATGAGAGTCTCTTTACGAACCATGATCCCAGAGTCGCTGAGAAGTGCCTCGTAAGAAACGCAAGCTCGTGCTCAGTACCAGTCATTAGCTCCGAGAATATATCCTGAAACTCCTCTTCCTCACCACGCTGCGAGGGACTTTTCGGAGAGTTCAAGTGCGTAGCAGCAGTGGATTTCTTGAGCTCGCCGTAGAGACTATTTGGCGCGGCGAAACCTCCAGCTGCAGTCTTATTTGGCGAAAATGAGCTCTGTGCGTTGCTCCGACTGGAAGCACTCTGTTGGTCCGAAGCTGCCATTTCGGTTGGCCCAGCCTGTACTGCGGCTTGATTCACAACCTCGGCCATGCCGTCTGTTTGCACGGGTGGGTCTTGCACGGTTGACACTAGCTCATTTGGCGTTGAACGGACCGCTAACTGAGTGGCCTCGGCAGTCCCCAAGGCCAAGTTGGTGCGAGACTGACCTTGGTCGGCAGTACTTTGCATCACATTTTGCTCAAAGTCTGTTGAGTGAATACCCGCTACCTATCTTGGTATGAGACGTAATCATAAACGAGCATTAGGGAAGCGTGCAGGACTTACACCCTCCTTCGATTTGGCTGCATGCGGCTTTGAGTGAGGTTCACTGTAAGGTGCATATCGACGCCTTACAGAAGCACCTTGGTCTATGAACTTGCGAGTTTGGACATATCCAGGGCACTCCACGCCAGCATTGGTACAACGCTGGCAGCTCGGCCGCGTTTCATCGCACTAGACAGGTCAGAAAATGCGTCAAATTGTCCAACTGAGCTCTTGAAACACACCTTGAGATGCCTCTTTTTACAACGCTCGCAAGCCTTGTTCGACGGTACCCCTGGCATTGTCGATCTTTGCTCTGCGGCATTCAATTTGCGGGAGATGACCTCTTCTTTTACACGAGACTGAGGGTCTCATCTCAATCACAGCGACGAAGATGATGAGAAAGTTTTAGGTCGTAGATCAAGGAAAGTGCGTGGCTCGGCCAAGGAGTAAGGAAAAGCTTAACCGTCAAGGGATCTTGAATTCTTGATCGATTATGGACTGGGGCAAGTCGAGTGACGTGCGTCGGCGCTCGTTCGGATAAAAATCGGCAACTCATTCGGCATCGGCTCACCGCCCGGCAGTATCCGCCCTTTGGCTCCGAGAGTTTTGGTCTTACTGTTTTATAGCATTTTGTAGATTGACTCTATAGAAGTATTTCTTTTCAAAAGAAGTGCGGACCTGGTTGCTGAGATGCTGAGAAGGTTGGCTAGCCAAGACGACCCTAGTCAAGCTCGTGCAGTTCTTGACAGGTCACCAAACGAAAAGATCGCAGCAGACCATGAGGCATTGTTGCGACTGCTGGGCCATCCGGTACCCTTGAAAGTCGATTCTCATGTGCTTACAGATAATGAAAAGAGCCGTATTTACACGGATTGGATCAGTTAGTTCGTCACCAGCTTACCGACTTATAGAATCACTAACGTGTACACGTGATTGCAGAAGCAGGGAAACCTCACAATTTGGTCTGCTCAGAGTGTCGAAGTCCAGATGATTTGATGCTTTGCGAGACTTGTTGTAGGTCATATCATGCAAGATGTCTGTCAGATCCTGTTACAGCTACATCTACAGGCAATTTTTATTGTCCTTCTTGCAGAGACAAGCGATGGGATCAGATGCTGCCTCAAATCAGCTCATTGGCGGCTTCACCAGATGTCTCTCGGAGCAGCACACCTGTTCCACATCCAGCTATAATGCATAATCGCACAGGTCCGGCATATGCCCTGATTGTACAGTCAAGTCCGTCTGTTCATTCTTCGCCCGTTGATAGTCAGCAGCAGCACGCACAGAATGTGCTCAGTATGGCATCAAACTCTGACATCATGTCTCGAGCGCGACACTTTCTGATTCAGCATGGGAAGTTTCCTACATCTCAAGATTTTCATCCCGAGCTCTTGTCGAGTTTGGGGACAATGATGTTGGAGCTAGAGGCCCAACAGTTGCTGCTTCAGGAAATTCAGGACTTGCGAGAGGAAAACGCCAGCTTGAGAAGAGAGGCCCTGAAAACCAAGCCTCACTATGCCTCTCGAATGCCAATAAATGAAACTGTCCTCAATTCTCCTTCTCAGCTGGCTCCAAGGATTCAGACTCCATCTCCCGATACGGCTGGAAAGTCATGGGACAGAATTGTCATGGATTTGATCTGATCTGTTGGCAACCTTGCTCACGAAATCATATCTTTTATCATTGTTTGCGGCCGATAGGCTTTGAGCGCCCTCGGGAGGTGTGCTAGGTCACAACTGCAGAGTATGCATGCGAACTTTGATGAAAGTAGAGTGAAACTGTCCGTTGCAGAAGAATGCTCATTTGCAAGCCGACATACATTCACCGTTTCTGCTCGACAAGTTTTGAGTCAACAATGAAGAGACATTTGGCCGTGTCCTGAACAGTCGTGTCGTACATGGCTGGGACAGACTGCGATCATCACAGCCATAAGAGCTACAATTGTTGATGCGAAACCATTTGTCAACAGTTCAGAACCCACGCTCAATTGTGTTGTCCAGTGCTAGGACCTCAGTTGACCCGTTTTTGAGCCGCGTCAATTTCCTCTTCCAAGATTAAAGAACTCACTCTGAGCAAAAAAGATCCATCTCGTCAAAGTGACACCGGACACACGCCAGATGCAGTACTGTTGCATTCCTCCGTCTTTCTCCTGTAGATAGCCGGGTTTTCAGCATTATCTGCTTGCACTATCATGCAATGCGGGCGTTAATTTCGCATCGAGAGAGCAACCAGGTTCTGCACAAGCTTCGGTTGGTTTCTTGAAATGATTTCTCCGCATTGCAGCTACTAGTGACTACTAGTTGGACTATTTATGCCACTGCATCTTCCCGAAAACCCCATTGGGAAGTTCTCCCTGCAAATCCCGGCGGCCAGAGCCAGTCCGCTGTACGCTTTTTAGCATTAACATGAGGGGTGCATCTGGACCGGGTGATGATCTCAATGTGATTGCTACGTTGTAAGGTTACTACAAAATACAATGTGACATGGAAAATGAGGATTTGGACGTGGGGAAGGGGTTTAAACGTTCCTTCCCAGCCACCAGCCCCTGGAATGCTTGAAGCCTTTGCCAAAGCCTACACCGCGCACATCGAAACTGAGGTGGTTTGTTTCCTTCATTACAAAACAGAGGATGCCTCAGTGTTGATTACATTTTGAAAGCTAGATTGTTTCAAAATGGTAGCTCCCTGGTCGAAAGGAGTTCCACTAGCCGTGCTAGGTGCACTTGTCGCATCTACATTCGTGCATGGTCACGAGAAGAGAGATCCGAGCTTTGACGTGTTGGACTATGTTGATCCCTTTATCGGCACGTCAAATGGCGGCCATTCCTTCGCCGGAGCGACTCTGCCCTTTGGCATGGCCAAAGCAGTAGCAGACACGCAAGGCGAGAATCAAGCTGGCTTCGCATATGACACCCAGGTCGTGACTGGCTTCAGTCATATGCACGACAGCGGAACTGGAGGATCCCCATCCTTGGGCAATTTCCCCCTGTTTGCTCATGCGAGCTGTCCGGGGGATGACCTCAATCAATGCAAGTGGCAGCAGCCTGATCGAGCGGTTGCGTGGGTGCCAAACTCCCCCAAAGCTCGTCCGGGGTATTTTAGCATCGCTTTGGGGAATGGTGTAAATGCCGAGATGACGGTGACGAACCGGTCAGCTTTGTATCGGTTCAAATTCAGCGGCGCCGCCGGACCACTCAGCCCGGTGATTCTAGTCGATTTGATAGATCTGCCCTTGTCCCGCACGAACGGAACCGCTTCGGTGGACCCATCGACAGGGCGATTGACCGGTAACGGCACTTTCAATCCGAGCTTTGGGATAGGCAGCTACGATCTTCACTTCTGCGCTGATTTCAAGGGCGCCGAACTCCGTGACACGGGTGTGTGGATGAAGACCCGGGCGGGTACGAACCAAACGACAGTCTCGGTGACTCCGGATGGGACAAACAGTGCCTCGACACTTTCTGCTGGGACCTTTGCACGCTTCCATGCTCCGGCTGACAATACACTTCTGGCCAGGGTCGGGGTGAGCTTCATCAGCGTGGAACAAGCATGTTCCAATGCGGAAAGAGAGCAGCCGGACTTTGACTTCGACGGCACGGTATCTGCGGCCGAGAAAGCATGGAGAGAAAAGCTGGGGTGATTGAGGTCGACGCAGAGGGTGTGTCTGCCGATCTTCAGAAAGTGTTTTGGAGCGGAGTGTACCGTACCATGATCAGTCCCCAGGATTACACAGGCGAGAATCCGCTGTGGCAGAGTGAGGAGCCGTACTATGACAGCTACTATTGCATCTGGGACTCGTATCGCGGGGTGCATCAGTTGCTCACACTGCTAGACCCTCTGTCGCAGTCACGGATGATCCGAAGTCTGGTAGATATTTACCGCCACGAGGGATATCTCCCTGATTGCCGCATGTCACTGTGCAAGGGATTCACCCAGGGAGGCTCCAACGCCGACGTACTCATCGCTGACGCATACCTGAAGAACGTCAGCGATGTGGACTGGGTTACTGCCTACGAAGCCGTGGTCAAGGATGCAGAAGTCGAGCCATCCAACTGGAATGTGGAAGGCCGAGGAGGACTCAACAGCTGGAAGACACTTGGGTATATTCCGACCGACGACTATGATCCGTATGGGATTGGCACGCATACGCGCAGTGTCTCGCGGACGGTGGAGTACGCGTACAATGACTTTTGCATTGCGGAGCTGGCCAAGCGGCTGGGCCACGACGCCGACTATGAAAAGTACATTCAACGCTCGACAAACTGGCAGAACATGTTCAAGGTGGATCAGAGGTCGTACATCAACGGGGTGGACACCGGCTTTAGCGGGTTTCTACAGCCGCGATACCTGAACGGAACATGGGGATTCCAGGATCCAATCTTTTGCAGTCCGCTGTACAACTTTACCTCGTGCTACCTCAATCCGGCTGGCCACGAGACCTACGAGGGGAGCTGCTGGCTCTACACATTGTAAGTGTCCGTCCTTCGTTTGTGGAGCCAAAAAAACAAAAGTTGGCCGCTGACCCCTGCCCTCAGCTACGTACCGCAAGATATGGCCGCCCTCATCACCCGTCTCGGCGGTCCAGAGACATTCACATCGCGACTATCCTATCTGCATGACTCGGGGATTCTCTACGTTGGAGACGAACAAGCTTTCCTGCCAGTTTTCCAATTCCACTACTCCGGCCGGCCAGCGCTCTCCGCCTCGAGAGCACACTTCTACATCCCATCCCAGTTCAACGCAACCATCCCAGGAATCCCAGGGAACGACGACGGCGGCGCCATGGGCGCATTCGCCGTGCTGAGCATGCTGGGTCTCTTCCCGGTGCACGGGCAGGACGTCTACCTCATCACCCCACCATTCTTCAAGGAGGTCAGCATTCGCAACCGAATGACAGGTAAAGTGGCAACCGTGCGAAACACCAATTTCGACCCTAGCTACAAGGCGATATACATCCAGAGTGCGAAACGCGATGGGAAACCATGGACGAAGAACTGGATCTCGCATGATTTTTTTGTGGAAGGGGGCGTTCTGGAACTTGAGCTGGGGGCGAGCGAGAGTGCATGGGGACGCGGGTGGAGGATTTGCCTCCTAGTATGAGTGGCTACGGGGTGTAGGTAGACAGTGCAGTTAACCAATGCATTGAACTGGGGTATATAACATTTAACATCTACATTCGTATTCAATTCATAAGACCAGACCTGACCAAACCCACGACCCGCGTGGTCATTGTCTTCTTTGCAGTCTACCACTCCAGCCGATCATCATGAACGAGCTGCACATCGTACCGCTCGTCACCCCTCCATACCCGGCCAGGATCATTACACGACGCAATCGCCCTCCGCAGATCGGTTACTAGTCCGGTCGGACCACTAGCAAGCACGCGCGTCGGGCCGCGCACCGTCCTCGACACGAAATCAGTAACATGCGAGGCAACATTAGGATGTCGATCCGTCCCGGCAAACCCGGCGTCACTGGAGTTGGGACCCATATACTGCACAGTAAACGGCGCTCCCCCGTCCCGCGAGGTAGTAGATTCAGTCCGCTGGATGGCATCCTTGACGAGCACCTTCTTCTCCAGTTCCTGGACTTGGGTGTCGGCGTCGCCCTCACGCGTGACAAACACCCTAACCCGGAAATTGGCGCATACCTCCGCTGCAGCGACCAACTCGTCCATCTCGGACTTGAGCCACTCCATATCTGCTTTGCGGCGGATGACCCAGATGAATTCGATCAGTCCACTTCGGGATGCGAAGCCTGTCTGGCGGGATAGCTGCAGCAAGACGGGCAGGACGAAAGTCACGCCTGTGCCGCCGGCGACGCAGAGGATGTTGATGTCCTCTTGCAGGAGTTCAGTGCTGAGGATGGACTGGCCGTATGGTCCTGCGAGGACGATCGAGGTGGAGGACTGGTTGCTTCGCGCGAGGAGACCGAGTTGCCGCGTGAGGCCGGTTTTCGCGCGGATGATGTATGTGTGTGTTTGGTCGCGGCTTTCTGTAGGCACGCTGCAGGGCGTCATGGGGTGGGATTGCCAGATACTCAGGTCTGGGAAGCAGAGGTAGAAGTGCTGGCCGATGGACCAGGGGTGATGCGAGAGGGTGAAGTCGAGTCTGATGACGTCGCTGTCTGTGTCGTTGGGGAAGGAGGTTATTTGCGCTGAGGGGATGTGCAAGCGTAGATTGCCAGAGGCGGTGGTATGCAGCAGGGCAGTGCGCAGGAGACGCACAGCTCTATCCAGCAGCCAGACTGTCAAGGAGGCGATCATCCAGCAAGATAACATGGCCCAGTGGCCCCAGCAGGCGCCGACGTACACCATCGCCACAACGTAGTGCGATTTACGGAAGAATTCGTACCCGGTTAGTCGGATGCACCATTTCGCGGAGCAGAAGACAAGGAACGAAAGGAGAATCATGGCGACGACGCCCCAGATCATGTACTCCTGGGCGATGAACTCGTTCCACGTGGAGGGCTGCGGCTGGTAGAGCTTGCCCTCGATGACGGTCCAGCCGATGGTGTGCAGCACGGACTGAATGTAAATAATATATCCGAGCCAGCGGTGGAGGAAGAGGAAGTGGTGGTGCGGGATGCCGGTCAGCAGCGAGAGCAGGGACTCGCGGGTGGACAGGAGGACGGCCAGCGGGGTGAGGGCGTAGGCGAGCACTCCGAGGCGGTCGGCCCAGGGTCCGAGTCCGACGCGGGTCTGATGCAGGTTGGGATAGCCTTTCACCGGGCTGTACCAGGTTTTGTAGACGATGCCGACAAAGGAGAAGATGGTCAGGTAGGCAGTTAGGATGAGCAGAACGAGGATGTTGAAGCCGGTTGTGTGGCCGAATATGCCGGGGAGCCATCCTCGAAGAAGATGACGGTGGTAGACTGATTTGAGGGATTGTCGACAGCGATAGATGAAGCCCTGAGGCTGACTCTTTTCCGTCTCTGCATCTTGAGGGCATGGATGCGATGTGCGACGGACGCGGATAAGCCGTCTCAATGCGCAGAGCACCAAAACGCCGAGAATTACGCCCCAGAGAATGGCACTGTAGAGAATGGACAGATCGTGCGAATGATACACAGTATCAAGATAGTCGCATTTGCCCTTGTCGGTGGTGCATGGGAGTTGGCGGTTATAGTAGCCCCAGTGATGCTCGACACCGGGGCCGGAATGGGGTATGTCCATATGATGGGCGCGTGAGGAGAGCATCTTGACTGCTGCTGCTGCTGCTGCTGCTGCTGTCAGAGAATTGGGAGCAGCGAAAGATGAGAGCCATGACGGTCTTATACTCGACCGACACAGACAGTAACTCTAGATGCGACAAGAGAGTGGGTTGCCAAGAAGGAAATCTGCTCAAAGGCGTTGCCAAGTTTTCCGCTGGTGGAGTTTTTCACTTTTGCTGCTGGAGTGTTTCAGTCGTTCAGCAATCTGTTCCCCTCTTCAGTAGGCTGAAGACTGCTTAGATTGGAGAGATGTGTTTCACTTATAGACTCAGTGTCATCAGGTAGATAGATATGTATAAGATGTTGATGTATAAACCCATGATATGTGACGAAATGACAATGCCAAGCAAAGAAGAAGAAGATAATGTGCTCAAATGGGATCAGATCTCCACTCACTAGTCTGTCCACAGTGGGTCTTAGGTCTAAGGGCTCAAACGACCGAAGAACAGGAGTAAGATATATCCTAGAGGCTAAATAATGTTTAGTCCATAGCCTCGAATCGAGCTCAGACTCAGTCCTCCCCCGCGCACTCCCATCACAATCGCTGTGGTCAAGACCGCCGTCGAGCTGACCGTCAGCACCAGGTTGCGGAATGCCCTCATGTACCGCGGCTTGAGCACTCGTTCAACATTACCCGCGAACTTAGCCGGATCATTCGTCTTGGGGAATGCTTCCGTAGGCACATCTTTCTGTAGAAACTAGAACCCATCAGCGTCGTCAGTGTACATGAGTCAAATGAACTTACCTCGCACAATGGCTCCCATCCATCCTCAACACTCCATTCCAACAATCGCTGAGGAGCCACCAACCCCCGGATCATGGCACAATACTCACGATACACCCATTTCCCGTTCTTAGCGATCGCCGTGCGCACCGACTTCCCACGAAACAACCCCGGATAGCCATGCGTGACATACAGCTCCCACAGCCAGAACAGATCCGCACAAAACACCCGCATCATCCACAGGAACCAGCGGTCCGCAATCTCCTCCAGCAGAGTCTTGATCGCACTGCGGTGCCACGCATCCATATCCTTCCTCGTGTTCAAAATCACCAACGCCTCGGGATACGCCTCCACCAGCTCGGCCGCGAAGAACGACGCCGCCGTATCCACCACCGCATCGCAGTGCCCCAGCAGCGCGTCAAACTCCCCTCGCGACACGTGGAACTCGCCGTCCTCCTTCCCGTTCCATTTCGCCCGTGCCAGCTTCGCCCATCCCTCGATGTACCCCGCGTTCTCTTCGAAGGAGATGTCCCACCCGTGGTACGGCGTTAGACCAAGCTTCCGCAGCGCCACGGCCAGGCTCTCTGTGGCGGACCGCGGGAGGCCCACGCAGATCACCTGCATGGGCTTGGTGCGGGTGCGCGCCGGTGGCTTCGGGAGGTTGTAGAGGGCTTCCTTGAGGGTTTCCATTTTGACTGGCTTGGTTGAGAAATGTGCCACAGGATCTGCTTGGTTGGTTGAATGGGGGTATTTATACGGGTTTGTTGGAGAATTGGTACGATTAGGCGTAAGCGGGTTGGTGAGCGTGTCATGCAGGAGGAGTCAGCAGTTGATGACGGTGTAACCCTAAACGGTTGGGCTGAATGAGGCTGGAATCTGAGGCCTCGTGTTACATGGGTTTCGGACTGCCCGATGCGGCTGCAGATGGTGGCTGATTGGGGCTCGTATACGCTGACTGTTGTCTTTTTGGCAGTTGTTTGCTTAGGGCTCCATTCATTAGATGGGATGGTTAATTCTTTATTGATATTCACTATACATCAAACAAACCTTCTCCATCGGCATTCACTGGCTCAAACAAGTTGAATGAGGGCTCATTCACTCTCTCTGTATATATACCGCCTCATTCCTCTCTTTCCGCCCTTCTCCAACTCTTCTAATTTTCCATCTCTGAGAGCATGAAGAGCAGATCTATTTCACATGCTTCATCTCCTAGATTAAACATCTTTCGGCCAGAACTATACTGGAACTGTCCCAGATACTCCACGTTGGCATAAGAAGATAGATTTCGACACTGCCAAGAATGCGAAGGTCCCGGGTCAATACCTGTTGATTGAGGGCCTTATTGCTTGACCGGAAGTGAGTTATTCACAGTCAGCTATTTTATGACTGTGCTGATCTTTTGCTCCAGTAGTTCTGACGCAGCGACTGAACATGCCGTCCCGAAACTATTCGAATATTGTGTCAGGCGAATCCGTGATGAGCGAATACCTCCAGTAGAAGACAGTTCAGCGCCTTCAGGTCATCGCTCAACCATGGCCTCACTGGAAACAAGAAGACGCAAGGTACGTTGACCGATCGTGGTCGGTACATTTTGAGCTTCTTCACTGAGGTTTATAGACCGCTCAATACGACCAATTCCTGGCTCACGGCGGGCCATGTCTATGGTTACTGCTATTTCTGGAGTTTCGACATGGGCGCTTGAATTCGCAGCAAGACCGAATAAGAGCGATAAGCCTGGCAAGAAAAGACGTTCCTATGAACGCCGACTCCGCTGAGCCCCTCCCCGCTGTGTCTTCCCCCCACCCCCACCACCCCCGGGTATGCCGGGGCAATTCTCACCTCGTCATTCAGCGGCAGCTTGGTTCGTCTCTAGGGCAAAATCAAGGCCGCAGCAGAAAGCCACAGTCGTTCATTCGGATTAAGCCTATGTTCTAACAGACCACAACCCCGTATATGACTTTACACTATTATTTTAATCATCCCACAGCCTCCCGGCATTCAACAACCAGTGAGTTATGGAGAGAGACTTGCCAGATTTTGAGAATCTATACTGATATGGTTCCCATTCATAGCCTTCTCCTGGTCTCCCAGGACCGACATGAGATCTTCTTGACGTTTGCGGCCTACACCCAGGCCTATAAAGGGTATCTTGGAGGAGAGGAGGCCAGGGCCGATTCATTCCTCGTCATAGGGAGTTATTCTAAAGAAATATGATGACCCCAGCAGGAACTTGCGACTATGGTTGCTCCCTAAGCGGGTCCAACTGTTTGTTTGACAACATCAAAGTCGGAAGATATCCGGTATATCTAAGCCTGGCAGCGGTGGCAGATGATGTCTCTTCATGGTTGCTCGACTCCTACATAAGCCACCCCGACTCTCTCAGCCCCTGCCGACTGGAGTGCCAGTGGTATCATTTGCCTATTAATCTCCGCGGCATCTGCAGTCGAATTCTCCGGCCAACTTTCCGTCGGAAATTTGTTACCACTTTCGTTGGTTAATTCGATCGATTTTCACTTACTCGCTTTCACCATGGCTTACCAACCAAGTAGGCAGGATAAACAGTTCAACTGAGCCTCAACCTGCCAGGCGAACGCACCGACTTTGATGAGCACGCACCTAAGCCCCATGTCCGGGGATCAGCCTGGAACAGAGATCATATAAGGGTGCTCAGGGTCGTGCCCCTTGACGACTGTCCCATATCCAAGATATACAAAGCCCCATGCCACGGCCCGCGCTTCGTCTAGATTTCAAATGACCGCCCTGTTCGAGGAGAAATTTCAAGCATTTTAGCCTGGAACAGAGATCATATAAGGGTGCTCAGGGCCGTGCCCCTTGACGACTGTCCCATATCCAAGATATACGAAGCCCAGTATCTACCCCAGATGAACGACCCAGGCCTCTGTTCTGTGTCCGGCATTCTACATCTCTGATACCAAGGCAGCATTCCGCCAACTCAGACAATGAGCAACCTTTGCCCTACAATATCCGTCGGCAGGAGGGGGCCATCTTCGAATTTGATTCTCCCCCGGGAACAGATATGATGGATCAGGGCAGTGGAACTCAGAGAATTGCTCCCCACACCGAGCGCCGAGCAGTTACGACAGTTGACCTCCAACAACCGGCAGTTGGTTGGGCTGAGTCGGTACGCAACTAAGCTATCAGAATGGCCAAAGACCCAGTGAATCAAGCGCACTCGCACCCTGGGCAGTGGGTACACACTCCAAGTGAAGTAAAAATCTGCCTCGACAAACATGCCAACACGCGGATACGGTCCGAGCAAGTCGCAATTTCCAAATTGGAACTCCCATGTCTGGCTTGTTCCTTCCGTGCGGAAGCCCAGCACATCAAGGTCATAAGAATTGTTTTCTGTGAGTCCGATTCTACGTCCTCTCTCCTTCTACAACCAACTCTAATCTGCTCCTAGCAATTCTGTTCTCTTTTCTTTCTTCTCCCAAGTACCCACCTCCAAGTTCCCTTGATACCTCGAGTGACAATTCACCTTTACAATGTCAGTCTTCAAAAATCTTAGCAGTTTTTTCACAACTACAAGCATAGCACTGTGAGTACATACATTGAGCTGGCCCCAATAATAAATCCTTCAATTGATGAATGCATGTCTAACATCGTATAGGGCACCTTTACTAGAGGAACCTGCTGCTGTCCTCGCTGCGCCTGCACCGGCCCCCGATCCTCCTGCGCCTGCGCCTCTGGTTGGACTATCCTCGAAGCCCTGCTCAAGTTTGTTGCATCGTCATCGTCATAGACAGGAATCATCCAACTGGCGATCGACGTCCAGACTGAGGTCGACCATAGACTTCGGGGGTTGGACCCGGAGTCTACTCCGTGACTCAACAAGGATCAATGCTTTGGAATATTGAACACATTCTCCGAGCTTGCTGTTGGCAGCTGTGATGCGGAGGAAAGGCAAAGTTATGCCAAACGGATTTACGAACCAAAAATAGCGCTGCCGTGTCTGGCTCCTTTCCAGACCACGTCAAGACAAAAATAAGGAGAATGGATGACGAATGTTGGTCGTGCGGCCACAACAGATCCAAGCTGATGCTAACCGTCCTCGGGTTTATCCGCGGAACCGTTGATTCCAGATGGGTTCGTCACACGATTATCGAACTGCTACCGGACGAAAGTATTCATGTGCCGTGCCCCATGCCAGAGCGGCACCCTGATGCCATCAGACCGATGGATTCCGCGGTTTCCAGTGAGCTGGGTAGGATCCAAGCCGCCGCAGAGCAGGCTCGGGAGGAGGGCAGGGTGTTCCAGTCCCAACTCCGTCCAGTTCGTCCACTTAGATCACTCCGTCTCGTCCAGCTCATCCAGCTCATCCAGCTCGTCCTGCTCATCCAACTCATCATCCAGTTGTCGACTTCGTTCGTCGTCCTGTCGTCCACTTGGTGCAGTTGATCGGCAGTTAATCACTTGTCCAGTTCGTCCAGCTCGTCCAGTCATCCAGTTCGTGCATTCCCTAACTTTGTCTTATCTAGCTCGTCCAGTCGTCCACTTGGTGCAGTCAATCACTTTGTCCAGCTTGTCTGGCTTGCCAACCGCTTTCGCCTGCTCCGACATGCATGAAATTGGCCCATCAAAATACTCCTGCCCCAATAACAACCTCTCTGGGACTGTGATACTATAATGGCTCTTCCTACACTGCCTGTTGAACTCCACTTTGAGGTGCTGGACAAACTCATCGACACTCAGCAGCCAATAACGCACGCGAATCTCTGCGCCATCCGAAATTATGCCGCACTCAGTCACAGACACTACTAAGGTCGAGCGCGGACGAAGGTTCTCCCATACTTCCTAGGGTATCAAATGGTAACGATGACATTAAAACCTCTGGATCTTGCTCATGAGAACTACATGACGCCATCAATAGTGGGCGATTAAGGCCGTTGGACATTGGATCTTTGGTGGCTCCGGACCTTCACTGGTTGGGTTTCAAAACTCGAGCAGCTGGGTATTCTCAAGGCAGAGGATGCCCCAAAAGTGGCCACCACGCACTCCACGCAGGACAAGGAGTGGAAGTTTGTTATCTATGATTGGGTCATCTCAGCACCGGCAAGATGTCAGACGTTGGGTTCACGGTGGATGGTCACCGCGGAATGTGAACTCACTCGGGTCACGGAAGCCATGCTGAACAGTTGCTTTCATGGCTGAACGGCCGTGGTGATTTTCGACAGGCGTACACCTTGAGCTGGAGTTTGTTAAAGACAAACAAAGAATGCGCACTCCTGAGGAGGTCACCATATTCCTTGACACTGTGTATCTGATAGAGGCTCGGAAAGCAGGCGAGGACATCATATGAGACAACTGTGGCGAGATTGAGGGTTCTCCTGCGTGCAGTGGGAAGAAACATCTCACAAATCGCGAAACCCGCAAATTGCTTTGTTATCAATGCGATTTCTATTATCGTAAAAACAAGGCACATCGGCCTCTGACAGTATCGCATTATCCGGAGTGAATTCGCCATGGCTGAACAGCTGCTTCTGTGGCTGAATGGCCAGGTTAATTTTCGACGGGCGTACACGTCCACCTTGAGTGAGATTGTCACACTTTTCGCGGATATTACCACATACGGAGTGCTCCCCGACTCCCCGAGCATGTTGCCAACCTGGTGTTGATACACCAGGATATCACTTGCCTTTGGTAAGCTACTACTATCTACCAGGCAAGCATATTCAAATATAGCTAGCTTTGGTAAAAGCGCCCAGATGGCGCTGACTACCTCGTCCCACCGCCACCCCAGAACATCGACCGTAAGCGTCATCCCAACTGGCCCTCGGCCCTGGCGCGAGAACCCCAAACAACTGCCCCGGGTTCATCGTCCCTGATACGGAATTCGAACGACGCATCTTCACCTGACAAGGCAATCGCCGGCAGCTGAAGGCAGCGTCAGCAGAAAGAGGAATTTTTACCTCCATTTATCTGCTCGCTATGGACAGTGGTATGCGAAGCAGGATAGGCTTAATTGACCGAGAGTGTTCCAGTGCAGCTGACCGACCGTTTACCTCAATCTCACAGCCGGTTCAATCGCTCGTACACACTCTCCTTTAAAGATCCTCACTATTATATCAAGCCCCATTTGAAGTTGGGTATTCTGAATCATATCCCCGTCTCATCAGAGAGACGAATTCTCTGGCTGGTGAGCGGCACGACCCCATCAATGTGGACAGGGACGTTACCAATAAGGGTTCCGCACTTTGTTGTCCACCGTATTGCTCGGAAGAACCCCATGGCTGTCGTTTTGCCTTCGGTTGCGCCTGCCCTGTGCCTGATTGCAAGGCAACGTCTGCAAGATTAGCTGGGGCTCCAGCATGATTAAAGAACCGAATATATGCCTTAGATGACGCTGCAGCCCTTGGCGTGATAGCTAGGGGCACCTCGACTGGCGCATCGTGCGCCTCCTCTGCCACCTTTCGTTTACCCCACTGCTGGACGATTACTACTGCCGGGCCGACGACGAACGGACGCGATGACTACGGCCATCGGGAAGAGAATTGAGCGTGGAGACCGGGGTCTCTCAGAATTTTGGTGGCGGACGTGCGAGGGAACATGTAACATGATTCCAACAACCCGTCTGGGGCAGGCATATTACTTGATGGCTGACGCGGTCAAGTTGAGATACTTGCTGCGAACTTTCCACCAGGAGGGTCCCTTCATGGCAGGGCGGCGCACGTTTCTTGTTATTTGTCCACTGGCCCATGGTCATGTGGGTGGTTGAAATGTCCTATATTCGATCAGCGTCAACAATGTTACCATTAGGGTAATAATGGCAGATGGGTCCCGCCGTGAGGCAGCTGAGCTCTTTACCAAGGCAGACAGCAACTGTGATATGCTCCTGACGTCATATCAGTGCAGTGCTCACGGCCTCAATTTACACGGACAGTGCAGCCGTCTAGTGCTACTGGAACCGCCACTGAACCTCAACACCCTGTTCCAAGCAGTGGGGCGGGTGCACTGCCTGGGACGGCATGACGCGCAAAAGGTGTGGATCCTTTTTCGGGAGCATAGTATATCGAAGTGGATAGAGTGTAACAATGTCGTCAAGGTACTCCCGCAGCTTGTGGCATCACTGCATGACTTCTCAAGCCACTTGTGATGGCAGCCACGACGGGGGACACAGCGGAGTCGTGGTCTCCAACATGAACACCCAAAGACTTTCCCGGGCTGAACTCGGTCCAGTCGGGTCCGATTCCAAAACCTAAGGAACCTGTGTTTGGAAGTGTCCCTGACCAAGGCCCGGCCGTTAATGATGACCACGACGGCGATAATGATGAATTTGGCTACAACGAATATGAAGCGACCTGGCCAGCTGGACTCATGTCACAGCACGACCCAGCCGCAGGCACCAGTGGCCGCCGTCTGCTCGCAATCAAACAGTGGCCGCCACTTCAATATGTCATTGACCATGCACAACAAGTCTGTCCTCCTTCACAAATGGCTATTAAAACGTGTTCTTTGAAGCCAGAGTTCGAACATGGATGGGTTCTCGATCTGGACTACGATGGCAACGAGGGAGATAACTTGCCTTACTACTCTGCTCGTGTGAAGCCGGCCTCGGAAGAAGACACTGAGATGTTCATTGACTCGCCCAGCACTGCACCAGTGCCATCTGCTCCATTCCACCCTCCGACTGCACGATTCCATGACTTCATAGTCAAGGAGAGTCTACGGAAGCTGAGCTTGAAAGTCCCACACGCGCGGGGCGTGTCCGAGCTGGAGTTCCTAGCGACTTACTAGACAATGGCCAGGAGCAGAACAACAGGGCTGCCAAGGGATGACACGCCCAATTCCAATTAATCAAGTGGTCCCTAATAAGTGCATTTTCTGACAGAACGGGAGAATTGTTGAAGAGGAGATCGACTCGCAGAAGGGTCCTACGCGGTTTAAGTAAGTTATGACTCTACTCCTTGCGGTATAGGAACTAATTTTATCGACTTTAGGTACTCCGTCCAGTTGATTTTAGGCGGACTCGAGGAGCGAGTTGGAACATCTTTCCTTTCGCATTTGCTTGAAAGCGTTATTGAATGAGCTAAACTAGAGAACTACAAGTATAATGGTGTTCCTCAGTCTCCGACACGAATCGAATTGCCCTTGTATGTAGAAAGCCAATATGAGCTCAAGACCAACAAGTATCGCCAAAGTCGATGCGTTCAATTCTCATTATGACGTCCAATAATCTTGATCATCTTAATCAACGCAGAGTTGTGTATACCGATCGATCAGATATGCCAAACAATCGATCATCTCGATCGCCGGGGGAATCGATGACGTCAATCAAGCAGCTCTCCACGAGTACCACTTCTTTACGAGAGATATATATTATATTATTTATATGACAAGACTGGTCAATTCAACAGTTACTCTCACTATCAGCAATTAAAACAAAAATAGAGCCACAATGGTAAAAGACAAAACCACCGTCATCGAGTACATCCCCCTCCCCCTCTACCAATCCCATCTAACCACAGCTCCTAGAGAATTCAACGACCTGGTCAACATGACCCCATCGAACTCCGCGCCTGGCTCGCGGAAGAACAATCCCAGTCCTCAGGCTGGAGGGGTGCGTCCTCGACCGGCGAGACGGTCGGTCACGAGAGGTAATCTATCCGTCATTCTCCTATATCTACCTACCTGCACAGTGCCTGAACAAAAAATAACTGATATTGACGTCCGGCCAGCGGACGCAGAATCGTGGATATCCTCGAACATAACCCGTCCAAGGACCCGTCCGGGTACTCGGACGAGGATCTAGAGCATATGCGCAGGGTGGTCTCGTACTGTAAGCGGCATCTGGCGCAGGAGGAGCATGCGAAGCGGGATACCGGGAGTAGGAGTTACAGGTCGTTGAAGAATTGGGGGCATGATGCGCTGAAGGAGTGAGCCGGTTGATTCTTTAAATGGCAATTTGTTTGGCGCGGTTGTATATGGAGACTTGGGTTGGGCTGCAGGACCGTGCCGTTTTTACTTGTATGATCTTTTCGATTTTTGGCCCGTCTAAATCGGATGAAGGAGTATACTGCTGGTAATCCGTGATAGCTACCTTGATGGCCGGCCTTGACATTAGTATAGGGAATAGGCTCCATGCCGTTAGCTGTGAGAATCATTTTGCTCAGGTAAGGCTGGCGTGATAGAGAAATGGCTATTCGCAGGTATTAACGACATCATTGTCGAGAACCGGACCAAAGGAGTTGATACACTACAGGATAATGTCCATTCTAGCTTTCTTACCGGCATAGACTAGACCCTGTGGTGGCCGTGCCATCCTCAACTAACTCGAATTACCATGCTTTATCAGCTCTAGACAATTCAGAATGAAACACCAGGAACATTTCCATCTCCTCAAGATAGGTGACCTAGAGGAGATTCATCGGCAGTTCCATTTGCCGATAGGAATACACCCCAAACCTTAAACCTCCCCAAGGACCGTTCCTCAGGCCCATCGGAAATGCAGCTCGGTTGATGGACCAAGTGTCATCAACGAACTAGCCAGTAAGTTATCGAACCAATCTCTCCGAGAAGTGAAACAACGGACAGTTAAACTCTTTTGGGAAGGAACCGGCCGTGCTTGCGTCTGGGTTAGGGCTCTAAGGGCTCTAGGCTGCTGACTCCGGTTCCAGCTCGGTTGTCGATCTGTTATTCGTGCCGGACTGCGGGCAAAATCCGCGGTCCGCCGTTTGAGGTAGATAGAAGATGTCATAGCCACTGCTGGGCGCTGGCCCAGCCGCAGGCAGGAGATAAGAAGTGGATGAGCTGGGGAAGTGGAGTTCCCGATGGGGGAATCCGGGGTTGCTATGGAGCTGCGGAGCTAGCTTCCCCCCTGCGTCCTGTCGCTTTTTCTCCGGCGACATCGTTAATTCCCCGCTTTTAGCTTGTTCAGTGACAGTAGTCCTGTTTGTGGATTTCGACAGTCGTAAACTTAAACTGAAACGCCACGTCGATATATAGGCAGACCGAGGTCTCGTAAAGTATAAACAGCGCGCCCCCGGCAGTCCTCACTGCCGCCGGGGGAATTCCGCATTATGGCAGACTTGTCTCTCGTCGATGTTATAAGGAAGATCGGACCCTACGGGCCTACAGCGCTAGTCTAGTACTCGACTACGCACTACTGCGGACGAAGAGTGAAAATCGCCCCAAGATGGAGATGAATCATGATGAGGCTGTAAGTATCCGCCAACTGGCTCACGAAACAACAAGCAGCGCTGATATGAAGCATACAGACAATCCATCAGATCGAGCAGCAGCTCAATACCAAGATCTATCCCGGAACGGAGATCATGGCTGATGTGGGCTCCGTCCACTTTGTCAAATCCTCCGACCGAGTGCTGGTGCCACAGCCCTCCCAAAACCCCCATGATCCTTTGGTATATGGCCCCATCCGCATGACTCCGTGAGACCGAACGCTGACGTCCGCAGAATTGGAACAGGTTCTGGAAGATGAGTGCCATATGCATGTCTACGGCAGTGTCGTTCAGTCAGGGTCTGGGACCATTGGCACTCGCGCCGATGTTTCCGCATCTGATGAAATCGTTCGATACCGATCTGGCATCCGTTGTCAAATTCACTGGCATTTGCATTCTTGTTCTTGGTTTCAGTAATTTCTTCTGGTGCGTCCTCGAGAGTCTCGAAAGTGATATGTTGGGCTGACGAAGTTGAAGGGTTCCCGTCCAGGCAGCTTTCGGTCGACGGCCGGTCCTCATCTTTTCCATCCTTATCTGTCTGATCAGTAACATATGGCGAGCGGTCGCTACTTCCTATGGAAGTTACATGGGAGCATGCATCCTGAACGGTTTCGGAGCTGGGCCTGCCGAGGTAGGAGCACTCGCAACGACAACAAGGCTTTGTGTTAATCAGGATGATAGACAGCCCAACCTGAGATCATTGCGGACATCATGTTCCTTCACGAGCGAGGAGCATACAACACCCTATACTTCACCGCCTATTTTGGTTCTCTCATGGTAAGCATTGTGGCCAAGACAATAATAATGACTTGAGCTGACTTCTCATCATAGGTCGGTCCAGTCATCGCCGGTCCCATGGCTGAACACGTCGGCTGGCGCAGCTTCTTCTGGCTCAACACCGGCGTCCTCGGCATCGTCCTCGTAGCCCTCGTCTTCCTGTTCCCCGAAACCAAATGGCACCGCGTCCATCCCTCCGAGATACAGGATGGTCGGGACCCGGTGGAGACTCGCTCCTCGGCCTCTGAGCCGGAGAAGCCGGCGGAGGTCACCCTGCAGCAGGAAAACGTCGCATCTGAGAGCGGAGCAGACCAAGACCCGTGGCTGGGCAAGGGCTATCCCTCCAAACAGCAGTTCATGCTCTGGCAGCCGTCAGACAACTATCTGAAGACCTTGTGGACCTGCTTCTGGACTCCGTGGAAACTGCTCACGTTCCCCATCGTCGAATTGGCTGCGTTCACCGTCTCGTGGTCCGCCAGCTGCATGTTGACCTTGAACCTCACCCAAAGTCAGGCCTTTGCCGCTCCTCCCTACAACTTCAACAGCCAGACCATCGGGTTCTTCAACTTTGCCATTATCGTCGGGGCGGCCATAGGCTTGGCTACCAACGGGCCTTTGTCTGACTGGATTTCGATGAGGGCCACAAAGAAGAACAGAGGTATTCGGGAGCCGGAGATGAGATTGCCAGCCATGATACCCTATGTGATCATCATGATAATCGGCAATTTCGTCGTGGCATTTGGCTACGAACATAAATGGGATTGGAAGGTCAATTCACAAGCATTCTGTTGAAAAGCGACTCAAAGCTAACAACCTTTTTAGATTATTGTGATAATCGGCTACACTTGCGCTGGCATTCAGGTCTGCGCTCTTCCAGCCATTACCAGCACCTACGCTGTTGACAGCTATAAGCCCGTTGCCGGCTTAGTCTTTGTGGCGATCACAGTCAACAAGAACCTGTGGGGTTATGGATTCGCTGAATTCATCACGCCGTGGGTGATCAAAAGTGGTTTCATCAGCCCAATCATGATGAACATGTCTTTGACCACCCTCTGGTGTCTTTGCGCCATTCCGGTCTATTTCTACGGAAAGCGTTTCCGGAAGCGGACTGCCAAATCATCAGTTCACAGTATGTAGTTCGTATCCCTGTTGGAGGTAGCGCCGGATGCTTTCCCATTCTTAATTCAGATGAGTTCATGCAATGAATATTTTAATTCATGACCTTCAGCGTGTAGCGGTGGTAGTAGGTGTGTTCGGAATTACGTGCGCATGTACTTGCAGCACTGCACAGTTATCACATCATTTCGTCGTCGTCAGGGTCGTAGAGATCAAGATCCAGAGTTGCCTTGGGCTTAGGCGCAGGCGCTGCTGCGGCCGTAGTTCCGCTGCTCGCCGCGCCTGCTTGAGCTGCAGCCCTGGCGGCTTCGTTTGCATGTCTCCTCTCCTCTCCCATAGGCTGCGGTGCAGGAACCACCGGCTCTGTAGACCCCAGACCCTCGGCCTCGCGTATCAATCGTTCCACCTCTAGATCGGGATCGAACCCCGGTCGACCTTCGGCAGCGGTCAGCTGTATCTGACCCATCAGACCCATTCGAATACGATCTTCCATCGGATATGGGATCATGTAGACCTGGCGGGTCATCTTCGCCGATTCATCGAGCCAGGATGTCGCTTCCTTCGTGACGGATGAGACCGGTTCGGCGCCTTCCTCAGCACCAGGGCCGCCATTTACACCCGTCATTGCCATGTCCTGGTCACCAGGTTGTGGACTTCTCCCCCGTGCTTTAGCGGCCTGTGTGGCATTGGCAGCTGCATCCGCCGCGGCCTGGTGGTTATACTTGCTAATCCGTCGCGCAAAGTCCAGCAGCAATCTGTAATCAATCTCCTTTGTCTTACGCAGACGATCTGGCTTGGTTTGCGTTTGATCACCGCCATAATCCAAATCATCATCATCGGAAAAGTCATCCGCATCCGAATCGCTCGGCTCGTCGTCGCCGCAGATCTTCCGAATATCCTTCTCGTAGCCCACAACATCTCTCACAACCCCTTTGACCTTCTCCTCCAGACTCTCAGCCTCCGCGCGAAGTTTTAGAATCCTGGCGTAGTTCTCCTGGTGCCGGCGAAGCGTCTCAATGGCAGATGTGAGCGAGTCGTCCGCGTCAAGCAGTGCAAGGGCTGCTGCAGGAGCTCCTGAGGCAGTCGGCGAGGTTGTAAGGTTCGTTATGAGTGCATTGAGTTTGTCTTCCAGATTTGAAAGAGCTGTTTGGAACTCGACGTTCATTCTGAGTGTATCCTCGATCCCTTCCTGCAGCTGCAAGTTATGTGAGTTGCCTGGGCTTCAGTTGATCGCACGCGTCGCGGGAGGTATGGACGTGCGGTAATGCGGAGTTGAAAATGGCGTAAAGCACATCAGGTAGCAAGGAGGAATCGGGAGGTTTATCTGCATTAAGTGGTTGTGATGCGACTGGAGCTTGAATGGTGACAGATACGTTGGAGCAATGGCCTAAACAAGTAACAAATGAGTCACGTGATATTTTTGAAGCTCCGCATCACGTGTCATCACCTATCAATTGTCTCTTCGAGGGTACACCGTACTGGCGAATATCTCAAAAAAAGGTGATCCAATAATGAGACATGCCTTTCACAACTTGGATGTAAATATTATCAGTCAATAGCCAGTGTAGGGCCTCTCTTAATATCGGGGTTACATTGCGGAGACGCGGCGAAGCCGCGAAGTAAATGCGGACGAAATCCGATTGCATAATGTTGGTCCTCTAATATTCAACAGACAGTCCTCCAAGACTTTACTCGCTGATACTGGCCGCCGCCGGCGTATGAGGAGTTTTGCAACAATAATATAAAGATTCAGATTTGTGTGTTGCCGGATAAATCGCAGGCAGGAGGGTTCAACGTCGTACCGTATCTCCCCAGATCGCCCATAACTTGCGCACTATTTCGGCAGAACAAATTCAACGAATTATCACACGTAAATTGAGAGCATCCTAGCCGCCAAATCACTACTTGCACGAAATGGCTTCCAGCTCTACTTCTCTTCCCTCTGCTCCCCGAGTCGAGCTGAACCCCCGCGTTGTTTTACAACCCCCGCTTTCCCACTGCGGCCATGGACCGGGACTGATACTTATCCGGCCAAGCCATTTTGCAGAATGCCAGGAGAAAGCCCAAAGTTTAGATCCAGAGCCATTGCAGAAATGGGCTGAGGAGAGCTACGCCATAGTCCAGATTAGTCTTGATGTGGAATCCAGTGGCGACAAGGATTGTGTACTTGGTCTTTTCAGGACAGCGATCGAGAGGCTTAGTTCACTTCAGGAGTGTGATAAGAAGGATCAATTTGGTTTGCTAGGTATGCACAGTATGACTTGAAAGCCAGTTGGATACTAATGGGCTTAGTCTACGGGTCCCAGGCCGATTATGCGCCGGGTTTTGTGAAGATCCTGGATGCAGTCGTAGCTGCTCATATAGCAGCGGTGGTGTATTACGGTACTTGGGAGAAGCTCGCTGAGATTCCGGCCTTGGTACACATGCCTGGAGCTAGCAATGGAATCCAGGAAACAGAGATTCGAACGGTGTACTCCTATGCTGACGCCTCGTCCGCCGGCTTCATTGTCCCCGGTCATGCGGATTTCAAGTACTCGACGGCAGGAGTATCCCATACCCGGTCATTGAGCTTCTTGAAGAAACACTTAGACGGGCCTTACTTTAATCTAGAGAAAATCTGGGAGGAGCATACCTATTACGAATTCGGAGATCGATCGGTAGAGAAGACCATGGCGACAATGGTCCAGGAGCCCTACGTGAATCATGTTCCGACTGTGAGAGGCCCCCTTTCCTGCCGCTGTTGAAGACACTGACACTGTAAAGATGACCGGTGGAATTGGCCGTGCGCGACTGAGCAATTTCTACCTGAATCATTTCATCTTCAATAATCCCGAGGACACAGCCCTGGAGCTTATCAGCCGCACGGTGGGTATCGACCGGGTCGTAGACGAGTTCATATTCTCCCTCACGCATAACAAGGAGATCGACTGGCTGTGAGATCCACCTGCATCCACTCTACGAGCAAACCCTAACATCTTACAGTATCCCCGGCATCCCACCAACCGGAAAGCCCCTCCGCATACCATTCACATCAGTGGTGAATATCCGCGGGGATCGTCTATACCACGAGCACATAGCATGGGATCAGGCGACGGTTCTCGTGCAGCTGGGCTTGATGCCGGAATACCTCCCGTACCCTTATGCTTTGCCCAGTGGCAGGCTCCCAGGCCCGGGGAAGAGATTCGAGTATCGAGTTCCTGCGGCCGGGGTGGAAACCGCGGAGAAGTTGGAGAATGAACACAGGATCCCCTCCAATCAGATGTTCCAGTATAAGATCAGAGAGGTTGATGACAATTAACAGTATCTGCGAGGCATATTGAATTCGACCTTGTCAAGGTTTAGAAATGGTGTAGTCATAAACAACCGCAGCGGGAGTGACATGGCCGTATAGTTCGCTTCTTCTAATGGTGAGCTCTAGGCAGTAAATTGGCGGCAATGACACTGCAAATGAATCAGAGTCAGGATTCGGTTAGATATGCAAACTCTGATTATTCTGGTCATCTGCATTCATGCTGGAACATAACCTTGGTTGCGTTAACGTGCGCGGCCCCTCCAATCAGCCAGACATTTTTCTACATAAGGAGATATGGATATAACTGGGAAACCCCCAATACAAACACAATCGGGGGCAGGGGAAAGCCCCGGGACTTCAAGAAGAGATTTGGCTCCGCAAATGACATCTGATATGGGGCTGCAAATGTATTGAAGCCTACTCCGTAGAGGACTAGGACTCGGTTGGATGTGCAAGAAGTAAAAAGGACGTAGCATACGAGGTTTGAAGCATGCTGATATCAGGGGAGGGAGTTGATATAGTTGTAGATTGCAGACGAGAAGTGAGCATTAGCAGCAGAGACGCAGTCATGGCCATTAGCAAAAGGCAAGCAGTGGACGAGTGTTTAGTGATAAGGTAGTAAGTAGTAATTAGTTTTAACAGTAGTAAACCAAAAAGAAGATGTAATGATTACAACTACTCCGTAGTCTGAGGTGACGGCGAATTACTATAAGCGGTATAGCGTGCCTATTCGGGGAAAGCGCGTTGCTGAGGCTTGGCATCGCGGTGCGTGGTCTATATAGCTTCCTCCTCGCCCTCTCGAGATTATGGCCAACTTTCGTTGTTGTTTTCCCACCCTTTCGCGGACTTCCGGCTCAAGACATTGAGGCATTTTTGCTATTGGGCTGTACATCAGAAGATAGGTAATCATAATATTATAACTACTAAGTCCACTGAGGATATATAGGCATGTGTTACTTTTGATATAAGTTACCGCTTGCCCGATTCGGTCTATAGCCTGGACCTCCCCGATCTCGATTAGATCAATTACAATCCTTTTAATGGCCGAAGATCAGTAGTTACCCCTATCTACATGCCTGCATCCGCCGGTATAAAATTTAGCTAGTCAGACAATAGATTAGAAACAATTATACTTTCTGAACTTTATCATTAGTAGCCAAATTAGACTGGCTGACCCAATCGGCAAATCCATATCCGACCCACCCAATCCGCACTTTGGGTTGGATGGGGGTCGACCCTGATCCAACCCACATGGATGTGGATGGATGGCATCTAACCCATATGGATATAGGTAACCCATTAGGTGGCCAAGGATAGACAGACTATAAACTATAACAACATATTAGAATTAATGCCTATAGAAGAACCTAGCAGAGAGCAGCTGTGAGCCCTAGGTAGCACGTAAATGGACCTCCTAGCCCAGATGGCCTGGTAGCTAGAAAGGCTGGCTAGCTAGATAGAATATATGGAAGAAAAGCAGGCCACTGCCACCCTAGTGGTACTAACACCTATACTCTAGGAAACCCCTGGCCCTGTCTCCATTTGATTTTTCACTCAATCATTACTTCCATATACAAAGAGTAGATGTCTTTTGGGGATGCATCTCTCGAGGCTTTGGGAGTATCCTGCGCCATTCCGTAGCTCGACTATGAATTTTGTTTTCTTGCTCAAGCACCGCGGGTTATCGCACGTTCATGGCCATGGGGAACTATGGTGTCAAAGGAGAATTTCATGGCATGTGCCGAACTGTTGCCCTCCAAATAATACTTGAATAGACTCACTATTCCTATCAGCACTGAATCTGTTTCTATTGCTCCCTAAGGACTTTCTCATCCCACTACTGTAATGGATGGTATAGTGGCTAGCACTAACATAAGCAATGCAGTTGAAGATGATAAACAAGGATCTAGCTGAATTGTGATTTCTCATTCACACTGTCTATCCATTCTTAAATTCATCTCAGACACGTCCCCTAATGCTCTGGACGCCTACTTTTATGGTTCAGCTGCCTCAAATCAGAAATATTTCAGGTGTACAAGGTGGTTCTAAGCTTGTTAGATCCAAATGCTTTCATTAGCACACCGGATATGGAACAAGCAAGAAGTTCTGTTTCAAGTATACAATATCACTATCCTGATCCTTTTCTCTAGCTAACACATTCAGTAATCAAACTTCAGATGCTTGCCTTACAGCAGTCTTAGAAACCAGATTCCTAATATCTCCAAAGGATGGGCTAAGAATCTAGGGATACCTGGAAGATATATACTATGCTTTATATAGAGCTGCTTGCAAGCCACTAAAGCTTCTCTCAGCATGTATATTAAATAGCTTAGACATATTCAGAAAAGTCCCTAACCATGTCCAAAATGCCAAATCAAATATTGGGATTATTAATGAGCTTGTTAAGCAGACGAATATTAAGAGGGGCTGGCATCTAGAGAAAGGTGTCATCGACCTGATCACCCTTAAATCATTATTGGAAGCTGCGGCGTGCTGATTCACAGTATAATAAGACTAAGCAAAAGCATTTTATTGATTCGAATATCAGTACTGCGCGGACGCTTGAGCAATATCCCATTGGTTGGAAGATCTTCCCATCTCTGACCTCATGTGCTACAATAACCCGATGACTACTACTGGAAGGGATTCTGGCATACTGTAGAGCCTAGTTGCTTGAATGAGTCTCCGTTGATTGATTTTATCAGAAGAGGTTCGTATCCTTCGGAGCATCCTACGCGAAGGCCTATTGACAGTCACACCAGCCTGTGAACATACTATTGCTACGGTCCTTTATCAGGCATACATCCTTTGGTGGGGCAGGACAGGACGAGGAAAGGCCACGGACAGTTGACATGCTCCAGGCATCCGTGAGTGCCAATATAATAAGAGCCTCGAAATAATGTACGAGATAATAGCATCATCGTCAGGAAACTAGTGAGAAAATGCATCTAATACATTGCCAAGCGGCCATTCAGTCAGCCTGCTGCATGTCTGCCTAAATATTGGACCTTCTGTTGTAGCGGTGGCTCATGCGCTTGTTTGCCCCCCATAAATGCACGCTCATTGGGGCCATGGGCTGGCCGATATCAAGGCTGACTGAAAGTCTCCGTTTGCAACACTTCGTGTGTTTTTCAAATAACCATACTTTTCTTCCTATAAAATTTATACAACAACCGAACATCAAGGTCGAATGCTAAAATGACTTTTGTAATCACAGATCCCAGCCAACCGTTCAAGACTATGTTCGAGTCGACGCATGGTGACCGACACGAAGAGCCGTGGAAGGTCTTATCTCGTTATTTACCATCTCAGAGCTGCGATCACCAGCTCTGGTGGGAAAGGCTGGCACCAGTTATCGGATCCTCTTTGGGTTTGACGGATTATGGCCTCGGTGCTCAGTATCGGAATCTCTTATTAATTTATTCCATAGTTATACCATCTCTTGGTCCATTCCCAAACAAGAACGGGGCAAAATCCACCTGGATCGATTGTATGGCAAACAATGCTGGGCCGTTAGATGTCAGCGTGAACTATCAACAAGGATCGAAGTGTGCCTTTCGAATTACAGTTGAACCTGTTGGCCTTCACGCTGGAGATCAGTCAGACATCATTAATGAGTTGGCTCCAAAGTCCCTGCTCCAAAATCTGAACCATATCCAGCCAGATATCGACTTTACCTGGTTCGACCACCTTGACCGTACGCTTATTCTGAATACTCAACAGGCGCGCCAGTACTGGAGCTTGATGGAACACCTTCCCTGCAAATCTCAGACGGTGATTGGACTCGACCTTCATGAGGATTCATTCACAGTCAAGCCTTACCTCAGTCCTCTATTAAATGCAGCCGCTACGGGCGACAATTTTCTCCGAGTCATGTTTGACAATCTGAGGGATCTCTGCAGCACTAGCAACCTCAAGCTTGGTCTGTCAAAGGTGGAAGAATACCTGAGCTCGACGACCCATAAAATTCAAGGGGAAAAAACCTATCTTTCTTTCGACTGCAAGAGCCCTGCCCAGTCCCGCATCAAGATCTATTCCGCCGTGGACGTGACCTCTCTTCACCAAGTTCATGACTTCTGGACATTGGGGGACGGCTTCAGGGCTTGGACATTGATAATGGATTTCGGATCGTCGAGAAGATGTGGAACAGAATTTACCGTTGCCAAATGCCCGCTGCGAAGTCAAGGGAGTTTTTGACCGTCAACTTTAATTGGGAGGTTTCGCCCAAGGATGGCAACGTTGCGCCAAAAGCATACTTCCTCGTCAGCGATGATTATGACAAGCATATCTCTCTTGCCGTGATTGATCTCTTTCAAGAACTTGGGTGGGAGGACCATATCCACCGACACAAAGCATTGGAGAAGGTGGCATAGTAAGTCGAACCATTCTAGTACCATGACTGCACGGCGGCTAACAGTCCTAGCTCTGCCCACGATCTGGAGGGACGAACGGATATCTACGTGTGGCTTGCTTTTGCATACTCTACAGGCTCAGGTCCGTACGTCACAGTTTATACCAATCCACTTGCTCGTCGCGTGTAAGGAAGCGGATCAGCAGGAAGTCTCAGATACTGTTCTGGTTTCGAGATAGCTAGTACGATTTAACAAAAGCTGCTTACTCCTACCTTCACCTCGTTGTTGCGGAAGCCTGCTGCACCCAGACAAGTCCAGATGATCAATAGCTACCGGTCCAAACTTAGGCTATGTCCATAATTCCCTCCTGATGGCTACTTCTCTTTCCTTTCCTTTCCCTTTCTCCTTTTGGTATTTTTTACTTTGTTAGTCTCATTCTAACCACACCGAACAATATGAGAGAAATCGGTGCGTAATCTCTGCTTTCAAGAACCTTTTGTCGGTGTGTTCCATTACCAATGGCTGGCTGACTTGTAACCAGCGGTGTGATGTTTCCAGCTATTCCTACCAATACACGCGTTATGGTCAATCTGCCGTACAACGCAAGCCGAGCCACAAGCATAACTTTGGGTTAAATAATGAAGTCCAGAGCACAGAGTAGATGTCCAATGTAATACGGTGGGCAGTCTCACCCAGTTCACGATAGCTGCGTTCCTACCCAATTCCTGCAAAGTTTCAGTCGATTATGTAGCATCGACTACACAGCTACGCATTCCTGATGCGACCTCAGGAATATGCGTTGGAAACCCTCAAAGATTACCAGTTTCTGCACCATTTTTTTCTACTGGTTCCTGGGGTTGAGCAACATTCAACAACGCATCTTGCGTGTTCATCGCCTTCGAAGCTGGCTCCTAAGGCGGAGGAGAAGAGCCCGGGGACGTGGAGGGGAGACAGCTAGGCAATGTTTCCTTGCGTTGAAGGACGATGAAGGTGCAGCTATGTACGCATAAAGCGAACCAAATACCACATGCACGCAACTTGTGTTGCATTTCAATGCTAACATACCTCTGATAACTGAGCTTCCAAGGCTGAAGTCTGGCACCACGTAGATACCGCCGTTAGCTGCTATAGAATAACCTGTATCCACACTTGTTTACGCTTTCTATCGATTTATTTTGTTCAACTGCGATCTCCCTTCATAGGTTACTGGACCCTTATCCCTAGAGTATTGCGAATGTGCCACGTAGCTCACTGAATCGCTGGGTAATATCCATTGCTATTGAGTGGGTCCGACTGCATGAACATGAGACAGGATTGTGAGCCAGGATGGGTCTGATCAAGCTAAACTAATGAGAAACGGTTCTAGATCCCAAGTATAAGTGGGTTGTGAATTATCTGACTTGGGGTCGCCCTGGACAAGTTATTGCTTCCAAATATTTGAAAGATCTATACCTTAATCTCAACTTTTCACGTCATGGAAGCACACGCCGAAAACGCCGAGAACCTTTTCAACGACTTGGGGCTATCGTATGAGGAAGCTTTTAGCAACGACCCCCAGCTCCGCCAATTCATCGCATTTGCAGCTTCTAAGCTCCCCAAAAGAAGTAGAGTGCTTGATGTCGGATGCGGGACTGGTAAGCCAGTCGCTGAGGAACTTTCGTCCGCCGATCTTATCGTCCATGGGATCGACGCATCCGATGAAATGGTCCGCCTCGCCAGTTCCCAGGTGACTGGGTTTTTTGAAAAGGCGGATATGAGACAATATAGCCCCAAAGTCCAGTTCGACGGCATATTCGCCATTCTGTCGCTGTTCCAGTTGACGCCGGGTGATATCTGCTGCATGGTCACCAAATTCTCGGAGTGGCTAAGAGTGGGCGGATATGTTGCTCTTGGTGTGACCCCCAGCACGGCTCTCCCTCCCCAGAAATGCACCTACGACCCGACGTGGGATTGCGTCTGGATGATTGGGAAGTTCTGGATGGGCAACTACACGAACGAATCATTCTTTTCCGAAGAAAACTGGTGCCGGCTTCTTCGCAACGCAGGGTTTGTCATTGAGGCTGAACCGGTCGACTACTTGTTTTCTCCTACTGGTTGTAATCACCCAGAGGCTCACTATCTTATTCTTGCTCGCAAGGTAGATGAGCAACCGCTTTTGGGGCCGTTCCCTTTACCGACCACCCGAAAAGCGCTGCCCAGGACAGCGAGAGGCGACATCTTTATCGATCGCTTTGAGAGCAGCGATCTGGAAGGACTGCTTAGGACGCACGAGAGCAGCCGCAATGTACTTTGCCTGGGGCAGAAACATGAGAGTGAGTACGCATTGGCACGATTTGCTGCAGCTATGGCTAAACTATGACCAGATAAGCGATTTACTATCTGTGACGCCAAATATTTCGATGGGCCTTTGGATAAACTTCCGTTCACTGATGGAAGCTTCGATGTAGTCTTCGCACCGTGGAAGCTTGACTACGCCATTGAGCTCGAGAGGACATTGGCAGAGATAGTTCGGGTGGCGAACAAATCTCAATCTCAGATAATTCTCATCCAGGGTGCACCAGGAAACGAAGTTGTTAAGCATTTGAATACCGTTGCGCGTTCGCTTCCAATTGAGCATCAAGGATACCTTCTACGTTGTGCAGTACAGCATTTGGAGATGGCTGGTTTTGGCGATATTTCTTTGAGACGGATTGATGCCCGGTATTACTTCCCTGAGCAGGATCTTACTGGTCGTTGCTCTGTGGCGGCAGAGGTGCTAGCTGGGATATGGCACAAAGCGCATCCTCAGTATAATGTTATCAAGGAGGCTCTGATTTCAAACCTACAGCTGCACTTCCAAGGCCGCACTCACTGGGTTGGCCATGAAATGGTTGCTCTAGTGGCAAGCCGTGTAGAGGCTTAGATAGATATGAAATGATACAGCATCACTTACAGTAAAGTTGGAAGTTGAAAATAATTATACCCTACCGAACTGAAGTCTGTTGGACGAGTCTCTCTGCTGTACCTCCTCTGTTGATCTATCCAATTTACTTTGTGTCACCACCAGTACAGGTCCATCGAAGGGTGAATATGCAAAGACCCAAGAGTAATACTGTAGTTTCAAAAATGAACGGTACAATTAGCTGAATACACGTTTAACACTGTCATTCGTCGTGGCAACTATTGGGAAGCGATGCAAAGTTCTTGCGGTGAGATGAAATCGCAATGTAACCTCAGCTGCATGTAAGGAGGCATAATCTACACCGAGAACAGAATCAAGCTGAGAGTATTTCGGATTGGCATAAAATGCAAGACCATGGGTTCGATCATGGTAATGCAACTTCGCCCCAAGCCCAAGCCCACTCGTGGCGGAATCCTTTTCTTTGGACAATTATCCGTATAAAAAGTAGAAAATTTCGATCTGGAATTTTTGCTACATTCAGTCCCCTTTTGTTCCTGACGGCTCGGCTTATAGAGAAAGAGAGCACGGAAACATCACCACAAGCAAACTGAGAATGCTTCAGGTTGCCACGCTAAACCTTGCTAACTGGCTCGGCAATCAGCCGGATGAGAAACAGCGCTTTGCACGTATGCTTTGTGAGGGCATGAAGGACTGTGGGTTTGTCAGATTAGTTAACCACGGAATAACCGACGATATCATCGACAATTTGGAGGAGTGTGTAAGGCTTTCCTCCGCCCATAGTGCTGTCCTGGCGATACCATCTGACTTGTTATTTAGAAAACCAAATTCTTCTCTTTGCCTACATCAGAGAAGATGAAGATAGTGAACCTGCCTGGTCCAAAACCACAGAGAGGATGGAGTGGCCTGGGGGTGGAGAAAACTGCTCATCTGTATAACCCCAATATCACGGAACCATCAGGCTATGAGGATGCAAAGGTTGGTTGCACCTCAGGGAAGTATGGATATCTAATAGCTTGAGCTGAGAAGTATATCTCTAGGAGCACTATGACTGTGGCCCACCGCAGGACACCATGTTCCCAAACCTATGGCCAGATGAGAATCTGGTGCCTGGCTTTCGTACCTCCATTGAGACATTCTTTGTTCGAGCTGAGGCAATCAGCATGCACCTGATGGAAGCACTAGAGGTTGGATTCGGGCTTTCCCCTGGTGCTTTCACTCGCCTCTGCGAGGGACACAACGGTGAGCTACGGGTGAACCACTACCCCAGCATTCCAGCTTCGAGGATCTCAAACGGCTCGACAAACCGGATCTGGCCGCATGTTGACTTTAGCATTATCACGCTTCTCTTTCAAGATCAGACTGGTGGCTTAGAAGCATGGGACAGTACATCAGAGACGTTTGCCCCGTTACTGCCGGGATCGAAAAGTGAACTGTTGGTCAACTCAGGCAATATACTCCAGCGGTGGACAAATGACGTGATTAAGGGTGGCCTACACCGTGTAGTTTTGCCGCTTGAGTATGGTGATACGCTTCCCCAGCGCTACTCAGTAGCGTATTTCATGAAAGCGCCACGAGACAAGAGTGTGGGGTCTCTAGAGGCGTTCGTGAAGGATGACAAGCCAACAAATTATAGCAATATTACGATTTTGGACTATCAGAAAGGTTGGACTGGGCAGCTTTACTAAACTGATGTTTCGTCATTCCAATTCATTTACACCTTGGTCAATAAACCAGTTCTATTAATGAGATAAAATGTAACCATTGGCGTTGAGCTCAACAGGCGCTTCTCCTTATCCAACTCAGCGGGATGTGGCCCGATCAACCCACAGTCTGCATGGATGGATCCAACATAGAGTGGATCAACCCGTAGCCAATCCACCAGTCTAGTGGGGACACACTGCTGTCATTTGCAGTAGTATGGCGGCGCTACGACGGACCATTTGTGGGCGCATTGGCTAGATGCCCGGTAAATTGGCGCAGGCAAAATTAAGTGGACATGCAAGAGCTTGCTTGCTTTCTTTTTGTTTTATGTTATGGCGCGTTGATAAAGCTTCTAAACGACATCTGCGAGAGCACGCACAACTCAATCGCTTTCATGTACTCATGAATCTATCGTTTTGGGCCCTGACTTTGATGGTGAAGTCCGCTGATCTTTACATAACTGTGGACGTTCTCTGGCTTTATGTTGTTGTTATTTTGTCCAATGGGTCTAGCAGTGAATCTGTGGAGTTCTGATGTGAGCACGTTTTTAGCGCCCAGTACTGCTATGGGATAATCAGAAAAGTAAGCCTCTTGGGGAATGTACAGTCCGCACCGCTGGAGATCCTTACTTTCTCTACTGTAGCCATCTAACGCACATGACGCGATTCAAGCAACCTAGACAACAACCTCATAATGCATAGCCACCCTCTGCCTCTTAGACTTTGATGAATAAGGCTTCCATCCTAAGAATTTCCATTTCTGAGTGACCTTTGCACGACTAAAGTTGATAAACATGATATGTTGCACCCCCTTATTCTATAACATGTTTAATGCATGCTTGTTAAGATGCTCAACACCAGCATTGCTAAGTTTAGATCTTGTTCAATCAATCTTATTTTCAAAGAAGGAGCACTTATCTTCCTTTAAAGTCTTTCCTCCCCATGATATTAAGGAAATATGCATAATGGCATGGGTTAGCAGATAATATATGTTCTGCCATAGGTAGATATCTCCAAGATATACAGGGACAGCGTACCCTTGTAGAGCTTTAAGAGCTTAGTAAATTCTGGCTTCATAATTAGAGGTATACTCAGTTCCTTTGCCGACAAATGTATAGCCATAAGTATCTAGGGTAATAGTAAAAAGAGAACTATATAGTCCTTTTTTCCTATAGGATAGTAATAGTGATTAGGATCATAGTTAGAGTTGCATAACCAAACCGCAAAAATCGAACCCAAACCTCACCAAACTCACAGCAGTTCAGGTTCAGACTTAGGGCAATGGTTGGGGCAACGGGCGGGCATAGTATGGGCCAAAGAAAAAGTCAATAAAGAGATAACGGTCGCGCCTACCTAGACCATGCAACTGAGGTTCTGCTGGTATCAAAGCTGTTAGCTGTATCTTCGTCGCTAAGAGCCTCTCCTAAAGGGTGTCAGTCTGGATGGTCCGGTGGATAATATTAGCTAGCTATGCTGACTATGCCAGTTTCACAGCTCACATTTACAGATTTGAAGGCAGCTGCTAGGATTAAGATGATGAAGGTGCAGTGGCAGAGAGGAATTGATAACTTTGTGGAATAATGCATAGTTTAGACTGGTTAGACCCAACCCAGAAACCCAAACCTGACCCAGCCTAAACCCGCCTAGGGCCCTAGGCTAGGTTTGGGCTGAAAATCCCTAATCTATAAGCTAGTTAGGTTCTAATAACTAGAACCTATTCAGATTTTAGGTTAAAAAATAGGCTTAGGTTAGATTAGGTTAGGTTTGGATTAGGTATTCTCAGAAATCTATATTATTTTGATATAGTTTTAACTGTTTTATTTACAAAGTATGGACTATCAGGTAAGTCTATAAAGACCAAATCTAACTCAGGTTAGATTTGTTATTATAAAGTAGTAATAAAAACAATGATATTCCATTTAGATACTGACTTAATAACTCTTATGAAGCATTGCCTAATATTTAACCTCTCCGCGAATGTGGAGTGCATTTTAGTAGCCAAAGTACGACACTCCCCTGATGCAAGTAGCAGCTGTTTCACAAAAGACACCCGGAATGGATATCTAGGCAACTACATCAAGCAGCAGAAGGCCCTCGGCCGGAACATTACCATGGTGAATGCTTCGCACATTACGAGGCCAGTCGGACAGATTTCGGGAACTGTCTCGCGGTGGCGGAGAGCCCAACGCTAAGCACATCCTGGACAGCTCCTATGATCGCGCTGAAGATCCGCCAGAGGCTTGAACAGCTGCCAGGCGACAAGTTCCACATTGGAGACCGGCGGCTGCAGGAGGGCAGGCATTTAATGGGCACCCTAGACATGGCGCCAGCGTTTGATGCGGATACGCTTTATGTGAATGACTGGGTGAAGAACCCGTTTCAGCAGGTCAGCTTTGGCTTTGAATCGGCTCGGTTCTGGCAGCCTTTGGAGGTGGAGACATTACCTGTCAAGAACTTGGCCAGTTGCTAGTAGTAGCTTGACTGTTGCCTCATTTCCATTCTCTGTTGCCCAAGACTGTGGTGTCCGCCCATCCCTGTCCTTGAACTCCAGCACAAAATTCTTTGTTTCAAGGAGAAAAGCGCATATTCTTTCCTGAGTGAAATCTAAGTCACCTTAGACCATCCAGAGGATCGAAATGCCCGGCGGATCGTGAACGTTGACACAACAATATGGAAAGAAAGTCTACCACCTCATCAAAGTGTAGATCTGGCTGCTCTTGTACCGGTGGTTTCCACGAGCATGGTTCATGAGCACTGTACACAATCTAATGTTTTTTCGATGATCCTCAAAGATCTTGTTCTTCTCGGCGAAGCTCTAATGGACAGGAAGAGACAGAAAGTGCCCGCAGCAGAGGGTCGCCATGGCCTGTCCGTCGCTTCGGCCGAGTTACTGGCGTCCGGATTACCCCATCCCATCTTAGTTAAAACATCCATGGGATGAGCCCGGAGAGTTTGAGACATAACATTTCCAGTAGAAGTTCGTAACCATAGGCGTAGTACTGACACAGAAGGTGGCTATATTGAATATCTAATACTGTCACAGGCTCACAGCCCAGCATGAATGTGGGGCGATACTAGGCATTTGAGCGCCCTCAATCATTTACTAATCAATAAAATGGTAATTTTTCCGTCATGTATATAAGACCGAGGAATTATAGGGATGCACGAATTGTGAGGGGCAGGCAGGACAGGGTTCACATGCTGGTGGACGACAATGAGGGTAACAGGTACTGCCCAATGATAATTAGTTAACTAGGATGGAAACAGGGTGTTATGGGTTTCCAATGTGAACTTAACTTGCCATCCACGTGAGTTGCTTCTCCCCAGATGTTAAATTAGTCGTGGCTGCGGCCAGCCCCCCGTACCACTGTTTTCTCCACAATTCTGTCCAACAGTGCTGCGGGGGTACAAAAACTCCAGCAACAGAGCCAAAGGACCACACTAAACCATCTTTGTCTGGGTTTGGAGTCTCCGCCTCGCTCAACCCTGGATTTGATTTGTTCATCCATTACAGGACCAGCCGTATCATAGTAACAAGGATTACGGAGTATAAAAAACCAGCAGACCAAGTCTCTGGAAGACCCGAGCCGGCTGAGTCAATGGAGAAGAGAAATCACAGATAGTCCTACACGACCAATAATGTGACCTGAAGGATGTGCTCGTAGCCGGTATACTCCGCTAGCTAGATACGAGGCCTGGAGTGCCAGATCATTTAAGACTAGTTGGGTACATACATTCGAGTTCTATTGTGCTTTGTCGCGTTGAGAGCCCCCTTCACGCCAGACAACCTCCAGGCTATCCAAATCCCTTCGTTTCCTCCTCATAGCCAAAATGCGTCTCGCTGCTGCTGCTGTTGTGCTCGGCGCCGGTGCCATCACCAGCGCCCAACTATCCAGTATCCCACAATGCTCTGTAAGACTTGTCCGCTCAATGCCCCGGCTCCATATCTCGTTTCAAAACTAACACCTGCTCTCTTCTCCTTCTTCCCCTTGAAGCTTACTTGTCTCACTTCGGCCCTTGGTGCGGACGGCTGCTCTGAGCTGACGGATTTCGCATGCCATTGCCAAAAGACGGGCCTTGTGGAACAGGTTGTGCCCTGCGTCCAACAAGCTTGCGATGTCACGGACCAACAAGGTATGAGAGGCAGGCCACATTCCCCTCCGTATGATCCCCTCTAACCCATGCCCTTTTAGCCGTTTCCAAAGTCGTCGTATCTTTGTGCTCTGGTGTTGGCCACCCGGTCTCTGTCCCGCCGGTGGACTCATCGACTCCCAAATCAACTGCTGCAGGAAGTGTTCCGACCACATCGAGCAGCTCCAATTCTACCACGGTCAGTGGTTTGGGTGGAAGCTCTCGGACTTCGTCTGCGGCCTCCATGACTTCGACTTTGGGTTCCACGACTTCGTCCACGGTCAACACGGCTTCGCCTTCGAGCACCTCCCAATCCAACGGGGCCTCTGGTATTGGATCCGGAGTTGCTCAGGTGGCTGGTACTGCCATCCTGCTAGCCAGCATCATGTTTCTGGTCTAAAGAATGGCGTGGAGAAAGACTCGGATTTTCTTTCCACTGTTGGCTGATAATACCGAATTAGACGCTGGTAGCTTCTTGCTACCAGGCTATCTCAAGCTACAATCATCTGTAATATCTACTATTCTATAATACTTTATATAATTACGACCCTGTGGAAAAACCTGACTGCAGGGTGCATTTTCTTCACTAATTGTCTGTCTCATCCTTGACCCTAGAGCCTTCTCAAATCCGGTTGTTATCGGATCCATGGAAAGAATACGGAGTCCTGAAAAGAGGAACGCCCCGACACGAAGTAAAGGCATTCTCATGGTCAAAATATTTGGACTGACTTGTTCACATGTGAATGCACGAAGTCTCATTGACATGGCGTCATGGCGGTCCGAAGCAAGGCACTCTCCAGCAACACTGCCTATAAAAATATGCACACCTCTAAAACCTGGGTATGCGGGAAAAACAGGATTCCCATCCAGAGGCATCGTAATCTAAACACCCTAGTTGTAATATTGCACGGAATACCGGTACCGGGAAACTAACCGAAAATAGAAAAAAGAACCTTAAATACGTCCGTGGTTCTGAACTTTTAGATTATTACTCGTGGCGTGTGTGAGGAAACATCTGAACATGGGATTTCGCTTCGTTCCGACTCTGTAAGGTACGAAACCCAAGACAGCAAGAAGAATGGTGCCCAAACTAAGAGGAGAAATACTACAGCGAAGAAACTTTTTGTCTAAATCCTCAGGTCTGCTAGTCAGTTCTCCTCGGACCTGGTCACTGTGCCCCAGCTGGAATCTCATTTCCCCTGTGGGAACTAATTTCCGCGAAAGTTCGCCCAATGCCTGATACCAAACCGCACACGATCCTTCTCCCCAACTTCGTAGTGATGCATGACATTGCCCGCATTGAACAATTCCTGCCCATCGACCGGACATCTAACCGAATCGAGGTTGATAGCTGGAGGGACATTCCGCCAGTGAGGAATGAGGTTGAAAGTCTCATCTCCGTTGACCAATTGATGCATATGCCGAACGCGGGAGATTAAGGTTCTTAGCTTGAGGACTGCCCGCACCAGGCAGGCACTAAAAATCTTGAGTTTCGGGGGAAATGCTCAACAGTTAATGGGGTAGTCTCCACCGTACGGGACTCACCTCGGTCAATCAATGTCTTTGGACAAAATTGGTGGCAAAAACATGTGAAGGGACATATAACGCTTGATAGCAGGCCAACACTTTTCATGTCAAGAAAACCAATCCTGGGGAAGAGCACGCTACACGGCGCCCGCGCAAGCCACCCAGCCCACACTGACCAGGTTCTTCGCCCACAAACAAGATAGGAAGGTAGGAAGATAGTATGAGAAATGGAGACTGACGAGGATTTTGGACAGCCACTGACTCTCAAAAGGGGATCTTGGTTATCATTTCCCCTTTTTGTTCGTTCTGTAATTTCCGTGTATCGATAGAGGACTTGTTCGGTGCTGGATTAAATTCCCAATATTCAAGCACATCTACGTATTATACATCGTAACAAAGATCACATTCACCCTCTCAAGGTAATTGAAAAACGAGACACGCAAGCCACCAGAACTCCTAGTAAAGAATTAAATCAAGATCCTGCACACATACCCAGCTCTGCTAGGAGGTCTCTCGCGGTAACGTCGATACCGCCAGCGGCCGAGTCCTCCCGGCCAAATGCCAGGAACAGTGTGTCATCAATGTACCCATGATACTTCTGGCCGTGGCTTTTCCAGCTGATGCTAGTCGTGTAGAGCATCTCGGAGTCTCCTGAGAACAATGTTGAAGAAGATACATCTGACTTTTTCGCAGCAGTATTGCGACCAAAAATCCAAATTGGTTTTGACGAGACCGCATAAATCTCATATGGCATAGAACGCCGAGTAAGCACGACATATGGCTCATAGACGGGGTGAAGACCTTGTAAGGTCTTTTGTTGGATGATGAAAAGCACAAAGGTATTGGTCGTATCAGGATGGCAAGATTGGTCAGATCGTGCACATAGAGTGATAGCTAGCGAGTTTGTCGCTTGATGAATGCTCTCCGTTGGGCTCGTACTCTGAGGCAAGAATCTCTTGAGACACGCTTGGTCAGAAGTCGCCGTCGCCAGAGCCAAGTTTGGCCCAACGGAGCCATCGAGCTCGAGTTTCGCAAATACTCGCGCCGGTGCAATATCATGGTGTATGAACATTTGTCCCAAGTCGTCCCAGAAAAGGAACCAATTCTTCTCAACAGCATTCCATGGCATCGGACGTTGGAGCTCACGATACTGGCGGAACTCGTGTTCATGTATCGTGTCTATGCCCCAGTCCACCAAGATTCGAAAATCGGAGATCCATTGTCCAAAGCACGTAAAGAAAGAATTGGAGCCATAAATGGTGTACGGAATCTCGGGCCCGTAGAATACCCTCGCATCATGAGGCCCGACGCTGAGACTAAAATATGAGAGGTCGCCGACGCACTTGCTGGAGTCACCAAATGTCGCTGGTATGGGCAATTGCAGTGGTGGTTCCAGACAGCTCAGAACTCGCTTATCTTCTGAGAACGCCGCATTGCAGACGAGTTCAGCAAACCAGACTGATGCCATTCGAGCCGACGGAGGGTTATGAAGTTGTGCAGTGACGATCCAGGTGTCAGGCAATTCAGGATGGGGTATGATACTGGGATTCATCACGGATCTTCTCCCGAAATCGATCTTAAAGTACTTTCGGTCGGCACTCGATACTGAGTATAATACATGGTGCATTCGAGACATTTCTTTTTCGAATTCAGGACGTCTTCCGTCCTCGTCTGCGGATTGTCCATCCTGGCAGTGAGACCAGGCTTCGCTGCCGGGGACGCCTGAGCAAGCTATCTCGGGTTCCCCGGCATTAATGTGTGATTGCCCATATGGACCAGCCGTGGAGTGATACGAGGACAGGAAACTCGTTCGCAAGTCGAGATGGTTGGATTGAAGTTTAGCGACGAGGATCACTGCGGACAATAGCCCTGCAATAAGCATCAGGCGTGTGGCTGGTATTTTGGCCATGTTCAGAGTCTGGCGTGTGTAGAGTAGAGTATCGGGACGTAGTATTAAAAGGTAATGAGCCATATTCGGAAAACGGGTTGCCGAGGTTTGTCACTGCTAGGGGCCCCGACGGACGCGGGTAGTGGCTGAATTGAGGGGTGCAATCGATGGGGAGTGGCCACATCCGCAACTCTTAATTTCTGTGGGGTAATCGGCGTATTCCTCAGAGCATCAAGTTAATTCCTCGCTAGATACAACTTCTAAGATTGACAATACATCCACCGTGAGGATTGAGGTAAAGCTACGAAGAACTCATGCCGAAATCAATGATCGGACAAGCTTTGCCATTATGGTCCCAGACTTTATCATACAACAATTTATAATGCAAGGGTAGGCTTTGCGTGAGAGGGTCAAAAACAATAAGTAAATCACGAACACAAGCGGAGATTTGTCAAGTTTTGTCGACCAGCGCTTCTTGATACATCCGTTGAGAGAGCCTTACAGCAGGCTCGTCAACAAGTCTAGTCGTGACCTCTGCAAGCCAGAGAGTCAACGGCAACAAAACCAGCTGCGGGACGAGAAAGTTGACCTCAAGCCCAAAAGGACCAACGGAAGGCAGGGGCAAACGATTGATCCACCAGGGACAATTTTGGGCATGTGAATCGCGCACGAATCCCACTGCAGCGTAGAGCCTGTCTCCCAAAATCCACAGAACCGGTCCGTGGACTAAATAGAAGGCAAATGAAATGCGGCCCAAGTACTGGTTGAACGGGGCTGCAAAAAAGGCCTTGAGCCACCGAAGGTGAGATGTGCACGAGACAAGGAAGACAGCGGCCCAGAACAGGTAGAACCACTTGTAGTCGAACACTGCCTGCGGCTTGAGGAATGATAAGAGGTACCACCCCGGTGAGTCACGTAGTTGTTGCAAGTTATCCGTATGCGACGGGACCCCGCCGAGGTAGAGGCTGGCATAGAAGAGTAAAGTCATAATGGCTGACTTGAAGGGCTCCAGTCTGCGAAAAAAGCCGGGCAAGTCATTGCGCATGGCGAGGAGATCGAGATCTCTCAAAAGCATGCCAGCAATAAACATGGCAAAGTGCGCCCCATCCGCAATGTACAAAAAGTATACCACCAATGCGACTTCGCCGATCAGCCGGGCGTTGCGGCGAAACCTTGCGAAAGCGATCGCGGCGGTGTAAACAGCCAGAGAGCCTCGATATTCGACGGGTATAGACCACGCATGGAAATTATACGTGAACCAAGGCTCGCCGCCTGTTCGCAGAACGAAGCTGAAATTCTTGAATTCGGCGTACCAATTCCATAGCTCCGAGAGGTAGCTTCCTTGAAGCTCTGGGACAGTGCGAATTTTAAAGATATGCAAAAACGTCATGTAGCAAAACGTCGTGCAAATGACAGGTATATAGAGACGAAACCATCGGCGGAATACCGCAGAGGAGAGACTTTTACCTAGTTCAGCGTAGTCGCCATCCTGGATGCATCCCAGTGGCTTCATTGAGAGAACGTACCCAGAGAGCACGAAGAAGACGCTGACGGCAAAATGACCCCCGGCGAAGATTGTTCGAACACCAGGAAGGCATGCGAAGTAGTACTTGTTGTCGTAACCGTAGGCTAGCTCGAATGCCTTTCCAGCTCCTGCGCCGTCGTGGGCCCAAAGTTGATGATGTCCCCAGTAGACCACGAGAGCCGCAAACCCTCGCAATCCATCTAGGTATGCGGTCGGCCGGGTACGGTGTCGTTGCTTTTCATTCGTGTTTGTATCACTATTTGTCGGCCCAGTGAACAAAGTGGGCAGGAAAGGAGCCATCCATGAAAAAGACGACATTCCATGTCGAGGGTGTGTCCTCTGGGCTAACTGTGGTTTCCACTGTCCATCCTCGATGACTCGTTCGGGACTCCAGTTCAACTGAGGCGAGAAGCTCTCGACTGAGGCGGGTAGGATGGGCATCAGGGCCAAGAGTTGAAGTTGCCAGTGTCTTTTGAAAGGTCGAAGAAGACGATCAATAAAACCCAAGTCTCACAGCTTGAGAACTATTGCACAGCTCCTGGTAACTCGATAACACGTGAATCGCGCGGGTTCATACAGTAAGTGCCAGTGCCACTACCAACTGGTGCCGAGGCTGCCGCAAGATTGAGTTTCGCAGAGATTATACCAGGTCTTTGCGGACCATCTTTCCTACCTCCGCACATCCGGGGTCTGGACGCATACCCCCCGGGAACATGACTGAGTGGCTGAAGCTGTGCAGGTACAATCTCGCCCCGCACTTCAACAAGGTTTGGGGTCGTATTTGAGTGGGTCCATAGGTACAGTGGTACGTCAGATATTTTAATCCAATGTATTTACCGCTAGCCTGTTTATGTATCCGGATAGATTCTCAAAAACTGGCAGTCATAATAGTCCCGTGAGGGATATTACGATGATTTCTATGTAGCTTATAATGATTCTATCCAATGCTATAGAGCCTACATATGTATAAGCACAACCACAGTGATTACTTTTAGTGAGGCGCGCCATGATGATGTTGTTAATTTGGAGAGGGTCTCTTAGGATTTATATCTACAGCCGTATACTAGCAGGGAAGTCCCTAGGTAGTTAAAGCTAGCGGTAATACCACTTGATTTAAACTTTGACGCGCAATTGTATCATGCGGATAAGATTTACCGAAGCCTCAATTGGCGTTTTCCACTAAAATGCCATGATTGACTGCCCCACACCTCCGGCTGATTAACTAAAAGCGTCCAGATGCCACCAAATGATCCAGTGGGTCATGAAATTTACACAGACTCACAGTTCCTGTACCAGTGGCTACAACTGCGCTCGTGGGGTTACCAACAAGACAGCGCAGCAAATGGGATATAAGCTTTCAATGGTCTCAGGGGCTAACGCGATCCGAGGCAATTCATTTTAGATTTCGTCAAGACCACATGTTAAATACAAAGCTATGTACTGTATGTAATCTACACAGCTGGTGAAATAAGGCTATGTTTTCCTGGACTCACAATCTTTTACCTTTTCTATGCTTTCCCTAGATGAGAGGCCAGTGAATAAGATCACATCACAGGCACAGTCATGGTGGAGAAGAAATTCGTACCGATCAGTCTCTTTCCAAAGAGGGCACGTCGGTTCACACATGGCAGCCTGGCGACATTATTCCTGTTCATCTACTTCTGTGTTACCAGGACATCACACCACGTTGGCGAGACTCGATCATACTCTACCCAGGCCACGGCCGATGTTGGTGAAAAATTTCCCCGGAAAATCTGGCAGATTTGGAAAGTGAACCCACTGGAATTTGACGGACGTGATATCGAGGTTGCGCGCAGCTGGACTGCAAAAAACCCGGGCTATCGGTACGAAGTTCTGACCGACCAGAATGACCTCGAATATGTTGAAACGAATTTCGGACCTCTTGGGGAGAATCGACCAGATATCGTTGAAACGTATCGATCTTTGACTGCGCCGATTATCAAGGCTGACCTGCTTCGGTACCTTGTGATGTACATAGAAGGAGGGGTCTATGCTGATATAGACGTGGAAGCATTGAGACCCGTGGAGCGATTTGTCCCAAGCACTCATGACGAAAGAGATATCGGCATGGTCATAGGCGTCGAAATTGACGAGCCACAGTTCAGCGACCATCCTATATTGGGTCAGAAATCGCAATCCTTCTGCCAATGGACCTTCATGTGCAAGCCCCGACAGCCCGTGATGATGCGCCTAGTCGAGAATATCCTCCACTGGCTCAATGAGCTCTCCATCAAGCAAGGAAAGCCCATCTCAGAGCTTCAGCTGGACTTCGATGATGTGATCACAGGCACCGGGCCTTCTGCCTTTACGGGTGCCATCCTATCTGAAATGAGCCGTATCACTGGCAAGACCGTGACCTGGGATACGTTCCATGATATCCCCGAGTCCAAAGTTGTTGGAGGGTTTCTGGTCCTGACGGTTGAAGCGTTCGCCGCTGGGCAAGGCCATTCCGACTCGGGAACCCATAATTCGCGCAACGCGTTGGTCAAGCATCATTATCATGCCTCCGAGTGGCCAAAACGTCACCCCGATTCAATCACCCCCTTTTTGGGGAGGTTGAGAAGTGTAATTGGAACGTGGACTGTGTGAAAAAGTGGGACGAAGAAACAACTGCTTTTGCTGCCCTGCCTCAGGAAGAGCAGGAGCGGCAGATTGCCATATTTCAGGCGATAGGGGAAGCGTTGAAGAAGATGGAACCGCCGCCGCAGCCCGCCTTTGGCGGTTTTTGATGCATTGGACATTCTTCTTCAACTTTCTCTAGTCCTTCGCTCATTTTTCTTCTTCCTCTTCTTCTTCTCTTGGAAATTTGATGATTTATTATAGATATAAGCGGCTTAAGCCATTTTGACGATTATTTCACAAGATACTCTTATATTACTAGACTTATCGTTAGTGGCAGCGTGCCGAGTGACAGGACTAAGGTACCGTAGTCTGCGCGAAGCAACCTTTGGTGCACCTCCCGACAATCCGTCTTGGCCTTTATCATAGCTACCTAGACTGCAAGTGGACGTGCCAATTGAGCTAGTCTGACATGGAACCAGGCTCCCATATACACTACACGCTACAATCAGAAGGTGTGTAGAGTGTGATATTACTGGGTCGCGTGGTCCCGCTACATACGGCAGAGAAAATAGGCCAGCCCAGCACATGCTTATTAAGGGACTAGTACATAAACAAATGCTTGTTGGCAGGGACTGGTACAGCGGCGACATGGACTGCTTCCGCGAGTACATCTGCCACGTCCATGCCAATCGATGGGAGGAATGACTCGTCAAATTCGAAGACTCTGGGGATCGGTGTTGGGGGTGCGGCTGTAATTCTGCTGGTTTTGCTGACGGTGCTTTTCACACGCCAGCGACGGAGGATATACCTTCCGGCACAAGGAAAGCCAAATCCGACAGAAACTTCAGGTATACCAGTGGAGTTGGCTGGCCGAGAGTTGTCACGAAGAAGGAAAGATACAGGGTCGAATAGATTATATGAGATGCCAGGATAGCAATACTATTTGTTCAGTGCACTGTTTCAATCATAGCCACCATTGGAACTTCTACACTTACCTGGGTAGTAGTCACGCTAACAGTAACCATCCTATTGCCCAGAAAGCTCGATTATTATGGAACACCAGATCTGACCCTTTGGAGACTGTAGTTTCTGACTTTGGGAAGACCTCTGAATTGTATTTTCGGGCACTAACATAAATCACTGTTCCGGTTTGGCATTAGAGGTGTTATGCTATGCTCAGATGAGAAACCATAGGCTCACAGGAGCGGAGAATATCAATCTTCATGTAGTATCCTTCCATCTAGACAAACAAAACCTTGTAGTCATCAGCCTAAGCCCACCAGGGAAACTACCCGGAGGTTCTTAACATATTTACTATGGCTCCAAGTCTAGTAGTGAACGCGGGTGAAACGCCGTGACTTGCTGAGGGTGAATTTACTAGGAGATATCTTGACTTCCTGTCTTGATCCGCTATATTGGCACTAGTCAAAACAGCAAGAATGATAAGGTCTTGTTGGATAATTGTTATTGTATGGTGAATGTATAGACACAAATGCAGAGGGATGAACATCTGATCCTTCTCACCTGCTCAGTAGTAGCTTACATAGCAAAACAATGCGAAATCAGAAAAGATACAGCAAAATTCGCGGATGGGGGGAAGGGGGGGGGGGGGAAATCGGCGGTTGAACACTTGGAACCATGAAAGCAAACTAAAATTGTATCGTTCATAATCGAAACATTTCTGTAAATCCTTTTAGTTACTCCGCGCGGTAAGAATCGCTGACAGATGTTTAGGGAGCGGACCACTAGCAAGCTAGACAAAGTGTTGAGGTCGACTCTTGAGACTCTCAAATTTATTAGTGTGCTGCATAGTACATAGGTGGGAATGCATACTTACAGTTTTAGTTTTGAGGATGGAGCTTGAAGCCCCCTGTGCAGCCTCTCTGAAACAGCCCGTCTGGGTCATACTTTCTGCTGACCTCCGTCAGGAAGAGTAGATTCTCCTCGCCGTATCCTTCCAACGGTCTCTGCCACTGCGCACAGTAGTTCAGGTAGCGGAATGGATGGTCTGTCCCATTGGCCGTGGCGAACGCCTCGATTTTCTCAATGGTTTCGCGTATAGAAGCGTAGACACACTTGTCATCCCCCGCCCTCCGCCAATACACGGAAAAACTGAGGATGATGAGTGCATCATCCGTTCCCTCATGAATGCCGAGCACATTTGCGTCACCTTTCGCTGCCCACGAGGGCAGGAACGGTTGCATGACAATCGTCCAGATCAACCCCTTGACCTTCCGCAAGGAGGCGATGGCCTCCTCATGGGCGGCACGTGCAGCCAACATCGTGGGCAAATCGTTCTTGATGGTCGTAGTACCGAAGGACCATCTTTGGCCTGGTGGACAGGTGCCGCTCATCTCTATCACAGCGGACGTTACTGTGTGGACTTTAAAGGTGCTCCAGAAGCGCCAGAGAGTTGCGAACCCCGAATTCTTCCAGTAACCCGGCCATTTCTTGGGCTCTTCCGGTGGCTTTGTGTAGGCCAGATGGACCGTGACTGTTTGCATGCCTAACCCCTGTATGTAGGTGAAACAGGCGATAGGCGCCGCGGCGTGGGTATCGACAGCCGCTCCGCGTATTTTGGGATCAGCGTGTTTTGCACTCTCTTGTAAGGCCATGAGCGCCTTGGTGGACTGGGAATTGGGAGCGTACATGAACCCACTCCAGATTTGCGTGGACGGGAAGCAGCGCACTGTAAAGCGGGTGACGATGCCGAAATTGTTCGAGCCGCCTTTAAGGGCACGCCAAAGATCGGGGTGCGACAAGGCAGAGGCCGTAACAATCTTACCTGAGGCGAGAACGACTTCGTAGGTTAAGACATTCGAGCAGGCCAGACCGAAGCGTGGTGTGAAGAAGGATATACCGCCTATAGAGTTAGTCGAGAATATGTTAAGACAGAAACAGTTATTACTCACCCCCCAATGTATACCCAGCCACACCGACATCAGAGCTTCTGCCTCCTACAACGCCGAGACCCTTCTCATCCAGGATCCGCGATGCTTCAGCCCAACGAACCCCTGCTCCCAGGGCTACGCTTTCTCTGTCATCAGAGACCGTCACTTCCCGAAACAGCGAGAGATCGATCAACACGCCTCCTTTGGCGCTTGCACCGCCAGATACAGGAGATTGGCCACCGCCCCGGACAGCGAACAAAACACCATCAGATTCTTTCCTCGGCAGCGTCCTTCGCTCGTCATATTCCTGTTTAAGGATGCCGATGGCCTTGGCCAACTCACCAACATCACGTGGCTGGACGATGCAGGCTTGCACGACCTCGCGTTCCTGTTGGGCCCAGTAGGTGTTTATTGATTTGCGAAAGGCGTCTTCATCGCGATGTAAAAGCACAATGTGTGGCAGCGCCTTTGCGAGCTTGCTTACCGCACCTGAATTCGTTGGAACTTCTAGGTGCGGTCGCGCTTGGGGCGGCGACTTTGTCCGTCGTAGGAACCAAACTACCGCAAATAAGGCCGTCGCAATGCTCAGGGAATTCAAAAGAGTGGCCATGGTGCCTTACGCGAGAGGCAACCCGAAGGGCAATGCTGTATGGAATCCGTTAGCTGCAAGGATCCCGTGGGAGCGGCGGCGATTTTGAATCTCACCCGTTTTCCAGACTGGGGCAGTGCACCCTCCTTAGTTCGTGGAAACGGCGCCAAGGACTGGACTTGTTGGACAAACAGATGGGGACGGATACTGATCACATCGGTGCCAATTACTACACGGCGGATTTGCTGGTAGCCGTTGTCGCACGTATCATGAAGCTTATTGATAGTTCATAGAAACCATCTGCCAAGACTCAGCATGGCACGGCTTAACCGTCGTAAGAAGATTCGTAGTGGGTTTACTGAGTCGACGGCAATCTAAGTTATCTAACTACTTGAGCTGTCTAGTGACTTCTTGCGCTCTCATTATCGCTGTCCACCATTTCCCATGGAGCGGTTTCGAGGCGTCTCTATCGCCTACCATCATCATCCATATAGGACTCGATCATCGCTCGGTTTACTTTCCGGAGATGAATTTGGAACTCTGAAGCTCATGCTGTTATGATTGACCGAAGATGAGCTCAGATGTAGCATTCTGACTCAAACTAATATGATATAGGACACTTTGCCCATGTGGCTCAGATTGCTCCGCTTACGAAGTTGCCTCTCCAATGGTTTTTAAATCAACGGTAGCGTACTTAGAAAGCCTCGCAAAGAGGGTCCTGGTTACGGTGGCTTACTGATACCACAATTTCCGTCATCCTAACGGACACGCCAGTTACGCCCTTCCCCCTCATCTACCACCAGGGTCCGGCATGGAGCGTTCACAAAGATCACGTCAGAATTTAGCTTAGATAGCCAAGAGTGTACCCAACATAATGTAACTACTCTCTGCAGATTGACAAAGGAGAGACAACAGCAGGTGTCAGAGGAGCTTCCTATGGAGGTTCCTATAACACAGGCGGCGCCAGCACACATGATGTCAATTTCAGCAAAAATGTACAGATGTCAGACATCATAAAAGCACTCTACGCTATGCCAGATTTGGTCGTTGACTCCATTTCTTTTGAGTTGACACCAGCTCAATGAAGGCTATTCCGCAATAATGAACTAACGGCAGACTTTGAGGACTGTTATGTCTAGCCATGATTCGTACCAACTAACATAGTCCCCACCTAGGTTATTTCTGTATTGACTTTCGTGGATTCGGTCATATGGAAAGCGGCTGAATTTGAAATGATAAGATATCGTCCAACGCGAATTGTGAATTATGATCATTTTCACCTACTCCAGTCAGTAAATGCCGGGAAATGGAAGCTTGGTCACTCACCAATACCACGACTATCGCAGGCTTCCTGAAGAAAAGGCTCGGAGATATAAAGTTCAATACACTCAGCTGGAATCCATCTGTAGGCAACCCAGTAATTGGGATTTGCAAACTGCAAACCAGTCAGCTGGCATTCTGTCCGAAGATTCATGCCAAGTGACTTGGCTAATGTAGTGGTGCGATTAAAGAGAACCCCCATCGCGAGGAGCTTTGAGACATTGATTACGGCAATCATATCTCCTGCTCTGTCATGGTAGCCCCATTTTCGAAGTATCTTTAAGACTCTTGACGGACTGGCGGATAGTGCGATGAGGTCCGACGGCTGACTTCCCTCGCATTGATTTCTCAAAGCATCTTTGTCCACCAGCGAGCTGTCGAGAAGAGTGCCATCGTGATAAGAAGGAGACGTCAGAGGCTGGTTGGAAGAACGGAAGCCTAGCTCTGGGCTATGGCGGCCATGGCATCCACCTTTGAAGGCGCGATACAAGAACTCTGGTGTATCTAATTCCGGATTATCCCTCGGCCTGCCAATCGCTCGGTTGATGAGAAATCTGTTGAGCATCCGTAGCGTTCTTATATCATTTTGATAGCCCAAGCTAGCATCCCGAAGCCTGGTCTTAGCAATCCTGATTTTTTCACTCAACGCTAACCCCTCCCTGGTCTCTGTGCATTCGAGCTTAGGCCTCGCGCTCTGAATTCCAATGCCAGTTGCTCTTGACGCCACATAGTTCAGACTTTCAGCTATGAAGACCTAATCGTCAAGGAGACAGCAAAGTCTCAGTTGAATTGAGTTAAGTTCTTTACCTAGGTTGGCATTGCCGTTCCCATGTTCGGTTCTGTTCTTTTTTCTCTTCCGTTAAAGGTTCATCATGAAACCCAATGTAGCGACGGCGGACAACCGGGACCTCCTGGAGACCATGCAGTTCTCTGACCTTCTGGACTGGCATATCGGAAGATCATGCGCAGTATTTGAGGCGGCACGTTTTGCGCTTGTTTATTGTAGAATAGGTGATTTATAGTGGGGTGCAACGAGTGTGGGGATGAGGCTAACTATCTGGGTCCCACATGTAGCAGTTTTTTCCATGCCTCACAGGCTGCTTCTAGTTTCCAGGTAGGGCAAAGGGGGTACAATTCTATCTGTATTTGAAGGAGAAAACTGAGTCAGGAAACTCAGACAAGGCAGAAATGGGTGCTGGGCTTTCCTGCTAAGCTTTGTTTTGGCCCGAGTTGATTGGGGCTCTTTAATCCCTCAACGTTGTTGACCAAATTCTTCCACCTCATGTGGGAGGAAGATAAAATTTTTCTGGCCTATGAGACGAGTCACATGGTCTGGTAACGTCGGTTGTCTGAGCCGTTGCTAACAATAGATGATGGTGTGTAGACTAGTCACTAGACTAGCGGATAGCCGGTGTCTTCGTTGAACCAGGATCTCAGCCTTTCTCAGGTGTGTCCTCCGAGACATTTGCCCCTATTGATTTGGACACTTTCAGACATGAATCTCCATACTGCTTTGTTTACAACAATCATTAGGTAGATGAGACTGTGTTGAGAGCAATACTTTGAAGAGGATGAGTTGAGGATCCGTGTGAGCCCAAGTACTTAACTGACCGGGCTACCTTTGGGTACCTAATCTTGTACCAACACCAACACCAATAGGAGGCTGAGCTGTTGGCAACGGTTTATTAGATAATTGGAACCCTAGGAACTACCTGAGTACGGGAGGACCGGACCAAGGTTCCTACCTAGTAAATCGATAGGCGAGTGGGTTGTGTCTTAAGTTCTACAAGCTCATTTAATGCTGCAATCACACTCCACCACAACCTCCAGGCAACTCCAGGCAATAGAATCTTAATTTTTCTTAATCGCGTTATGCATTGCAATAGATACAACCCAAGTCTTGGTATTATTCAAGTGTAGCAATGAGTTAAGGCATCCTTCTCGTATGTATTTCCAAGCTAAGGACGGCAGGAAACGATCGGCTCCTGTCATTGAGGCTGTACAACACCGGCCTTGGCCTTGGCCGTTGGGTCATGTCTCAGTCCAAGCGATACACTAGGGTCCTTAACTTATCGATCTGCCTCGCCGTCTCGCGCTGCTGATCTTCTGGACCCCAAATTGATAATCTCCTAGCTTGAACTAGTTTATAATTGTAGCCGTGTTCCAGAAGTAGCCTGTAGACTCGGTAGATATAAGACTGCCTGCCTGCCTGCCCGCCTGCCCGCAGTTTTCCTTTTTCCTGCCCGTACATGAATCCGCCCATTTTAGGTTTTGTTATGCCTTCCCCGCGTCAAATCACCTCACTATGAGATGAGCACGCTTCTCATCCACAAACAGCCACTTTTGCCACTAGTGCAGTTTCATTCATTGCAATCCCTTTGACTCTGTCTACCCAACGTTTTCCTTCTGCCCTCATTTACCATCCGCAACGGATATTCGAGGTTGCTAAGCCCTTGATGCGCTCTTATATTGAAACTTAGTCCTCACTACCATTCCTTACAACTCTCTATTCTCAACAACAACAACAACAACAACAATCATGTTGCTACGATTTCTGTCCCTGGCCGGTCTCTGCCTGGGCCATGGTGTCGCTGCCCTCGCCCCTCAAGGCCACGGCCTCCCCTCCAATATACAAACATCAAACATCCAACATACTCGCCATTTCTACAAAATCGACATTCCCTGCTCTCACTGTGCATTCTCGGACGCCGAATGCTCTCAGAACCCCGAGTCGAAATCACACGTGGTACGTCAAATTGCAACCTCCCCGATACACGATAGTAAACTAACCTCACAAGACTATTGACTTCTCCTCCGACAATGGCACCCTATACGCCAACCACGAATCCGTCTTCCCGCCATCACTACCCATGCAATTCTCCGCAGTCAAGCACTCCGACTCCGGCGATCAATCCGTCCAGGTCGCATACAGCCTCGACGCACGACCGCTCCCCGCCCAGCCGGGCGCCCTCCTCGGCGAGACCTTCCTTCTCAAACTGCGCCTGTTCGATCTCCACGGCCGGCCCGTCGCACCGGACCTAATCGCGGTGGCCGTATCTCGACGCAACGATGGCACCCTCAGCATCAGCAAGGTCGAGCGGTCCCCGTTCCACAGACACGGCCACGGCCACATGACGTCGCCCTGGCGCCTTCTCAAATCGCACATCAAGCCTTACCTCGATCAGTTGGCTGAGGGTGCGGCCCCTGAAGAACCGCGCCGTCATCGCAGGCCGCTACATGCCGATATCTACCGATTCAGGGACCCTGCATCCCACTACCACAATACCATGCCGTGGAGCAGCCGCGATCGCAGCTTCATGAGGCTCGTGCGGCCGGTCATTCTGCCTGCGTTGCTGGGTGTTGCGGCGGGACTGTGTGCGTGCCTGGTTGGGTTTGTGCTTGGGAAGATGATGATCTCGTTGTGTCGGTGTTGGTATGTCCGCAGTGGAAGGGGTATCGCGAGGTTCCGGCTATTACCATTGATTCGGCGGAGCTGGAGGATGGTCCCGTCTCGGAAAAGGAGAGCTTGAGTCGATCGTCGCGGTGGCTGGATGTATGACATTTGTATGAAACCATAGATTTCTTTTTTTGTATAGTATAGTGCTATGCTCATGAATCATTCCTACCGACCCTCCTGTTTGATAAACTGATCTATCGATCATCTGCATCAACAAGGCCTGCTGGCCCAATGGTAAGGCGCTTGACTACGGATCAAGAGATTGCAGGTTCGAATCCTGCGTAGGTCATATTTTTGCTTTGCAAATATCCGTTGTGGATTTTTTTACTGTCGAATTTTTTTTTGCTGTCAAAGTCTGGATCGTATGGGGACATCCACTAGGGACCTAATTCCGTATTCGTAAATGGGTGTCTCCACCGTAGACTCGGTCCAGCTTCGAGCCAAGCAACGCAGATGTATGCTCCTCCGGTCAATTTTTCTGAACAACTTGTGAGCGAGTTAGCCATCCCGGGATGAGCGACATGCACGGCTGGCTCAGGATCTAGATAGTATCAGTCTCACCTTGACGGCCGAAGGAGACGACACGACGCTCCTGTATTGACAGGCTATGCCATTGCGATACGCCGGGTTTTCAAATTTCCCAGTACCGGCACTGACTAGCTAGTTGTAGTTGCCATCGTGCCTTGAGACATCTTGCGCAGGATGCACTCATCAAAGTATCTCGTTACGTGATAGTATAGTAGATTAGTGACTAGCTATATATACTACACTGTCTATTCATGATATCACCCGAGTCTGTATGCAAAAGAAATAAAAAAGTTTGTAGCTGATCCGCGCGGTCTTCAAACAAATGGGCAAGGCCTTCTTCATATAGTTTTGGTTGCGCTCATACTAAGCATCTCCATTCATCCTATATACATAGACCATCTTACTATCTATACTCATTAGGTAGTCACTCGTATGAATTTTGTCTGCCCCCTGTCTATGCAGGTATGGCTGCAAGCAGCCAGGCCAGAGTCTGAAGTAAGCTGTGTTGGACAGTGATCTTAGACCAGCGGGACCATGTGACGTTGCATTTTAGGATACCATCCTCCAGGAATGATACTACTGTGGATTGCATGTCAAGAAGGTACATTACCCTGATTCTCCACAACGGACCGGTGCAGACCATTGCGAAGTAACAGTTATATACCAGCATACTAAACTTTAATTGAGATGTTAGTTGAAGCTTGAGGGGTTCTTTGACAAGGATGCTTATGTGGGTAGTACATGGACTAATAGATCGATGGTAGAACGATCAGCTTATCCGTACTCTAGAATGGTGCAGATATTCCCATTAAACATAAAATTATAAGCACACTCGTAAAAAACTATTGCCTCAAAGTAGAATTGAAACGCGCATCCTGAATTGACTCCGACAGGTAAGTTCAGCGCAAAGTCTTTATAATCGAAGAAAGCTTGTCCAGTAGCGTATTAATCGTCCCTTTCTCTCTTTCACCACCGCTGGCTGGGCTCGTAATGACATTGACATTTGTGCCGCCGCCGGTGTTGGTTGCTCCACCGTTGACTCCATTGCTGGTGTTTCCGCCCCATTGACAGGGTCTGTTTCAGTCGATCTCTTTGTACGCTCGGACGCCTTGTTGCTGGCGGAGTCTGGCGCCTCCATGCTGGCTGAAGCCCGACTGAGAGTAGTGTCTACAGCTTCAGCACCCTTTGTAGCCGTTCCGGATTCTGCAGGTTCGTTGGGGGTAGATGCTCTAGCACCGGTTGCAAGCGTCGAAGGGCTATCATTTCCATAGTCTGCGTTGTCTTTTGCGAACTCGGAGCCCCAGTTGCCCGCAGTGCCGTCGGCAGAACTGCTACTGCCCACGGAAGGTGCTGGCATTCCAGGTCTCGGGGTTCCAGACGCACCGAGAGCACTGGAAACAGTTCCGCTCCCTTTAGATGATGTGTCTCCAGAACCTAAACCAAGGCCTGCCATGGCGGTGCTGCTCCCGGAGCTGCTGGGGGAGAGACCGCTGTTGTTAGGCCTGGTACCTGCGCCGCTGGCGTCGCCAGCATTACCAGACACCCAGGACCCGCTGGTCTTGGTTCCTGGACTCGCCGACGCAGAGCTAGAGCCTCCACTACCACCCCAAGATGCGGGAGTGCCAGAGCTGGCTGAAGTGGTGGTCGAAGCATCGCCACCCTTAGAGCCGCTACCGGGACGGCTGCCTGCGGTGGCAGACCCGCTCGCCTCGGCACCCGGAGCGCTAGAGCCAGGGCTCCATGGCGAGGCAGCAGTGCCTTCATCTTCGCCTCCCGGTGGTGTAACCGCGACACCGGAAGGAACCGTTCCAGCAAGGCTATTACCGCCCCAAGTGTTTCCCGTTGTCGTGCTTCCGGGCTGAGGCTGACCACTACCTGCGGGGGCATTTCCGGTAGTCATGTCGCCAGTAGCGGTGCCGTCAAAATCAGAGTATTGTCTGGACTGGATGTGCGTGCTGCTGTCCACACCAGACGCTTTGTGCCAGCGGAGCTCCTCGGCGAGGCCAGCGGCTCCCTCATGCCCGAGTTTGCCATGGTAACCTTCCTGTGCCGGGTGTCAGTGATGAAACAGGATATGAATGCATAAGGTGACTCACAAAATCTAACTGGTTCATGGCAATAGGTCTAGCCCCGACCAGACCGGAGAATGAAACCATATCGACCAAGAAAATCAAAGCCAGTAAGCTGGCCTTGGCCTTCCGTAGAGTAGCCATAGTAGCGTTATCACAGCAAGCGATGTTTTGATGGAGTCAAGTGGAGATCTACAACAATCAGGTCAAAAAGGACTGCATTGGCCGAGTCTTCGTCTCTGAAAATTGCCCCAGACGTTGGGAGTCTGCCACGCTTTTTAACTGTTTCTACCTCCTAAGAGTCGAACGGCCGAGACTTAATCATTACAAGTCTTGAGCATCATGGTCTCAATCCGTCGGCGCCACAAGACAATTGGTTACATTAAGTCCAAGCCGGACCACGGCCGTTTCTGTGAGCGTACCACAACTGGAGAACAGCTCCTACTTTAATCTTGGTTCAAGCAGTAGAGCTCGCCGAACGCTTGGTTCAGGCGTCGAGATCAATGGTATAGGGCGAAAGAACGAAGGAAATTAGTAGCCCCCAGGGTGGATCCACGTTGCATCGCGACGGGTGATACGCTTCGGGGAACATGTCGAGCACACTGGTTGAGTCTAAAAGCGGGCCGATGATTGACAGGTGAGAGTGGCAGGCACGTCTCCGCCTGACAGTCCTCTGTCGGACTCCGGATCTCTGAGAAGCGAGCTCTTCAAGTTGAACTGGACTCCAGGTGCGCCCTGCGCTGGTTGTGAGGAGCACCGAGTTTCCCTCCGTATTTGAATAGACGAGTGTACAGCCAAAGGAACGTCCCTGGAAATGGGAATGCTCTTCCCATTTTATCAAATGGTGCGAACATGGTTGGTAAAGGCTGGGAGATCTTGTTCAACTCTACCGAATAACTTGAGCATCGGTGCTTTGACCTTCGTGGCTTGTGTGTTGATGCTTATGGTTTCTTGCCTTCCTGTTGCAGCTTCATGCAAACAGGTGAAGTCCCGTCCGGTTGGAATGCAACCGCATCTGGACGCGATCGTGGTGCCAACTATGCTGGCCTAGTGAGAAGAAGATCGACGCCACGATATGTCAACTCTTACTGCAAATGACGATCTTCTCTTCACTTCATGGTCCATAATTGGGAGAATGTAGAAATGATCTACGATTTTATCCCTCCTTGTGTAGTGTTGAGCTCAGACACGAGGGGCATCAGAACGTGGGATGGTCTGCGGATGGAATGGAATGGAATGGAATGCAGGGTCTCCTGTCAAGGAGTCTGGTTATATCCTCCCTAGCGAAGATTCCACGTTCCAAATCACCCTTTTCAGGGCAAAAGTGGCATTTCCCGTCTGCCAGATGGCTATTGACCACATTCCTACACATCTCTGTTCATCATACCGTCTGCGAGTAAGAGCGCAGAATTGACGAAAACAGCAGGTTCGGCCGAATGTCCAATTAAGCATCGTTTCAAGCTTATCGCGCTGAAATAAAGCTCACAATGGTCAGTGGGATAATGCTTGCGCTTCCAAAATACGCACTTAGTTGTTTGATTCAATAATTTGCAAAGGCCACATAAGTTCATCGGTGAACCGGGTACTCGTGAAGCTCAAAGAATGTTTCTTGGGTGTTCGATGGGAAACTAGGGTCAGGTGAGCCTGAAATATTTTCCCAGTGGTTCAGAATTTCGGTTGGTGGATAGAGGTCGAAGATAGCACAATTAGCGAGGACGGAGAGCAGATGCGAAATGAAGGGCGCTGCAAGACGAACTTTCAGAGTCGCTTCAGCTCTGTGCGAAGACATTCCCAGTTAGCAAAGCGCAGCGCCACTGGCATCCGTTTAAGTTTGATCAAGTAGAGCGAAGATGACTGAGAGCGGCCGCCTGCCTAGGGCATTACTGCGAAGTCAAAAACCTATCACACTTTTCGTCGAGGTAACCCTTTATTATTGTGTTTCGCGAGAATGAGGCGTCTCGCAGTTCAAATCTTGATTGATCTCAAGACATTGCCCACAATTGTACAGGTAGACCAGACCTTGCTGAGGAAATGCCAATTCCTGTTACATGTGGGAAATGACCAATGCCATCACGGGTGGTCTTAATAGAAATGCCATGCTTCTGAGTGGCAGGAAATGTATCGGCAGGTACCTTAATGCTCCTTGACAGCAAGGTAAATGTTATCTTCAAACTTAACAAGCAAATTGCTTTTATTGCACAACATATTCGAAATTAATACAAGTTAAGCTACCTAGTAGCGAAGGGATCTCAGGTAGCATCGAATTACACTTGCCTTTTTTTTGTGTTTCACCCATGGTTACCAGAGGTGCATAATTCATAGCTCCAAGTTAGCGGGTTGCGGAAATCATCCAAGACCAATTTGCCACCGACTTTATTCTATTGGAGCTTTCAGCCTTTACTTAGCTAAGGTAGCTTAGCTTTTAGCTGAAAATGTGGCTAGTGACCTACTTCAAGTATTCCTGTATTGGATTTAGGCGGTGGGATGTACTTGAGCTTCTGGCCAATCATAAGAGAGGGAATTGCTTGACAATGAAAATCAAAAAAGCAAACTCAATTGCTGCGATCCACAGTCGATCATCCAAATTGCAGACTTCAACTTGCCAGCCCCTCTCACCTCCAACCTCCCAGAGGGAGACTCGTTTGATCGCGTAGACTAGGTAGAAATTCAGCCGCCACCTACGATTTCCTTGCTCTGCGCTGGCAAAATGAGCTCGTTAGTGTGCTTCCGATAGCCAATCAGTATATGACGTTGTCATTGAGTATACTGGTGGTACAAAGTACGTGAGGGAGCCATCCTTGATTTGAGTAGACATTGCGTTAACCCTGTTATGCAGCTCGTTTTGTCGATGCAAATTGCTTAAAATTGGCCAGCATGTATCTCGGAATGTATCCCTCTTTGTGGTGGTGTGACTTACGTCCCTGTAATGCTATGCTTGAAGCTAGCAACTTACCTAGCAACAGACTAACAGAGACTAACAGAACTAAGAATGTGGCTGGTGACCGCTTCGAATTCTGTCATGATGAGCAAAATCTCAAATCTTTGATCGGACTATCACACGCTAAACCCTAAAATCTACCAAGTGCAGCCAATGATAGACCAGAGATGCTTCAGCTCGAGCCACAGCGGCTGGGATCATGCCTACTCCATACCGTATTCTCTGTCAGCCACCTGCCCGCATGCAGAATCAAGATCCCTGCCATGACCCACCCTTGTAAAGTTGATCAGTCCATGATTGTATCAATGACTTCACCGAGCAGCAAAACATGCCCCGTGCCTCCATCCCTACTGCCTTAGTAGTGGGTACCTACCTTGCAACTACTCTGCACTAGACTAGCCACGTTGCTGGGCAGCATTCGGCCGGAGACGCGGACGTACTGTGGACAAGGACCACTGGCGATCGCACTTTCATTGAGAGAATGGATCCCTAGGGCCGTTAGGAAACTCGAAGCTTCAATTGCTTTCAACTCAAGCGCGATTGTTTGGTTTACTTTCCGCTTGGGTCGTAGTTACCTTATAAAAAGCCCCCTCTTCCACCGCCGCTCCTTTGCATTCTTTCAACTTACATCATCGACCTGATTCTGTTCAAGGCCTTAAAGAGTGCTCTAATTGATTCAATATCACTCAGCATATTCATCTAGCTTCTGATCCTCACTTGATTTTCGATATCCTGCACTCATCATGAAGACCTCTGTGTCTCTTCTTTTGCTGTCGGCTGCCAGCATGGCGAGCGCTGCCATGTCTTTCTCCCAGTGCGCAGTACGTTGTTCAGTTGCCTGGAACTACGTCAAAGTTTCCCTTGGCTGACTTCCCCCTTTCGCAGCAAATGTGCCTCAGCAACATGAAAGCCAAGGCTGGCGAGCTGGGCTGTACCGCCGGCGACGATAACTGTCTCTGCACAAAAGTCAACTACGGATATGGTATTCGTGATTGCACTACCGAGGCCTGCCCTGGCGAGGATGCCGCCGCGGTCCTATCCAGCGCCCTTTCCTCTTGCCCGAGTAAGTATTTACGAGAATCTGCGCTGCCCCAACGCGATCGAGCTAGGCGCTGACTGCAATCGTTAGGTGACTCTGCAGCTGTCACTGCCACAGGAGCTGGTGGTTCTGGCTCTGGCTCTGGCTCTGGTTCTAACTCCGGCTCTGGCTCTGCCTCCGGCACTGGCACTGGCTCTGCCTCTTCCACCGCTACTAGCACCGCTACCGGCAGCGACAACGGCACGACTGGTGGTGCTGGCGCTGGCGCTGGTTCCTCCACTGGCACCAACGCTTCGGGAACTGGCGCTACTACCTCTGGGGCGAACCCCTCCAACACTGGTGCCACCACCACAGACACAACAATGACTACTACTACTACCAGCTCTGAGAACGGCTCCTCCACTGGCAGCAGTTCCTCCGAGTCTGGGGCTGGTAGCGGCTCTTCCACCTCTACCGGCTCTGGCTCCGGCTCCGGCTCCACTTCCACTACTGCCCCCAACAGCTCGTCCACGGGCAATGTTGCCCCTCGCGGCGCTATCGTTGGTTCCGGTGCCGTCGGAGCCCTGGCCCTCGCTGCCTTGGTTATCCTCTAAACCGCTCAAAGATTGAGTTGATGGGAATAGGTTTGCTGATGTCAGTGTATGTCTTATGTCGATGAATAACGGTTGATGATACCTGCCGTCAAAGCCGGATTGTACATGGGAATTGGTGGGTTCTGATCTGATGAGTAAATAATGTTTTGACCTTTTCTGATGCGCTGGTATATGTCGTGCTCTCCTAATATATTAATATTTCTGAACTATCTATATCTTTCTCACCTTCAAGTAGACTCTCCCGGTCACCGTAGATATAGAGCTAACCAAGTATATAAGTAGTAGTAACTCCGTACACGCGTCAGCATGTACTCCAACCTGGAGCACGCACGTGGATGCCGAAGTTGACTATCCCAGCCCTACTCTGTACCATCACTTTCACTTCGAGCGGTCTGTCGCATGTGATCCTTGGCATTCCCAGCATGGTTTTTGATGACATCAGCTGGTATCGAGATACTCTCCACGTCGTCGGTCACAAAGGTCAGTCGCTTGAGCCAAAATTAAATGCTGGAAGACATGGATGTACACGAGAGCCAAGCTTCCTGTCGTCCGTAGAGCTGCCCTCTGCTGTTGGCTGGTGTGACTGGCCAGAATACCTGGAGTAATGGAATCCGGGGCAGGGATCCGTGGAGGGGGTAAAGACCTAAAAAGTCAAGCCGTGGTTTAGTGCCCGTTCACCCGGACCGTCCATTGCGCGCGGTCGAGTATCCGATGGTCGCAGAAAACAGTACAAATTCAGGGATGTAGCAAACGATACGGAGGGCACAAGATCACTTCTATGATGGTGCCTTTGATGATAAAGTGCAGCTGACAAGATCAGAACCTGTTAAGTATCGTTAAATCGAATATCTGCGATCTGAGGAGATACATTGATCCGGACCGAGCCGAGGTCCAGTCACGCGCGTTCGCCGAGCGGTGGTTGTACCTCTTGTAGCGGGACTGTATTTGTCGGTATCCTCCTGCTCGGCCTCGGCCGCTTTTGTTGCGGGATTGGAGCTATTTTTCCCCTTTTGACTGCCTTTTCTCCTCCAATCTGTTGAAGAATATCATCCTTGATCAATTTTATCCTCACTTCAGCTTCATTTCTTTTGTTCTCCCTTTTCGCGACCGTTTCGGCGTCCTCCGTCCTCTCACCCTACGCTCTTCTCGGGATCGCCTCACGCCTTGACCTCTTTTGTGTCCCTGCTTATCTTCCTCCTCTTTCCCCGCTACGAACTGAGTCCGTTTCCCCGCGTCTCCGTACACAACTTTCACAATGTCGACCCCAGGTTCGTCTACTCCTGAGAACCTCAGCGATGAGCTCAAGGCCGTCGAGACCAAGGCTGTCAACCAGACCATTGCTCAGATCCGCTCCCTCGCCGCAGGTGCGGCGGGTGGTATCTGTGCGGTGGTTGTCGGCCACCCCTTTGATCTGGTGAAGGTGCGGTTGCAGACGGCGGAGAGGGTGTCTACTCGGGTGCCATTGATGTTGTCAAGAGAACTATTGCCCGTGAGGGTTTGGCTCGGGTAAGTCGCGCGGTCAGTTGTGTGGTGGTGCTTGGTATTAATGAGCTGTAGGGATTGTACGCTGGTGTTTCGGCTCCGCTGGTTGGAGTCACCCCTATGTGTAAGTTTTGTCGCATTCTTCGGAAACCAGAGTATTGAGCTAATTGATGTTTGTAGTCGCCGTTAGCTTCTGGGTATGTGTCTGGTGGTAAAAGTGGTGCCCGGGTTGAAACCATTAACCATCCATAGGGTTACGACGTCGGCAAAACGCTTGTCAGCCGGTTCTCGAACGTGCGCATGGAGAACAACACCCCCCAGTACACCATCGCCCAGATCTCCGCTGCTGGTTTCTTCTCCGCCATTCCTATGACACTGATCACGGCTCCCTTTGAGCGCGTGAAGGTGCTTCTGCAGATTCAGGGCCAGAACCCTCCGCCTCCGGGACAGAAGCCCAAGTACTCTGGTGGTCTGGACGTTGTCCGGCAACTATACAAGGAGGGTGGTATTCGGAGTGTCTTCCGCGGAAGCGCCATGACTCTGGCCCGTGATGGCCCTGGTTCCGCCGCCTACTTCGCTGCCTACGAGTACATCAAGCGCAAGCTGACCCCCAAGGACGAGCACGGCAATGTCACTGGTGCCCTGTCCATGCCCGCCGTCCTGGCTGCCGGTGGTGCTGCCGGTATTGCCATGTGGATCCCCGTCTTCCCTGTCGACACCATCAAGTCGCGTCTCCAGAGTGCCCCGGCAAGCCCACAATCGGCGGCACCATCCGGTCGGTCTACGCCAGCGGTGGCTTCAAGGCGTTCTTCCCTGGTTTCGGTCCTGCCTTGGCCAGAGCTGTGCCTGCAAACGCGGCTACATTGTATGTGATTTCCCGAGATGTTGCATTGAATACGGTTTACTAACGACTCGAACAGTGCCGGTGTCGAACTCGCGCACCAGTTTATGAAGAAGCTCTTCGACTAGAGGTCGAGACTTGATGGAACCAGAAAAAAGGAATGGGAATCGATCGTGTAGGGTGGATCGTCCGTTGAGAGATATTGTATATATACCACTTTCCGTTGTTGTGGCCCGAGAGTGCATATTCCGCGTTTCTTGCCAGTTTTTCTCTGCTATGTACGGGAGCATAGAAGCCTGGATATCCTGTTTACTAGGTATTATAGACTAGATGATGTTTTTCTATTGGCCTATTCACAATCAGCTTCATTATGCGACCGTCGACCAAGACTGTTTGATTTCTGAAACATTTGGCGCCATGCTGACAGCAATAATGATCCCAACCAATCATTTCTTAACTTTAAAGCGGAGACATCTCCAAGCTCACTCTTGCTATCCTGATGTTTATGGTATGGGCTCAAGCTCCGTAGCAGAGTCAGTAGACAAATGGGTAGGGGAATAAAAATCGGTCGCGACGCTGAGCAAGCCTCTTATCCAGTAGTTCCACCCAAATATCGTGCCAATTCTATGAATTTGGGATGGCTGACAGGGGCAGCTTGCTGACGGCACAGGTTGCGTTGCCTCTAATTTGCTGCTTCAGGACAAGGATCGATGGCTGTTGTAACTGAGAGAGATGGATCTGATAGGACCGAAGGGTGCAACATATTGCGCCCTCGTAGAATTTCATTGGCGTCGATACATCCGTAAACCCCGATCTGAGGCTCAGCCTCGTTGCTGCCTTCTAGCCCGCTCGCCTGCCTGGACTGGCTGACCCGCCTGCCGCCCCCGTTCCAAGCAAATAAAATCGCCGACGCCCCCATCACCTTTTCTTTGTTTGATTCTTATTGCCATCCAACTATTTGTCTCTCTCTACACCAAAGATATCTATCACATATTCTTATTCATATTCTTCGACAACATTTGATTCATATTTTGAGTCGATCCATCATGGTTGTCAGCTCCCTCGTCCGTCGAGGTGTTGAGCTCGCCTCCGAGCATCTCCAGAAGCACTCGAAGCAGCCTTCCAAGCAACCGCCTGAGATCCAGCTGTCGGGATGGCTCGTCGCTCTCTTTTTCGCTACCTTGATTGCTTTCGTTCTCATTTCTTGGTCGGTGAGTGATTATGCCAGTCAATATACCACTGCTCCGAAAGGATTATTGCTAAATGAGGTTGGTCTAGATCGAGTACACCTATGGCATGGTAGTCACCACCCTCGCTGCGGTTGAAGACAGCAACCCTGATATCTATGTCCGCATCGACGGTGACATGGATCCCACCAAGCCCGCCGACGAAGTCGAACCCGAGTTGGCAGCTGTGCCTGCCAAGCCCATCACTAGCAAGCTCCGTACCACCATCAAGCACCTTCGCGCCCGTGCCGGTCCCTGGTCTCGGTTCCGCGGCATGAGCATGTTCCTCATATACCTTTTCGCCCGGGGCTTCTTGCTGGGTATGATGCCCTTTGGAATGAACCAGTTTATTCCCCAGTTCATCTTCCAAATGGTTGTCGGTGTTCTCCTGGCGAACTTGCAGTTGGCTTGGGTCCACATTGTCATCTCGGAGCCTTCTCCTAAGCGCTTCTACCAGCGTATTCCTGGCTACAAGGCCTGGTTGAAGATCGCACCCGTTGTGGCCTTTGAGCATGCTGTTGCCGGTCTTGCATTCTATGTTCCTCTCGTTGTGATGAATGCTTGTGGCGTCTTGGATGCATTGGCCTCCGCTCCCAAGGAGGGTGTTCCTCCCGCCGAGGCCGTTCGCCAGGCGCTCACCGTTGTCGCTCTTCCTTCTCTGATTTCGCTAATTGCGTCGATTCCTGCTCGCGTGGTCTTCATCCGTGTCGCCGCTTCCATGCTGCCCGACGAGGACGAGTCTATTGTGCCTTTCGATCGCTCTTTCGGCGGAAAGGTGGCTCCCGCTATTCTTGGGGGCAGCGGTAAGCTCAGCATCTCCGATGCCTGGAAGACCTTTGACCGGGCTGCTCGGATTCGTTTCCTCAAGGTGGTTGGAAAAGTCATGGCTCTTGAATTCGGCGTGTTCGTCTTCTTCTCGCTGGCGCTCGCCGGTGAAGTTTACATGGGAGCGGAGTCTTTCATGAAGATCATTGCGGACATGATCGCTCGCAGCGGCGGCAGCGCTTAAGTATATATCATTTTGAATGAGCATCAGACTTACTCGGCTGCACAGATTGGACATGTACACTTCTCTCATTTATCATCTCAGGTTTATACGATTATCTTTCCTATTTAATTTCAATCTATCGGCTGCATTTTGCATGTTCCTTCTCATTACATTTTATAATTTCGATCTAATTTTCCTTGTAAAACCAGACTATTATCCTCTGTCAAAGAGTGGACTTGTATTTGAAACATAGTGGCAAATCGTCTTGCCATGACTGTGGCGGCGCGGAGGCTTCCAACGCTGACTTCATGCGGCCGAATGTCACGCCCTAGGGTGCCCCTCACCAGACAGCCACTTGCCATTCCGTTCTCTCCTCTTCTCTCTTGCTGTTGGTTATTCTTAGGCATTACCCCTAGTCTTCGAAAGGAACATCCGTTGTTCTTACATTTATAGCCTATTATTATTCTTGCGCATCATCGCTCTTGGAGTCCCTGACGATCTCTGATATCTCTTCCTGTCATATCGCGTCCGCCTGTCTTCCAAGGTATCTATCTGTTAGTAGTGATAGGTAGCCCCGCTTCCCCACTCAACCAATCTTCACTCTCTGCACACCGTTCATTATTTTCCGATTCAGTTTCTTTCACCTTTCTGTTTGGGTACCTTTCAGACACATCTTTCTTAATTCTCTCCGCTACCTCTGACTGAGGCCAAAAGTCCACCGATCCTTCGCTCCAACTTCTCTTCTTACCTCCGGGAGTGGCCAGTCCAGACAGAACCTCTTCTACCATGGCCACAACACCAGCCGGTCGTATGCTGGCACGCCAGTTGCAGCAGATGCAACAGGACAAGGACATTCCGGGGATTAGCTGTGGGCTGGTGGATAACAATGTATTTGAGTGGGAGGTTATGCTCATGATTTCGGACGATGTCAAGTTGTACGGCGGTATGTACGCTTTTTTCACTTCAGTTGCGGAAACGGATGACCAGGACGGACTGTATCCAGCAGTTTGAAGTTACTCTAACGTTTGTTTGACAGGGGTTTCTTCCGTGCTCGACTGTCCTTCCCACCGGAGTATCCGCATATGCCGCCGAAAATGAAGTTTGAAAGTCCCGTTTTTCACCCCAACAGTAAGCTTGCGTCTTTTGCCTCTTTGTGGTTGGTTGCATCCGTTGCATGATACTGAGACATTCTCTCCCTGTTAGTCTATCCCAACGGCGAGGTCTGCATTTCCATCCTCCACCCTCCGGAAGAAGACAAGTACGGCTACGAGTCCGCCGCCGAGCGCTGGTCCCCCGTTCAAACGCCCGAAACTATCCTCCTCTCCGTCATCTCTATGCTCTCGAGTCCGAACGACGAAAGCCCGGCCAATGTAGAAGCCGCCCGGCTATGGAGGGAAGACCCGGCCGAGTTCAAGAAACGAGTCCGCAAGTGCGTCCGTGAGAGTCTGGGTGAGGATTGAGCGCATGAACTGGAGTCGGCTGCATCCAATACGCTTGATTTTTTTTCTTTCTTCTGAAGGCTTTTTTCTACTGTTGACCAGCGCGATAAGCGGGTGCGGTTTTCGGTTGCTCATTTATTTTGTCTCATGTGCATGAGGAACCGGTCAATGGGCGGTTCAGTCTTATACGTTGTTCTATGGTCTATACATCATCTCTCGGCTATTTTCTTGTTGGTATGGAGTTGCTGCGCTTTAAGGGTCTGGAGTTGAATTGATTCATTCTCATTACGGCATCATAGCTTGAGATCAGCGCGCTTGCAACATATATGGTTGGTTGCGGTGTATTCACGGTGCCCTCGCCGAGTGTTCATGGAGTACTTTCGGTAAATAATTGTAATTTTACCTCTGAGAGTAGTTTACTAAAACCGATAAGAATATGTCTATAAGTGACTCATGTATATACGGTGTAGCCATGTACTGATAACCCAAACTCCGGCTAAAGAAGCATTTTGAAACTGAACAAGGATGGTATACCTCCAATGCTAGGGCTGGTTCTTGGGACCCTTTCGGATCGAGCCGAAGAAGAACCCCGGGTGTAGGACCGTGAGGGCAAGAATCGCCAGTGCGATCATCCTGCTGTTGTTAGTAGCTGTATACCTGCTTGATGGATGTTCCTGGACTTACATCCCGTCGAGGACAAGAAACTCGTTTTCCTTTTGCATTAGAGGGTTGCCCCATCCGCCGGCCATCTCGGGGATACTGATTTCCTCTGTAAGCGTTCTGCGAGCGGAGCGGGTAGGTAGACGGGTAGTAAAAAGGACATACCGGTAGATACAGCGGATCAAAACGGTAAAATAAGCGAGGACCTCGCTGATAATGACCCATTTGATGTTCCTCCCGACGGAGGTCTTCTCGCCCGACAACCCAGGCCCCCGTTTCAAATAGCGGATGAAGAAGTCCAGCCCGAGAAACCCACACACGGACATCGTCGCAACCTGGAACGCGATACCCGCGATGATGATGTCGTCGCCTGCCTTGAGCAGCTTGACGTTTGTATTCCCCGCTGCGGCGGCGACGCCGCCTCCCGCTGCCTGAAGGATGAGCGAGCCCACGTCGCAGCCGATGAAGATCCAGGTGAAGAGGGCAGGTTTGAGGCGCGAGTGCTCCGGTCCCAGGGCGAGGATGATGTGTTTTAGCGTGAGGTAGATGCCCGCTGCGACGAAGGTGGGTGCGAGGACTAGACAGACGATCTGCAGCTTGAAGGCTGAGGAGTTCCATGGGTTACTGTGCATGAGCACGCGGCCGATATACCCGGCTAGTTCGAGGATGGCGCCCACGGCGACTGCCACCATGAAGGTCCATGTGCGGTAGTAGACGCCGATGCCGAGCTGGAAGAGAGCTAGGATGCCGAAGAAGACGGTGAAGAAGACGTTGCCGGGTAGGTTGGGGTAGTAGCCGTATGTCGTCGCCTCGACAGGACAGAGCGGGCTCACTTCTGCGCAGGTACGGTAGCTGGCCATGTTTTGTGTGACCAGGGCTGATGGAAGCAAATGAAAAGAGAGAAAAGAAAGGGAGGACGAGATGTATTGTCCTATATTATGCTGAGAAAGAGAAAGAGAAAAGACAGGATGAACGCAGACCCAGAATGATCCATAACGGGGGTTTGGGTGGATGTACTCTGTAATATTTAGTAACCGTCGAATGAGTAAACCGTCCATTGGCATTCATCATTATATTAGCGCTGACGGCACCAAGATACCCGAGCCTCGTAGGATGATGATGCCAATGTCGAGGTGGATCGAGAACAAGTATCGAAACACCTCGCTATCTCATTTGATTGGCGCTCGTCATCCATCGCGTTCGCTCTCGCTCTCGTTTTCGTTCTCGTTTCGCCCCACTGACAGTAAACCAGGGCTTTATCATGACCGACAAACTGCTGTGCTGCCTGCTAAGCCGCTCGGATTTCGGCCTTCTCTGGGCCCGGCGGTCCTTAATCTCAGATGCAATATACACAGTAGAATACTCCGTATATTAACCACGAGACACGATCAGATACCTGTCAAGGGAGATCAATAAGGTTCTTTCCGAGCATAGAGTTGTAAACGGCCAGATTGAATTCCTACCGGCCTTAGTCCGCAATGTTTCAGGGGCCGCTAGTTGGCGTAGTGGGTACGCGGAGACCCCACCATCGCAACAGGGACTGTTGTATTCGAATAAGCCTCATGTGCCGTACACCAGATCATAGTGCTTGGTTGATATGGAAGAAGGTAGTATCGTAGTCGTAGGTCAAGAGCAGTGCATCACTGAGGCTCCGTCCGAGTACACAAATGTTGTTGTTGGGTGGTGCTATCGACATGCGATACATATCACGTGATCCCGCGAGAATCCCACGAGTATCCCACGTGGTTTTCCATCTGTTGAGACGGTCAAATCAACATCATCCATCGGCCATGCACAACACCACCGCAGGTGACAGCAGCTCCTAGCTCCCACCGTCAGTGGCAGTCCTCGTATGGGATGAACTGGCTTCTTGACCTAATTAATCTTGGAGATGCCGCCCCGTCGATCCCATACAAAGTCCCGCATGGGCTGCGACCAGTGCAAGAAAAGAAGGGTCAAGGTGAGCCAATCATCTCTCTTTTGTCTTCTGCATTGATGTTCTGTTATCTCATTTCTCTTCTGACAGCACGTAGTGTGATGAGACTGGGCCACCATGTGCAAACTGCATTGCTAGAGAGTTGAGCTGCTCCTACTACAACACCCCGAAACCGCGTAGTTTAGCAAATGGGGCATCTGCTAGCCCCGTGTCCATTACTTCTTCTGGCGAGGGGCCCATTGCTGAAACGCTCGGCCGGTCCTTCAACTCTGGAACCTCAAGCCTGACCAAAGGTTCCAACTTGCGAGAGCTGGAGCTCATGCACAAATTCTCCACCGAAACTTACCTGAGTCTCGCGAATAGACCATCAGACTACCATGTCTGGCAAATGGACATTCCCCGAAAAGCTCTTGAGCATGACTTCCTTTTGAACGGAGTTCTTGCGGTTGCTGCTCTACATATAGCTTCAACGCTCAAGCCGCCAGATGCACTGGCCTATATTGACACGGCCCTGGAATACCACAATCGTGCTTTTGCCTCATACCGAGAAGCTATAGATAACCTAACCCCTATGAATTGCGACGCTGTATTCGCCCACTCCGTGCTCACTACCGTCATTGGTATAGCTTTACCACGGCTGACTGCGGAGCGCGACGAGAGTTCGGGCATCACTGAAAATATCGTCGTGGTCTTCGAGCTATTGCAAGGCGTAAGCAAAATTTTCAAAATCAGCCGCCCATGGCTCACAATGCAGCTATTCAGCTCACAAGACGACTGGGACAAAGTGACGCCGTCGAAACTAGACAGCGAAACGGAGCGTGCGTTGAACCGACTAGCCGCATTGAACGATGATATCGTGGCTACTGTGGACCCTGATCAGTACCTCATAGTGAAGGAAGCTATCTGTCGCCTCCATGGATGCTTTACCCGACATGCTACCAACAGGGATGCGGCATCCGTACTCAGGTGGCTAGCAGTAGCCAGTAAGGAATTTGCCCAAGCCCTACGATGCCGAAAACCCTTCCCCTTGATGGTGCTTATGTACTGGGGCGTACTTCTTGGCGAACTCGACGGGAAATGGTGGTGGGCGAAAAGCTCGGGTACGGCTCTGGTTTCTGAACTCTTGGCTGCTCTGCAACCTGGGGATATCCGTTGGGAGGAGGCTCGGCTATGGCCCAAGCATAAAATGGGTTTATGATCTGCTCCAGGATTGATTGGGTTCAATCGTGCTAGGGCCTCTCGAAGCTCGTCCATTGTGACCGATGAACGGAGCCTGTCAACGCCACGAAGGCTGTTATAACCAGACGACGATCAATTGGATTAAAGCGCGGCATTATAAACAAGATCTCAATGCTCTTGGACAAGCCACTCTGCCTGCACTCCTTTGATACAAGATAGCTTGGATCATATTCAGGACACTAAAGCTTCGCCAACTTCTTTGCTGTGTTCTCATATATCTGCTTGATCCTTGCTGAATTGAGCTTGTCAACGTCATGCTTGCAGGCAGCCAAGCTCAATGGTCCAGCCATCTGCTTTAGCCAATACGATCTGCCACAGTCAAACATCCAGTTACGTGTACTGACTTTAACCAGATCAGCCAGGAGCGATTGTGGGGCGTTTCGGTCTCGGGTGAATATGAGAGTGGGTAACTCTTTCTGAATGGACGGAGGGGCGCTGGCCTCTGCGAGACGCAAGAAATCGTCGAAAGTGAACGGCACGTAGAGCTGAGCTCCGAGATGTACAATCCCCTGAGTCCTCGCCGCCGCATGCAGGAGACAGCCATTTGCGACAAAATCGACGGGGATCTCGTCTACGATGTTTGCACCTGTCTCGTAACCCTCGGTGGCGTGCCAGACATGTGTTCCCCCGCGGTCCGCAAAGAACAGACTGGCAAATTTATTCATCGGTGTGGAATTGATGGGCCCGTACAGAGGGTACGGATCCCGGATTGCAGCGCCGAAAATGGTGGGACGGGCAAGCAGCAGAGGCAGAAGGGAGTACCTCTTCAACAACAACCGTTCCATCAGGTATTTTGCATGGGTATACGACGATGAAAACCGAGCGGTGTCAGGTGATTGACCTGTTGACAGTATAGCCGCCAGCTCATCCTCCGGATCTGCGTTGGAGATGGGGTACAGTCGCTCTCCAACATAACCGTCGGGTAAGAAGCTGCTCACATACGCCGTCGAGATCTGGACGAACAGCTTCAACCGTCTGAAACGGGAAACCATCTTCGCAAGCTCAAGGGAAGGGAGGCAGTTGTTCTCGATCGATTCCACAATGCCTGCGTCCAGCGTAATCGTGGCTGCCGTATGAATAACAAGAGTGACCTCTTCACGCAGTCGCCTCAACTCAGACTCTTCGATACCAAAGTCTGTCTCCTTGATGTCACCAACGACAAAATGCACCTTGCCGGTGTTGAGGATCGCCTGTGTCTGTTTTGGCATGAGCCTCCGCCACTTTTCAATGGCGGACTCGGCCGATCCGCGGGTCAGAACGAAGATCTTCTGAGTAGGAAGCTGCAGCGCCAACTTGTAAAGAAGACATCCTCCCAGTGATCCAGTACTGCCTGTGAGGAAGACAGAGTGTCTCGTGAAAGTCTTTGCATATCCGTTCCTCAGGATGTCGTTGTCTGCCATTGTGGCGGACATGGCTAACGTCGGGGAAGCTTGTACAGATGACGTCTGAAGCGATTGTCATCCACCGAGTCCTGGCGCGTCATATTGTGAGGCTACAAGCTACAAATATAAGATGGCTACGTTGATCATGACGACCGTACACCGCGGTTCGGCGCTTCCTCTGTGTGCAGTTCGCATCTGATTCCACGCGTATTTCCCCTGAGTTTGAGTCTGTGCTGTAACACAACTTAGACAGTTGTGACCTTCGTATTTCTCTTATGGCCAATGGAGACATCGAGTACCGAGGATTTGGACTGTCTCTGAGTCAATTGGCTCCTAAAGGGGATATGCTGGATATCAAACTCAGTCCCTTCCTCAGTTTGCCACCATGTGCAGCCGAGGGTATGCTTCTGTACGACCTTTATGAACTTCCCGCGTCGAGCGCATGCTTGAAGTCCGTAGTGTAGTTCTCTGCGGCATGGAGTCGTGGCGATTTCTTCAATACACTCTTTGGCTACTACGAAGAAACTAGTGGTACAGATGTCACACATGGTGGCATTGTTGTGGTGGGACGTCCCTTACGACGCTGGATAACGAGACGGATATACCTTTTCACTTCAAGACTTCACTCATGGAAAATGTTCAGTCAAAACAGACCGTTACTGAGATGAGGTCGTTCCACAGTGACTAACTATTTAAAATTGTATCCGTGGCATGTGCATTCCAACCAATTCCGCGTACGCAAGTCATAAATAGTACAAACATGTATTTGCATGTGTTCAAAACTCTTCAGTGAGCTGTATGTCATGTCAAAATATACAGAAATGATGGCTGCAATCAGGGGCTTTTGTTGCCCCCTCCGCACCAGCAACGCCCATCGCCCTCTCGCTCGACCTGGACAAGGATGTCCATGTCCTTTTCGCGGAGGTAGTTGACCGTCCGCTGTCGTACATCCTCTAGGTCGGCTCCGCGGGACGCAATAACATGAATCACCCCGAGGACGTTTGCTTCGTGTTTCTCGTGAGAATGGTCGTGGTCGTGGTCGTGGTTGTGTTCGTGGCCATGGCTGTGATTGTGACTATGAGAATGACTATGGCCGTGACTGTGGCTGTGACTGTGACTGTGACTATGGGCATGGCCATGGCCATGATGGTGGTCATGTTCCGAGGCCGTTCCTGTATCGTCTAACCAAAACTTGGGCACTGTGTACCCCACAACTCCTCGTAGAGAGCTGACACCGGCCAACGTTTCACGAACATTGTATTCGATGTCGGCGGGAAGGGCGAGCAATAGGGTCTTCGCAGTACTGGTGACTAGTGGGACAGCCGAGGCAAAAATCAAAATGGCAATCAAACATGAGGCAATAGGGTCGTATCCTGCCCAGCCTGAGAAGTGGACAAGAATGGTGGATATCACAACCGCCACGGAGCCAAGAGTGTCAGCTAGAATATGGAGGAATATACCATGCATATTCTCATTTCCATGTGAGTGTGAATGACCGTGATCGTGACCGTGGTGTGCGTGGCCATGGTCAAATGCCATGATACCGACAAGATTCACTACCAGACCAGCAACGCTGACAGCCAACAATTCGCCCAGTCGATGCATCTGACTTCCAGAGGAAAGTCGCTCCACAGCTTCGTAAATGATCTCAATACTTATGATCCTGGGTAATTGTCAGGTTTAAACTCATTGAAAGGTGGGTTCAAATCGTACATGAGAAAAATTCCGTTGGCGAATCCGGAAAGAGTATCAACCTTTCCATAGCCATAAGGGAACCGAGCACTTGGGGCCACTTGCTCATAACGGCAGCACAAAGGCCGACAACAAGTGCAAGGCAATCGAAGAACATGTGTATGCTGTCACTGAGCAGTCCCAAAGACCCGGTGATGAATCCGTAAGATAATTGAACCAGCATAAAGGTGAAATTCAAGCTATAAAACATCATCAGTCGCCATCCCTAAATGCAAAGAGGTGTACATGCATACGTCATGAAGTAGAATATACGGCGAGAATCCCTTTCTTTGAGGATGCTGTACAACAGGGGGTAAGGTTCGCTGTAGCGAAGAAGAACCTTGGTCACCCGAGAGGCTGGAGTCGCTGAGTGGCCGTGATTATGATGGTGATGAGAATGCCGCTCAAGGCGTAGCCGGCGGTCATCAAATCGAGCGGCAAAGAACGACACCGCCGCCAGCGTGCATCGCGATGCATAGACCACCCAGTTATCAGCAGCTACAGGTGGCGGAGATAGAAGTCCTGCCGCCGCAATACCTGTAGCGAAACCCCATTTGTGCGGCGAACGCAGATTGGGCGGGTTTGAAAAGAGTAAGGATGTTGCGTAGCTACCGGCTGTTGCTAGCAGGTACAACGCGTCCAATGCCGAGAGGGAAGGGATACCGAAGAGAACGAAGCCGACTATCCCAACAACGAGCCCGAGTATCAAGGTCAACATACCATCATCCGGTGAGACGACAGATAATGGACCCGAATTCAGGTTTACTGAAGTGTCCGATTTTGAGGAAGCGGAGACACCAAAACCCGCCCCCCGAGACGAAGACTGGCCAACATCTGCGAATTGGGGAGGAATGACAAAAACTGACAATATCAAGGAGAGATAGCCGGACATCGACTTCGACTCCTGGGAGCCAATCAAACCGAAGAAGCTTAACACCAGGATTATGAGTATAAGAGCAACTGTGAATTTCTTGTGCACCAGCTTTTCGCGAGCGTTGCTGCCAGCAGCGCGGCCTTTGACAAGAGTGGGCAACCCAGATGCTGCTGCGAGAAGCAAACCCAACGCGACAAGGAACCCGCTAACTTCGAGCGCTGCGTATATAGGCAATGCAATCGAGCATATGCGAGCAAGCGCTACGCCTGCGATATCTGCCTTCAGATTTGGAACTTTGGCCACGGATTTGTTCCCAGCCCGTGAAGACCATTGAAGTTGCCCAACACCCGTCATGACCATAGTGACAGCTGTCAGACTGCAGGTCCTTAGAACTGCCTGATCCGGACTCCCACCGCCCGACGTTTTCGGGTCAGTGTTGTCCTTATTGGGGATATCCGAGTTCCAATTGGCATATTGATTGTAGTACCACGATAAGGCGATCCAGGGTAGAGCGGTTAGCAGTCCTGAGAAGAGTTCGCGACTAAAAGATTAAATGTCACTTATTTGATCCGTCGTTTCTTATCAGGATCACTCACTTGGTGCTGGGTGTAAAATCGGTCGAGATGACAGGAACATCCCGCGCGCGCAATTCTGTAGCATCTTCTGTCTTTTCAGTCGGATGGTAATGCCCTGAATGTCCGTGGTCGCAGCTCCCTGAGTGGTTAGGAGCACCGTGCGAGTGCGAGTGCGAGTGGTGGGGATTGTGCGATGTCGACCCTGACGCAGAGCCATTGGGTGAAACTGCGTCTACAGAAGGCAGGTTGGGTTGCATTGGAGTTGCAAAGCCATTCAAAGAAGACAGCGACTGGCCTGCTGAAGGCTGTGTCCAACGCTTTGAGCGAGAGTGGCCATGGCCGCGCGAGTGTCCGAATCCATGTCCATGAGTTGCGGGGAACTGTGTATCCACGCTGGACATGGGAGCCCCGTTGACATGGTATCTAATTTTCCGATTTGGCCTTTTTGACAATTCGCAATTGATCGTGACAGCAATGAGAGAGAAGGCGAAGGGGCCAAGACGTTCGACGGGGTCGTCGCGGCCAAGATCGGGGCGGAATAGGGAGCTTAGCAGCTCTGAGGGGACAGTCGGTCAGGGAATTGGGATAAGGAACGCGGCATCGCGCCAAAAGAACGTACACAGTCACTGCTCAAAGGAGATGAGCAATGGTTGCCTGTAGAGGACGTTTTATAGGAAATCAACTTTGAATTGAGTAAACCTTTGCGTTTCATCAGCTGCAGGTGATAACGCATGGGTCAGGGGCACACGTGATACGCGCCAAGATTCCCTTATCTTCCCGGAGGCCATGTATGAGCCTGAGGTGTCCACGAGGGGGATTGTTATTATGGTACTCCGCACAGCTGGCAGCGCAATGCAATAGCTTCAAAGCTTTGAGTCTGTCTCACTCGCCTTCGAACTCACAAGTTTCTTTTCGGCCAGCAATATGCGATAAGTGATTATCAATATTGGTTATTCGCCCTTTTTTTAGAAAAAGAAAAAAAAACAATGACTGCGCGTTAGACTGTATGATTTCTTCGCCAACAACACACCATGATTGAATCCCTGATCAGCGTCGCCTTCTACATCTCTACGGCGGTGACACTATTACTGTTCCTACTTCCTTCAAGATACGACCTGAGACGGTCCGACAGGAGCAAAAGGAATGCTTCCAATGCGGCTAAAACGACGACGCAGATTCTCGTCCTGGGCGATATCGGCCGCAGCCCGCGCATGCAGTACCATGCTTTGAGTATCGCGAGGGGAGGAGGCCAGGTAGACATTATCGGTTACGATGGTACAGCCCGATCAGGTTTCTAATCGCGAATGAGCGTATGACTGACGCTCTTTATAATACAGAATCAGAAGTGCATCCCGACATCTCGTCCAATCCTAGAATATCCATAGTCGCTCTTCCGCCGCACCCGACCTTCCTGCAAACAAGTAATAAGCTCCTCTTTCTGCTATTTGGTCCACTCAAAGTAGCCTTCCAAGTTGTATCTCTTTTGTGGGCTCTTGCTTACCGCACAGAGCTCGCTCAATGGCTACTTGTTCAGGTAAGACCCTGGCCGGCCCAAGTGACTTGTCCGGTATCCATATCCTCTCGCTAAGTTGGTCCAATGCAGAACCCGCCTTCCATACCTACATTGGCAATCGCATCCATGGTATCGTTTCTCCGGCATACTAAGTTGATAATTGACTGGCATAACTTTGGGTATACCATTTTGGCGCTCAAACTTGGGGAGAGACATCCACTTGTGCGGTTTTCCAAATGGTATGAGAAGAGCTTCTGTAGATACGCCACGGCGCACTTCTGTGTTACAGGAGCCATGGCTTCCGTTTTGAAGAGCGACTTTGGCCTCACAGCCCCCATAATGCCCTTGCATGACCGGCCAGCAAGTCATTTTCGGCCCATCTTGGACGAAAGCGAGCGGAAGAGTTTTCTTGAGTCTTTGCCAGAAACATCCTCGGTAAAGCACCTGCTCCAGGCTGGGTCCCTCCGTGTAATAGTCAGTTCGACGTCCTGGACAGCTGACGAGGACTTCTCGTTACTCATTGACGCACTCTGCCGGTATTCGAACCTGGCAACCACTAGCAACCCTGGATTACCCGCTGTTCTGGCCATCATTACTGGGAAAGGACCTCAGAAGGACATGTACCTGAAGCAAATATCAAAGCTTGAAGAAGCGGGCAAGCTCAGCAAGGTCACCATTCGCACCACATGGTTAACCACCGATGACTATGCGCGCCTTCTGGCGTCGGCTTCCCTGGGAATCAGCTTACATACCAGTAGCAGCGGTGTCGATCTTCCCATGAAAGTTGTTGACATGTTCGGGGCTGGATTACCGGTGCTTGGCTGGGATCGTTTTCAAGCATGGCCTGAGCTAGTAACCGAGGGTGTGAACGGTATGGGCTTTGGAAGCTCTGGTGAGCTCCTCGACCACCTTGTTGATCTGTTTGAGAACCCAAGTAAGCTGGAGAAGATCCGTACTGGTGCTCGCAAAGAGAGTAATCGTCGCTGGAATGACGAATGGGGTCCCATAGCTGGAAAACTATTAGGCCTCGCATAAAGCCCTCATTATTTCCATCGGTATTCATTTAAGCCAGTGTTCTTCCCCTTCTGGGCAGCTTGAGTTCATCTGAATGTAGCCCTTAGGCACGAAACTTGCCACCACAGTATATGCACGTGTCAAAAACGTTAGAGAGTTTCTTATAAGCGCTTTGGAGTTCACTCCCGTGGAGCTGAGCGAGACCATCTTCATTGAGGTATTCTGTGCTGCAGTCGGAGCAGAACTTGGATACTCCCGGCTCTTGAATAGAGAAGAATGAGAGATTGCAACGAACTATGCAGTTAATCAGTCCAATTGTGCTTCACGGTGCGCAGAGAGTCTTCATGGGCTTACCGAATAGATGGCCACCGGCACACTGTGCTTCCTGTGCTGAATACCAAGCTACCCCAGCTTCGCATATATCGCACTTTTCAAAGATGTGCCCACCAGCGCCGTTGAGCTGCTCTACGGACTTTGGTTCGAGTTGATTCCCAGGCGAGGAACATTTTGTTAACTCCTCAGTCAGGTCAACTCCGCTAGCAGTCCCAAGCCACTCGAAGACTTTCCTAGCTTGTAGGAGTAAAGATTCATCCTTGGATTCTACAAGAGCACAACAGGCAGCCGTATACACGAGTTTCTGGTACCAAGGGTTCCTGTCATCATAGTCAAGAGAACGCAATGTGAAGCGCACCACCACCTCGCGTCTCAGACGCAGGAAGTCTGACGTGAATACTGGTAACTCGCGAAGGAATGACGGAGCCTGTGGTTGCTGATATAGGTTTGCTCTGGAGAAAACAATGATAGTGCGCTCCTGCGAGCCAGTGCGGTACTCAATCATGTCTCCGGGGTGAAGAGTAAATGCGACAGCAATGAGTCCCTCGTAGGCTGCCAGTCCCCAGATCCTGCCGATCGCTAGTCCTCCGAGATCATGGTCAATATCGAAGCTCTCCCGTATAGCATCAAGCTGGCTTTTCCAAGGTGGCGGCGAGAGCAGGCCGTCATCCTGAGCATCAGTGGGTTCAATGAGTTCCTTGACTGCAGCATATCCTCCGGAGGTGCCCAAATGAAGCGAGGATAGCTTGGACTCATTATCGCTTGCGACAGTCATGGCTATATTCTATTAGTAAAGCAGATTAAGTTGTATTAGTGAAGCGCGTACCACTGATAGATTCCCAATGCCTTGCCTCCGTTTTCTCAATGGTGTCGGTGTTTTCAAGCAGGGGGTATTCTCTTGTTCGAACTCTTCCAGATGATGTCTCTTTGCCCTCATATACGGCGCGAGGGAGGTTTATCACCATCAATGCTCCTACTGTAGTCACAGCTAGGCTAATTTCCCCAGACTCTGCCTGAATATACGTGAGTCCAAGGTATTGACTAATGTTACTCAGAATCTTACTGCTTGAAACCACTCAACGGGGCCGCGGTAGACGCGTTCGCCAGCATCTTTGCTAGATAGATCTGGATTCTCCGAAGCGGTTGCCTGTAAGTTCCAGCGAGAAGGAGCCTCCGAGTCTTCGCCATCTCGCCGTATGTTTACATCGAGCCTAATCAGCTTGAGTTTGGTACCATAAGTGGCGACTGCATTTGCTATCGCATGGCAAACGTCCGGTGCTGTCTCATCTTGCTTGAGGAGCCAGGGACCACATGACAGGCCCGAGATCCTCATTTTGGACTTCAAGGACGTAGCTAGGATCGAGCCGGACTGGACAATAGGATATTTTGCCGCAGGATCATGCAGTGAGATGATCGAGACTATATCAAAAGAATAAGCAGAGAGAGCCGAACCAGCTTCTGCTCTCCGAACGTGCACGAAAATCAGATCATTGTCGTCATTAGCGACTGTAAGTATTTGAAAACCCCATCTGCTTTCGGATGCGGGGACGGAATTATTTTGGCCCTGCGGTAACTTTAGAGGTGGACACCATGCGAATTCCCTTATGTTAGTCTTCCTCAATCGCGGGCCCTCGTCGTGGATGAATGAGTTGAAATGTGCTGCTAAGGCATCGTTGACGATGGCAACTCGCATCCATTTTCCATCAACGAGTTGATAGAATGATAGTACCAAGTTGGAAGTCAGCACTGCAAGTGTGCACCGCCTGTGTCTGGCGAGTCCTGGTGGTGACCAGGACAGACTGACAACTGAGCTCGGCGAGAGTTCAACCCCAATTGAGAAATCATCCCGGTTCTGAGGGAAAACTGTGGGCCACTCCCTGTTCGTGAACAGATTGGCGCGAAAACGCGTGATATGCCATTCTGTTTCAGACTTTGGACGATCAGAGCCACTTTCTTCCTTCCCCTGCGTGGGTTTCTTCGGGGTCTATTTGGTGTGAGCTTTATTCAAGAAGCACATAGTCGACGTTATGACGGAGCATACTAGGATCTGAACATATTCACCCGCGGCAAGGGCAAGCTCACCATCTGCTGACCAGGCAAGGCAATTGTAGCAGGAAGGAGAGATGGTAAGCTCGACCTGATCGAACATCGCTATCGTGAGTCGGAACTAGAGTCCTGTCCGTCAAGTGACTACAGGGATACCAAAGCAAGCTCTTGACGGACCAAAGTAGTGCTGCTAATCTCACTATTTTCTAAAGCAATTGATCACTGTAGTAAAGTCTGAACAATAGCTGGGATGTAATAGTTTCAACTATCTGGGTTTAGCCCCCATCTGGACGATGACGCTTACTGCTTTCGGTAAGCGTTATATTTAGTGTCACGTGACAGTGTCTATACAATTGTGCTGAGAAAACTACTACATAATTCATCAATTCTCAATTCTCATCCATATATATATATACAGTCATAGCATGCTAAGAAATACTGGTCAGAGCGTGGGTATAATCATGGCGTGTCGCTTTTGAGGTGACCAAGAACTTTGTGAACAGGAGGACCAATAGGAACGTTAATCAACGGGCTTCTGGCTCAGTCGACCCGATCCAGCTTCTGAACAACCATTGCAGTTGCAGCACCACCACCGTTACAGATGGCAGCCACACCGTACTCCCCAGGCTGCAATTGATGGAGAAGAGTGACCAAAATACGAGAGCCAGAGCTTCCCAGGGCGTGTCCCAGGGAAATGGCTCCTCCAAGAGGGTTGACCCTAGCATTCTGCAGACCGAGAATCTAATGAATAGTTAGCAAGGGGACAGAATCAGACAGAGGTCTATAAATGCATTCAAACTCACCTTCTCGTTAGCCTTGATGACGGCAGCAAAGGCCTCATTGAACTCCCAAACCGCGACTTGATCCTTAGTGATACCTGCCCGCTCGAGGGCGATGGGGACGGCCTTGGCTGGGGCAACGGGGAAATCCACTGGGTCGATGGCGGCATCTGCGGTAGAGACGATGCGTGCAAGAGCCCGGTTACCCTGAGCGAACTCACGTGCAATAGCTTTGCTGCCCAGGACGAGCGCCGAGGCACCATCATTCATGGTGGAAGCGTTGCCAGCGGTCACTGTGCCGGTGCCATCCCTCAAGAATGCCGGCTTCAGTGTGGTCATCTTATCAATTCGAAGGTTCTCGTAGCCCTCATCACGTTCAATGACTGTCTCTCCCTTCTTGCCTTTGACGGTAACAGGGGCGATCTCCTCCGCGAATTTATTCTCCTTCCAAGCTGCTTGCGCTCGCTGATACGACTGAATGGCGTACTGATCTTGTTCCTCACGCGTAATCTCATACTTCTTAGCCGTTTGTTCAGCGCAGATGCCCATGTGGAACTGGTTGTAGACATCCCACAGGCCATCCTGGATCAGACCATCCTGTAACTTGATTTCTCCGAAGGGTGGCAACTGGGTGGATCGAGGCAAATAGTAAGGAACGCGTGACATGTTCTCCATACCACCTGCAACCTGGGCCTCGGCGAGACCGAGTTGAATGTTTTGAGCGGCCAGGGCCACGGCTTTGAGGCCAGATGCGCACACTTTGTTTACCGTCATGGATTCCACTGTAGGAGAGAGTCCGGCGAACATGGAGGCCTGGCGAGCGGGCGCTTGACCAACTGCACCCTGAAGAACATTGCCCATGTAGACATCGGTAATCTTCTCAACAGGAACGCCAGATTTGCTCACGGCAGACTTGATGGCAACTGCACCCAATTCGGGAGCGGATACAGAGACAAAGGATCCGTTGAACTGAATGAGTCGTTAGTTGATAAAGAAGACGACGAGGGGTGACCTGTAAAAAGCTTCACCTTAGCAGTAGGTGTTCGAGCACCACTGAGAATGTAAGCCTCCTGAATCTCTTTCAAAGCTGAACGAGAGGCACAGAAGTTTCGTCGAGATGCGGGGAATGCGGCGCGCCTGGCGACCAGGCGGGCTGCCAACCCAGTTGTTGTTTGAATCGCCATGGTGGGGGAGTAGAGGTACTGTAAGGTGATTATGAGGGTGCTTCAGAAACAGGAGAATGAGAGAAGGAGTACAGTTCGAGATGGAGATGGATGAAGCGGAAATGTTCTGCTGGCTTACTGCAACTCGCCTCTGGCGTCCTCCCCCGATCTCCGCAAAGTATTCCGCATGTAGCCGCGCTCCCGCAACCGAGGCTGTTTGGACATTGTCTGTAATCACATGATCGTGGCTCACATGACCTTAATTTCACATGACGTTTCGGTGTACTTACTCAGCAATGGCGTTTCAAGCTATACAGAGAAAGCTAGTTTCTCCATGTGGAAAGTTTTACCGTTCTCGGCCCCGGATGGCAAAGAAGGAACAACGGCACGACCAGCTAAGCAAGAGGGGAATCCCGACCCTCAGACGACTGACCGGTATTGGATCAACGCTTCTCCTCCCGCTCTTGTGATCGCTTCTCATCGAGAAGGATCCATATCCCGCTGGCTATCTCAACTTCTCTTGTGGCATATCCCTCTCGACCTTTTGGTATACAAATCAGGTCTCTTACTCTCCGATCTCAACAGCTCCAAGACGGGTGGTTTACTTGCAGTCTGTAAAGCCTATTCTGATAGCTCCTATCGGTCGTAGCACCCGCCGCCATGTCTACTTCTGCCCGCCGTCGTCTCATGCGTGACTTCAAGGTACGTTATTATTGAAAGCCATTGATTCTGACTCAGTTCGTTGTCACCTCTTTTCTCCATATATTTTTATTTCGTCCTTGCACAATTTTTTCTGCTTGTTCTACCCTGTAACTCAACTACCAGCCTATGTCTCGTGAGCTAACTTGATTCATAATCACAGCGCATGCAGACTGACCCTCCTGCCGGCGTCTCAGCATCTCCAGTAGCTGACAATGTCATGACCTGGTGAGTTCTTCATTCTTCTCGATTCATCCGTACATCTGAAGAATGTGATGATGGAGTGACTGACATATCCGTCTCTAGGAATGCCGTCATCATTGGCCCCGCCGATACCCCGTTCGAAGATGGTACATTCCGCTTGGTCATGCATTTCGAGGAACAATACCCCAACAAGCCGCCAGGTGTCAAGTTTATCAGCCAGATGTTCCATCCTAATGTCTATGGTACGGGGGAGCTTTGCCTTGATATCCTGCAGAACCGCTGGAGCCCGACCTATGACGTGGCGGCCATCTTGACTAGTATTCAGAGGTATGTTGAATGTTATTCCACAACCTACTAGGGACAGTGATTCTGATATCATATCTTATGAAGTCTACTAAACGACCCTAACACGTCATCTCCGGCGAATGTGGAAGCATCGAACCTCTACAAAGACAACCGAAAGGAATATATCAAGCGCGTGCGTGAGACAGTCGAGAAGAGCTGGGAAGACTAGTTTACTCTCAGCGGAGGAGTTGTCGAGCTCAGTTCTCTCAAGCCGGTGGTTATTGTTTCTTGTTTTGGATCGGTCAACAGGAACAATGTCGTTCACCCGGGAGTCACAAGGGGACGTTAACGACTCTGACGGGTTGTTGATCTGAATGTTCTGGCCGAGTTCGTATTTGACTTCTACCTTATGTTGACGATATGCACAGCGCGGGGTTTTTGGCGCCTGGTGAATTATTTATTTTTGCTGGTTGTGTGGATAGCTGCATTGTTTATTTCTGCCCTGCATAATGCATGAGCCTTTCTTGTCTTTAAAGTCGTCCGATTCTGCAGCCTGCTCTTCCGTCTTAAAGTGAGCGTAGACATCTTCTCTCCGTACAGGAAAATGTAGCTCTAGATAGATATAGCTGAAAGAAAAGCGTTGCGCATGTGTGATCGACTGGCGGCCTTTTGGTGATGCGGGACGAGTGTTTCTCTAACGTTCTTAGGCCGGCGCCAAGCCACTTCCTCAAACGGCTGGTGTCGAAGCATTCCTGCGACTCTTTAACAGATTGATCCCCAGCTACTCTTCCTTGCTCGATCAGCAGTGAGTCCTAACCCACATCACAAGCTCGTGGTGGTGTGTGCGTGCGGACTTGCTTTCCTCGACCCATCCTTCTGTCACTGTTTTGGGGTGAGGACATCGCGTGTTCCTGGCTGCCGTCTCGCACGTGGACCCCTGACCCAAACATCCCACCGACTCTACGCAGCTGGTCAACAGATCGAAATCCGGCTCTGAACGAAAGCCTAGACGTTACCCGCCTCCCCTCGGGGCTGTCCCTCACCTCTCGGTTCTCTTTCTGGTGGCTCTTGAGGTTTGAGTCGGAGCAAACATGGCGTGAGTATTCTATCAACTGCCGCTTGAAACAGTGCGGAGAAGACTGATGATAGCCTGGCATGACAGATCATCTGGGCCCGGCTCCAACACCATCAAGGGTTTGTATGCTCCGTCCGAATACATATGGTCGAAGATACTCACCGGTACTGCATAGTCGTTGCGAGATTCCGACCGCAAAACAAAGTCGAATTAGCGTCTGGAGGAGAACCGATTGTTGAGTTTGAAAATGAGCAGTCATGTAAAATCAACGTGAGTCTCCTGTCGACGCTGGGAAAACGCAAGGTTTGGTGGTGCTTGGAGATATTGACCAGCGATAGTCCAGGGAAGGCTCAGGAGCCTTCACCTTCGATCGAGTTTTTCCCATGGACTCGAGACAAACTGACATTTTCGACTACTCGATCCGCCCTACAGTCGACGATATCCTGAACGGTTACAACGGTACGGTCTTTGCTTATGGTCAAACAGGTGCTGGAAAGTCATATACTATGATGGGTTCCGATATCGATGACCCGGAGGGCAAGGGTATCATTCCGCGTATTGTCGAGCAGATCTTCGCAAGCATTCTCACTAGCCCGAGCAACATCGAATATACGGTCCGAGTCAGCTATATGGAAATTTACATGGAACGGATCCGCGATCTCCTGGTGCCACAGAATGATAACCTGCCTGTCCACGAAGAGAAGTCGCGTGGTGTCTACGTCAAAGGTCTACTCGAGGTCTATGTCTCCAGTGTGCAGGAAGTCTACGAAGTAATGCGGCGCGGTGGTGCGGCAAGAGCGGTGGCTGCGACCAACATGAATCAAGAATCCTCTCGGTCCCATTCCATCTTCGTCGTCACTGTCACCCAGAAGAATCTAGAGACGGGCTCCGCAAAGAGCGGTCAGCTTTTCCTGGTAGATCTCGCAGGTAGTGAAAAAGTCGGCAAGACTGGCGCCAGTGGCCAAACCCTCGAGGAGGCCAAGAAGATTAACAAGAGTTTGAGTGCTCTTGGTATGGTCATCAACGCGCTGACAGATGGCAAATCGACGCATATCCCTTACCGTGACTCAAAGCTCACTCGAATTCTGCAGGAGAGTTTGGGTGGTAACTCTAGGACGACCCTGATTATCAATTGCTCTCCGAGTAGCTATAACGATGCGGAAACGATCTCAACGCTGCGATTTGGTGTGCGCGCAAAGGCAATCAAGAACAAGGCGAAGGTCAATGCTGAGTTGAGTCCAGCTGAACTGAAGCAACTACTTCGCAAAGCGCAGACCCAGGTCATCAACTTTGAGAACTACATTTCAGCTTTGGAGAGCGAAGTTCAAGTGTGGAGAAGCGGCGAAACAGTTCCCAGGGACCGTTGGACACCAGCCAGAGGCTCGGAAGCCGTCAGCGCGGCCAAGGCTGAAGCTCGTGCAAGTGTTACGCGACCTGGCACTCCTTCTCGATTGCAAGAAACTCCCCGATCAGAGACACCACGACCCGACTCTAGATACGGCGACCGATCTAGCACCCCCAGCCTTGTGCTCGAGAAAGATGAACGGGAGGAATTCCTACGGCGGGAGAATGAGCTCCAGGATCAAATCGCCGAGAGAGAATCCCACATTGCAAATGTGGAGAGGAGCTTGCGCGAAGCTCGAGAGGAGCTCAAGAACCTCAAGGAAAACTCAGCACGCTCTGGCAAGGACAATGAGAAACTCAGCGCGGAGGTCAACGAGCTTCGGATGCAGCTGGAGAAGGTTTCCTACGAGGGCAAGGAAGCCTCGATTACAATGGACAGCCTCCGGGAAGCTAATGCTGAGCTGACCGCGGAGCTGGACGATGTTAAGCAGCAACTCCTTGACGTGCGAATGAAGGCCAAGGAGACCAGTGCGGCACTCGATGAGAAGGAGAAGAAGAAGGCGGAGAAGATGGCGAAGATGATGGCTGGTTTCGACCTGGGAGGCGACGTTTTCTCAGACAACGAGCGGAAGCTTCAGGACCTTATACAGCGGGTGGATGCATTGCACAAGGTCAGCGAGGCTGGCGAGCCAGTTGCCCCTGACGACCTCCTGGAGTTACGGACCAGCCTGGTCGAAACTCAGGGATTGATTCGGCAGGCTGAGCTTACCATGAATGACCATGGTGAACTGAGCGAGCTGCAGGACAGCCGCAGACTGGAGTTGGAGCAGAAGCTGGCCGACCTCGAGCGGGACTATGAGAGCCTTCTGGAGCGCAACCTGGGCGAAGGTGATGTCGAAGAGATCCGCGAGCGGCTGGAAAAGATTTACGTGACCCGGAAGGAGACCGAGTTGCAGGCAGCGGCTGAACTCCGCAGCGAGATTGCACGCAAGGACGAGGAGCTCGCCAAGATGCGGCAATCCCTTGCAGATTCCCAGTCTAAGGCGTCGACTAACGGCGCCACCGGCAAGAACCTGCAGCAGCAGATCGCCGAATTCGATGCGATGAAGAAGTCCCTGATGCGCGACCTGCAGAATCGTTGCGAGCGGGTGGTGGAGCTTGAGATCTCGCTGGACGACGCTCGAGAACAATATAACAATGTGCTGCGCTCATCTAACAACCGTGCCCAGCAGAAGAAGATGGCTTTCTTGGAACGCAACCTGGAGCAACTGACTCATGTACAGCGGCAGCTGGTGGAACAGAACAGCAGCCTGAAGAAGGAGGTCGCCATTGCGGAGAGGAAGCTGATTGCCAGAAACGAACGGATTGCGAGTCTTGAAGGTCTCCTGCAAGAAAGCCAAGAGAAACTTACTCAGGCAAATCATCGGTAAGTCGTCCCCTATGGAATAGCTCGGCTGTGAGCAAGATACAGTGGCTAATATCATATCCCCACCTACAGGTTTGAGGCTCAACTCACTGCTGTTAAAGAGAGACTGGAGGCTGCGAAGCAGGGTTCGACTAGGGGTCTTCCGTCTATGGATGGCAGCGGCGGTTTCAGTTTTGGCGGCTCGAGAATCGCGAAGCCGCTCCGGGGCGGTGGTGGTGGAGGGCCAGAGAGCAGTGCTCCCGTCGCAGGAGTCCAGTCGCAGGAGAGCGGAAAGCGCACAAGCTGGTTTTTCGATCGACGATGATCCACGATTTCTCTTTTGCTGTTTGTTCTACCCTTCCTCCGAACATATCTGATTGTCTTTTTTCCCTTTCGTTTCGTGCAAATAGTGCAGCAGCCTTTGTTGAGAACCCGTTCTTATCATCTTTCTTGGTGTCTAGATATCCTGCCGCTTTTTCTGCTCTCCTATCTCTGTGATTTGGCCGATGACGAAGTCTGTTCCGCTGTGCTCATGACGTTGCCCTTTTTCTGTTCCGTCTCGTTCTTGCATCGCTGGTTACACCTAGATTCCGAGCCACCGACGAGCCTATGCGAGGAGAGGCCTCCGGTTCCCCTGATACCCTTGTATACCAGACCGATAGAAAGCACCTCGGGAGGGGGGAAGGACGGTTTGGAGATGAATACATAGTAGATGAATTTCACCGGATGTCAATAGAAGATACGGTCTCAATTAGTAGATGTCATTACTTCGCGAGGAGAATCCTGCGTATCCCGAGTGATCGCGATGTTTCTCAGACTATAGTATAGTGTCTAAGCTGGATTTCATGCCAATATCGAAAACAACAAACGCCATGTCATGCATGAATACATAAAAATAGAAGATGAAATGAACAAAATGGGTATCAATAAGATCAAACTTGCCAAACTTGCAAGAGGAAAACAAAGTGATGTGCTCTACTCCAACAGTGTGACCCTCACACCGTCCATGCCCATGGTCGTCACAAGCCGGTCCATCATGTCCGATGTTGGCGGCTCACGGGTCTGAGGGGAGATCAAGGACCGTACGACCAGAGTCGGCTGGCGCGACTTGCCAGGGGATTTCGGCGGTGTGAGCGGCGATTCGTACTCTTCGCTTTTCGGTTCGGAGACACGATCAGGTATTCCATCAGACAGGGTGCGGTTCTCCGCCTCGATAGCCGCCCGCTGTTTCTCATCCATAGCGAGAATTAGATTGTTAAGAATGACGAGCGCGGAGCGAATGCCCCGGACATAGAGGCCGGAGAAGCCATCGAAGAAAACGAAGGGGAGCGGGCCGATGAACCCCTGCTGCTCGTTCTGCCCGGCTCGAACCGTCGACACGGCGACGCCGAACTCGGTGTGGATGCCGCGCAGCGCGGCCCGCGCGGCCTGGACATCCCGCAGCAGCGCTGGTTGCAGCGAGGCTCTTCTTTTTGATGGCAGGGCGAGTAGCTCCCGGACTCGTTTCACGTAGCCGGGGACCTTTGAGATCTCGCTGAAACCGCGCTCCGCGACGTCGGTGTAAGCGGACGAGTCGGGTCGTCGCGCGTTGTCGGCGGCAATCTGCCTGTTCAGGTCCTGCCATTCCGGTGCCTGGAGAAGACATTCCTCGCCGGACAGCAGAGCGGCTGTGACCATCAGGTTCCGGTAGACGATGTACATGGCCCGGCCGAATCCGTGGAGGTGAGCCTGCGGACCGCGCAGTCGCATCATCGTCTTGATCCCGGCAGCATGTCGCAGCCATGCGTCGGGATTTGTGCAGTTCTGTACCTCGAAGCAGGCCAAGCTAATTGCGGTGGCTAATGCCTCGTCGGACGTGGCTCTCGAGGCGTTCGATAGCATAGCTGCTAGGCCGCGGAGAGACCGTGTGTACATCGCCCTTGCGGCGTCCGTGTACCGCGGGTCGTTGTGCAGAGCGCCAGTGTATGCAGTGGTGCAGGCGCGGAGCGCCCAGTCGAAGGGGGTGTTCATTGATCCTCGCCGGCTGTGGACATAGGCGACCCAGTTTACTGGGACGCGATTCGCGGTGCACATGAAGTAGCAGGGGAACGCAGTGAGCACGTAGTCCGTGAAGACGTCGGTCTGCTGGGAGGACGCGGCCACGGCGGTCAATGAGGGCGATGCAAGCTCGTCGATCGGAGGACAAGAGGTCGTTTCCGTCGCATTGGAGATGCGAGAGACGGCCCAGGTGAGGCCGTTGGGTTTGTTGCGAGGGGGAGTGTTGAGGAGGACGAGGACGAGGATGTCAACTGCCGACGTCTCTGCAAGGCTGGCAGGTCATCGTGAAACTCCAGGGTCGTCGTCGCATTACCGGTACAAAGGAGATTGAGGTCTCTGCAGCGCGAGCACGGTGTTTGACCGGCGCACTGGAGCAGGATTAGGACAAATTCAAGCCAGTGACCTTAAAGAGCAGCTTCAAGGAGATAAGGATCATCGAAAATTGCATGAAACTGGACAACGCGACATGGGAGTAGCTAGCGCCCGATCGCACTGTGAACAGCAATGTGTCATGGGAAAAGACATGATAGGCAGAATTGCACAAGAATGAATGCACAAGAACACATATAGGATGAAGCAATATAATAATCAAGATCGTAAGGCAGTGGTTGGAATTGAGTCTAAGCTGACAAGGACCTGACTAACCTGGGTTCGAGCATCGATACAATTATGACAGCCATGTGGCACCGCGGCCATGCTCGTCACCAGGACATCAAACGAATTTCCGCAGGCTTCGTATTCGGAACACTCGGCATGAGGAGCTGCTCTGCGCGAATGCTTGATTATCGGTCTTGGGAGGGTCGTACGGGGGTGTCAGTGTGCCAGTGTGGTCCAAGATGCCCGGCACTCTAAGGAGGAATAGGAAGAAACAGGCTAGAGCGCCATTTTGGAGCGGTGGAGATGGCCATCAATGAGACACTAGTGGTCAATTCGGAGCCAAGCGACTTCGCCGTAAGAGGCTATAAAATGAGACGATCAAGGCAAACATACTTGCACAATGCATTGCTCAACAGCTCAAGGCTATTATTTGAGTCGAAATTATTGTTGCGATCAGAAGACTTGGGATGAATCGGTTGTATACGAAGTACACTCGATAGTTATATCCGCTTCAAAAGCATATGGCATAGTTGATTATTCTAGGCTCGCACGCTAAAAGCACAAACCGCATCCACCGCAATAAATAGTCGGCAAAACAGTCGGAGAGACCAATGGCCTCTGCTAAAATCCTGTACATGAAACGAAGAATTATCCCACGAAATCCGCCCTTGTTTTAGGGAAGACGCGTGATCCAACCACCGAAAGGAAGAGGTAGCAAGCAAACCGGAAGAGAAGAGAGGTAAAATCACCGAGATTTTGTCTTTTTGTTTTTTTCATGTACAGAAGAGCAGAAGCAAGGAGAAAAAAAAAAAAAAGAAAAAGAAAAAAGTTACAAGAAAACTGAAGTCTTGTCTACCAAGCCCTCGTAAAAGAGTACCTTGGCAGGCGCAAGTAAGAGAACATGGGCTGTGGGAATCCTAAAAAATAGAAGCAACAAATACCGACAGAAAACCAAGAAGATAAAAAGCAAATGGAGTGAGCCAAGGTCAATGAGGAGAACCTCGAATTTGCGCCGCATTCGCCAGAAGGTAAGAGGATGCACGACACTATGAGCGGGAGGACACGTCGTCCGCGCGCACTATACCAATCCATCGTAGAGGGACAAGGCGCTGACAATGGTCTCGTCGCGTTTGCTGCCCTCCTTGAATTCCTCCATATCCAGGCTGCCGTTCTCGTCCTTGTCCATCATGCGGAAGATCTTCTTGACTCGTTTCTCTGGTGTGTCTTCGTCCTCGGGCAACTTGACCATGGAGCCGACCTATACTCGCCCCGTTAGCTGGAGTCTGTCCGCGAGAGAGCCAGTCATTGTGAGATCGCACCATTTTGTAAATCGCCTCAACAATAGCCAGCATCTCGTCGTACGTAATCTTTCCGTCGCCATCGATGTCGTATAATTGGAATGCCCAGTCCAGCTTGTCCTCCATCTTACCCCGCGAGGTCACCGACAACGCACAGATAAACTCCTTGAAATCGATCATGCCGCTATTATCCGAGTCGAACACTCTGAATACATAATTTGCAAACGAGGAAGGATCGCCAAAGGGAAAGAATTGTCGGTAGATCTTCTGGAATTCCTCCTTTGTCAGGGTCCCCGAGGGGCAGTCCTTCAAGAAACCTACCCCGCCATGCCACGGTCAGCGCACTTGAATCTCCTCCGGCTTGGGATCGCCGCTGCTCACTCTTCACACACCTTTATACCATTGTTGCAGCTCTTTTTTATCGAAATGTGTCGCCCTCTGGAGCTCTTCGAGCTGGGAGGGGGAGAGCTTCGACTGTCTATGTGGCCAGTTGTCGTTAGCTTATATTCCTAAGCGGGGATGTTTGCCCCAACTATAACGACAATCAAGAAGAAAAACATTAATGTAGGCCCGTCGAGACGACAGACCCTAGTTTCAAAAACCATATAGTCCTCGACCCCGTGGGGAAAGCAAAGTCCATAGCTGGCGGGTTGTAACCCCGTCTCACCATTCCCCTGATGCGCGGAACGACAAACAAGCGCAGTACTCACGATTTACCCATGATCAAACAAACTTCCCGCACACTATCAAGGATAAAAAAGTAGCTCTTAGCCTTTGCAAGGACAAGCGAGGCTCAGCGCTCCGAAATCTTATGCGACGGCGGTGGAAAGACGGAAGCACGGAAGACGCGGGGTAAAGCGAGGTTTGCTTCGATAAGATCGTGTGCTGCTTGGCCAAGAGAGGGTGAGAGCTAAAAGAGTATAGACGACTGACAGAGAGGCTAATAACGGATGATATAGGAACAAAAACCTGGTGCAGTTAATACACTTGAAAGTTAATGGTTCGGGTTCCAGTCGGAGAAATAGACTGTCGAAATAGACTGTCGTAGTGTCGTAACTGGCCGTAAGTCTTCCCGATTGTGATGGAGTCAGTCAAGCCGTCAAGCGTGGGCAGTCCATCGGTCCAGAACAGGTTGTCGGCTTGGCAGACGGCAGGATGGGAGGAAGCTCCACTATGCATCATGGATAATTCATGCAGGGTATTATTTTTATTATCATCAAAAGATATCTACGTAGTATTATTCTAGTTCCCATTCTCGAACCCCGGTCTGGATGGTTTCCTATCTACTGTAGCTCCTGATTAGATTGACGTTCTATTAATAACACCGTGATGCGGAGAAGAATCCCCTCCAAGCTCAGACCCTGTGCGCCTTGAACAGTCTATAATATATATCTACATTTCGTTATCGTACATCACCTGCTCATCTCGAGTCAAATCAATAATCGCACCAAACGCCCCGTTGTCGTTCCTCCGCCATTGCCTCGGTGACTAAGTAGCTGGAAGCTGACCCAAAGATATGTACAATGTCCCGGCTGACGTCATCTGCTTAAAAGAACATGATACTAGCGGAATATGGATGTGTAAGAACCAGGGAAGCACGAAGATACCAGAAGTAAGCGTATTCATCAGACAGGCTTTTTATACTTTGAAGTCCGATCATCACGTCTGGACCGTTCCATCGTACGTGTATTCAACCGTTCGGCAACGGGATCTCCCGTCCGAAGACCGAGAGCAAATGCAAGTTGTGCTGATTGATCAATTGGACGCGCGGACTACCTGCTAATTATGACTTCGAATGGCATAAATAATGTACGAAGTTTAGTCCACCTTGATCGAGCCGTAGATGCGTTGTACAAACGCCCAGCTGGCGAAGAATCCAATCGAACCTGTGCAGAACGAGTTAGAGACCACCTCAAAACCCTCCAGCCTGGTTCATGGACGAAAAACATACCTGTTAATATGAAGACCAGGAAACCGATCAAGGCAGAATAACCCACATAGAGGACTGCCCCTGTGAGTCCACCGAAGCTCACTCGAGTGATCCAGAAAATAAAGGCATTGATGAAAACATAGAAGCCCGTCATTCCGGCTCCAGCGAACGCCCTCCAATGCCACCGGTAGTTTTCAGCGCACAACAAAAAGTAAACCAACAGGACCGTGGTGGCCGCAGTGGTCATGATCATGAGTCCATAACAGAGGAAGAGGAATCCGAACATGTAGTAAATCTTGTTCGTCCACAAAGAAGTCATGATGAAGTACAGCTCCACAAAGATAGCTCCAAAAGGCAAAATGCCCGTAAGTAGCAAAGAAGGAATTGTCCGAAGGCTTCCAGTCATGGGAGGAACTTGTCTCGGAATTTGGTTGGTCTTCGTTGGACCTTCGATTGCCTGAAAATGCAAGTCAGCAGATGCTCGTTAGAGGGTGAGCAAGAACATACTCGTTGCTTGAAACCAAGCCAGCTGCCTGCCACACTTAATGGCACACTGATGACGAACCAAATGAGGACCAGGGCAAGCATGGTTGTGAAAGGTACGGCTCCACTAGAACCCTTGGCCCAGACAAACAGGTTCAGCAGGAAGAAGGTACCAAAGATAAGCCCAGGAATCAAAACCGGAGTCAGGATGATGTTGCGCTTCCAAGCCTCGCCGCCGAATGACTTGTATACGCGAGCCGAGACATAGCCTCCGATGAAGCCAAAAAGGGTGTAAATGAGGAGGATGGCAGTGGCCAAGAAACCGCGGTTTGCTGGCGAGAGAAGACCGAAAAGCGCGAAGACTTTGACAGAATCAGCATTCCGTGCGCACAACGAAAACTTTAGATAAACCTACCAACTGTCACACCAGTCATCATGAAAAGTTGAGCCCCGTTGCCGACAAGCACACTCAGGAGCAAAGGTGACCTGGGGCATCGGAATACATCGCCATGAACCAGCTTCCAGCCAGAATCCTCTTGAATTCCGTCCTCAATGGCAGCTGACGTGCCATCCAAATCTTCGAGATTGATCATGTCCAGGCGGTTGTAACGAGCGATGTCTTTTTTGAGAGCCCTCAGAAGGATCATACTCACCATACCGACCAAGAAAACTACAAACACGGCAGAGTTGATGAGTGAAAACCAATGGATCTTCGGATCGTAAACATGCAAGTACTTATCCCAGCGAGTAGCCCAAGGAGTGGGCGATTCGCGCCAATACACGCCATACGTCCAAGTGACTGGAGTCTCGCCATCTTCGCTCAGAATTACAGCGGCGTCGTCTGCGCCGCACTCCACTGTTCCGTGTTCAAGGACTCTGGAATCACGCCGGGACGCCGGTTGAACGAGCACACCGACAACCCGGTACTTGTCCTTGCTGCCGAACCCTACGCGATGATAGTCAATGACGATATCATAGTGGTTGTTCAGCATTGCCTGCCCATCATCATTCAGAGTGCCGAGCGCGAAACCTGGACTGTAGAACTTGGACTGGGTCACTGCGTCCAGATTCAACTGAGCACCGGGGAGCCCATCCACCAACCAGTTGATATTATAGCCCTGAGCTATCCTTCTGTTGACAAATTTGGCGCTTCGCGAATCGAACTTGACTTCTCCACAAACAGCCTTGCATGATTCATTCTTGCCCATGAACAACTCAAATGGCGATGTCTGGATTCGATCACCGAAAAGAATGCTACCCAATGACTCGCGAACATCTTTCGGTCCATCTGCCGGACGACAAAAGTGGAATGCGGTATGATAGTAGTCGTAAGCGAAGACGGAATGCAGCTGTTCATCTTGTTGCGCTAGCCCCGGGGTAAGATGGTTGACGTAGAGCGGCACAGCTTGGCCTTCATCGTATGAAGTGGGTGCTACACCAGGAAGGTAAAAAGCGGCGGATAATGAAGGAGCTGTCAGGAGAAGAGTAGATATCGTTAACCGTTTGTCGAGCCGCATATTGGGCGCTTCCGGAGGGAAAAGGGGACAATCAGCTCAGGTGTGTCGGTCTAGAATAAACGGGCGAAGCCTAAAGCGGATAAAGATGGCTTATAAAGTATTCGAACTGAACCATAGAGCGAACTGGCGCACCGTGAAGATGAGGCCCTACTCAGAAGATCATGTGTAGGAGAGTGGTCAATAGATGAGACCAACAGGATGAAAGGATTACAATTGTTGGGGAAGCTGGAATAAGTGACAAGCAGTGGTTACTCCGTACGAGCTTTGGTTACCTGGACTTTCCGCAGGGCCAACTAATCCGCGGTCTTGGCACACGTGATAGCTCTCAGATCCCAAGCAACCGGTTAATCATCACGTGCCGATAAGATTTGGGTGATCGAAAAATTTCCCTCAAGATCTTTTACCGCACTCTAGAGTAAGGACCCAGGTTATATAACTATCCAACATTACAATGGCGACCGCAGCGGCTCAAACAGATCCTTCGGGCCTAGAGAATATTTCTACGTTACTGGAGAATCTCACCAGCTGTTTGTCGAGCACCGGGTCGTCCCTTCCGAAAACAAAACGAGGATCACCAACCGACGTCTCCATCGAACCTCCTCACGATGGCATATCGCTTCTTGACACCAAAAGCGACCTGTTACTATCTTATCTACACAACCTGGTTTTCCTTGTCATTTTCCAGTTGAGAGAGGTAGCCCCTGCGGAGTCGAAGGCAGAAGAGAACAGCCATGTCGATGATGGAAACTCGTCACTGCGCGAAGAAATCGTTAAGAAGCTTACCGAGCTCCGCGTGTATTTGGACCGAGGCGTTCGGCCTCTGGAGGGTCGATTGAAGTACCAGGTTGACAAAGTCATCAAGGCTGCAGAGGACGCCGACAGAGCCGAGCGCGGTGTTCAGGCCACGACAAAGAGCAAGGCAAAGAGTGCGAAATCTGCTAGAAACAAGGAATCTGGCTCGGCGGAGAGCTCCGGCAACAGCGAGAGCGATAGTGAAGGAGAAGACGAAGAGGAGGAGGACATTGACGAGATGGCTTACCGGCCGAATATTTCTGCCTTCGCGAAGGGAATAAAGCCGGAGGCTCAGACAGAAGAGAAGGCAGACAAGAACGTGTCAGGGGACGGAATCTATCGGCCTCCGAGAATCATGCCAACTGCACTTCCCACAACCGAACGCAAAGAGCAGAGGGACCGCCGTCCACGCCGATCCAATGTCATTGACGAGTTTGTCAGTGCTGAATTGTCGGCCGCGCCCATGGCAGAGCCCAGCATCGGTAGCACAATTGTCCAAGGAGGAAGACATTCGAAGACCAGGAAGGAAAGGGAGCACGAGGCAGAACGTACTACCTATGAAGAAACCAACTTCGTGCGGTTGGCCAAGGAGAGCAAGAAGGAGAGAGCCAAGCGGCGCGGTCAGGGCAAGGAGAGCACTTTTGGTGGTGAAGAATGGAAAGGTCTTACCGAGGGTGCAGACCGGATCGCAAAGCTCACGCGTAGGGCCAAAGGAAGCGGTAGCGCGCTGGAGAAGAGTCGGAAACGAAAACTTAATGACGATGGACCACGCAGTGATGGCGCGGCAGTTGGTCAGATCTTTGAGAAGCGTCGGAAGAAGGTTGAGAGCTGGAAACGGGCTTAGATGTACATATTTTGGCATTATGGATATGGTCCTGGAGTTCTGTTTATATGTGAGGCAACTGGCATTTCACCGATACCATCAAAAGTTGATCGATTATATATTGTGCCGCCTGTGCGAACTCTAATCAGAGCATCTTCTAACACTACCTCAAATCTGTTATCCAGCGCTAATCATTGATCTAATGAGCTCTGTACATTATTACGTAGATCAGATTTAGCGATGATAAACACATGCTGAAATGGCACCATGTCCAAATTGCATTTTCACATGCGTCGGAAAGCGAATGACATCATCGCCATTTCGGCCTCAGGAACAGGAACAATTAATCAATGAGAAGCCCATCCACCATTCGCTTTATCCTCAGTCCTTCTCAACTCAAAGAGCAACATCATACTTCGAAGGAAGAAAATAGGAAGATGGAAAACCCAGGTTAGCGCCCAGATCCTACAATGATGGCCAATCTGATCTAATGTGACAATGCAGTGTCAGAGATATCAACTGTTATCGAGCAGCTGATAGAGTCACCACCATCAGTTCAGCAGGAAACAATAGAGAAATACTTCACACCATCAGCAGCTTTTGTACATCCATTCTGTCGGGTTCCGAGTTATAATGGCAGCCGATGGGCCATCATCAAGATCTTCCAATGGTACAAGATCATGTCGCCTCGAATTGAGCACCAGATTCATTCCATAGGCAAGTATTCATAGCTCAGTCACTGATCTTGCGGGGTCGCTAACAGTCTACAGCTTATGATGAAAGCCATCTCACTCTCTATATTACCATGTCACAGATATTCTCAATATGGGTAGTCCCTTTCCACGTCTCTCCAGTCAGACTCACCACAGTCATCAACCTTACCACGGATTCTGGAGTCCAGAAGCCCTCGATGGTGAACGGGGATCATACCCTCTACTACATCGCCAAGCAAGAAGATCTGTACCAGGTCTCGGAATGGATCAAGTTTGTGGTTCCCCATGTGGGGCATCTCTTTGTTCTTGCTTTCCAATTATTCGCGACTCTCTTCTGTATGCTTGGTGTTGTCATCTTCTATCCTATCATGTGGCTGGAGGAAAGACGGGTTATTCCTTACAAGATGCTGCGTAAGGGAAACCTTCTGTACAATATTGAGAGGAAGATACCGGAGATTAAGAAAGAATGAGGCGGAAGTCTCGAGAAGGTCGTCAAGTTTAACTGATGTGTTATATTGGCGTTGTTTGGTTACCACCTTCTTGGGGTCTCTACTCTGTTTCCCCCGTGAGCATCAATACAATTCAGAGATTTATTATTAGAACTTTTGTCCAGCCGTCGGCTTCTTATATACATTCCTATTACCTCCTCACACACTGGCGTATATCTGCCTTCTGCAGATTCTTAAACACCTTTCAAGTCTATCCAAAACCAAGAGACCTTTCAATGGACCTGATTCTCTTTGTTCAAGGCAGACAACAGATCCAAGGGCGGGGTGATAGTTATGAGAAGATGGGCTTCTGTGAGTGTATCTTAAACAAACATTGGAGCCCATAACCATGACTCATGGGACATGCGACTAGGTAGTCTTCAATCAATATTGGGATGGCGCTTATGTCATTGAGGCTCCATGACTTGCTTCGATCTTTGGTTTATCTCGTAAGCTTGAGGGAATTAACGAGGAAGATATTGACATAGAAACGTAAGTGTAATTTTTTATAAGTGCTGTCTACAGGAATATCAAACATATTTTTGGATAAGAGTAAAGAAAGAGAAGTCATAAGTATCGTGATAGAGCACCTTTCCGGGGCACCGTCCAGTTTAAGAGTTATGCTTTGCTGGGTGGTAGCATCAAAACCATACAAACGTTTTAATGCTGCTTCCTCAACTCTTGTCGGAACGATTCTTCTTGCCTGACGACCTCCAGCGGAAGCGTACGGCCAATGCCAAAGAGCACGAATGGCGCCCACTTCCAGCGGAATGGGTTGACAAGAATTACGAAGATGTACCAATAAATCAATTCGGCGTAAGTGAAGAAGTCAAAAGCTCCTGTCGGAGCCAGCCGTTTCATCAAGCGCGTAAAGTCGATCCAGGTCTTCATCCGACCTTCTGTTGGCCGCGATAGAGGATCAACCAGGAACATCAGCAGGAAGCGCGTGTATATACCAATGTGCATGTTTCCCACAGTGCCGATGGCATTGATGTAGGTGCTGTTGTTGGCGCAGATGCTTGGATACTTTGGAGGGAAGACCTGGAGATACCAGCTGGGTGGGCCGTATGGGTCTTCAAAACAATCGTGGGGCAGGAAGTTGAGCGATGGACGCTTGAAGCCCGTTGCCATGATGATCACATCTCCGGGAACAACCGATTCATGTCCGGGACCACCCTTGGGGACTCCTCGTGAGCGATGATTGAACATGACACCATCCTCTGAGAGAGAGACAATGTCTCCGCGTAGCCAGCGTGCTTTACCCTGGCGGATCTGGTCAAAGAGCTCCGAGTTGGCCATGGGAGTTTCGGTGTAGAGACCGCTTGATGGGGCGATGTCCTGGAGATCCCGATAGAAAAGCTTGTGTAGCAACCGCTCCGGAATCCATGACAAGAATGTCTCCTGTCCAAAGATGTTCATGGCTAGCAGCGACTGGACGAATACGTTGCGCGGGATAATCCACTTATCGGACCGTGACAGCACGTCAATCTCACTCGCCTTAGACTTGACGGCAAATTCCAGCGCTTCAATGGCACTGGCGCCACCGCCAATGATGAGCACCTTCTTGCCCTCGACGTCTTTCCCATCGAGCTCAGAAGAATGGAAAATCTTGCCTTTAAAGCGGTCTTGATCCGGAAGAGGCGGCATCTTTGGATCACCGCAAACGCCAACAGATGCGATCACGCCATCGAAGCGTCCATACTCTTCCTCGTTGTCGTTAACGATCCATTTTCCGTCCTTTGTCTGTTTGACGGACGTAACTGGAGTGTCGAAAACGGTGCGCTTCTGGAGGCCGTAGCGTTTCCACACGTCAATGATCTGCTCGCGAATTTCCTGTTGCGAGGGATAGGCGGTAGTGTATTTCACTGATGGATGGAATCGGTACATTATACTATGAACCTGCAAGGATGAGGTAGAGTTGACGCGCTGGATGAGATTGCATTAGCAGATTTCGAATCAAGCTCATGGTGAACAACGTACACTCCAGATGCCTCCGAGGCCTTTATCTTTAGGACGGGCTTCAAATAACTGCACATCGAATCCATGTCCAATGCAGTGCGCCGCGGACGATACGCCGGTCAAACCAGCACCAATGACAGCTACTCTTTTCTTGGGAAGACCATTGGCAGTTGATGCTGGAGGCGGAGGCGCAGGAGAGAAAATCCAGGTGAGGATATTCTGGAATAGCACATAGAATAAACTGAACACCACGAGGAATGGATGTGTGAAGAAGTCCACAATCGTGGACTTGGCTTTTGATTGAGCCATAGAAGATGAACACTCAGATTATCCTGAGGGATATTGCGACTTTGTATGACAGACAAATTATAGCAAGGCTAACACCTAATTGCCCAACTGAACGATGGAACGGGGAACCTCAGACAAGAGGGAAGTATGGAAAGCGAAGGTAATATGAGAGAATTGTTTACAAAAAGGAAAATAAGCAGGGAATCAGACTTCTTTTCAATGGTATCCGAGATAGATCTTTTTCCTGGCCTGCTCTGAATGTTGGTGGTGGTGTGGTTCAAGCAATGACGTAGGTGAGTGGACCACATTCATGTGAAAGTGGACGAGGGAATGAAGTGTTTGCTGCTTCCTTGTGATTGTTCTCGTCCCACGACGTCCGGCATCATCATTTCGCCAGATATTGCAGGGGTGCGTTATTTTTATCAAGTTTGACAACATTTCGAAGATACTCACCCGAGGTAGGCAAATAATGAACGTCTATGCTCCTGGATAGAGCGGACGACTCACCATTATAACGAGTTCACTTCACCAGATCACCAGATCATCATGGCACCTAAGCACCCAACCCAAATGACCTAAAGCTTGTTTCTTACTACATAAATGCAATCCTGAAATGGTGATATTCTGAAGTATGGCAAGCAATAGATCATTGGCGAGCGTCCCTTCGAAAGAGCAGGCATCGAGCCCGAGATACCTATATCTCATAAGTATTGCCCAGGGAGACACATGTGATTAGACCGTTGTGTATATGGTCGAGCCTCCAATGCTCTCCTTGTAGGTTATAATCATTCCGTAGGGTAGCAAGCCTCCTAGCGCCATAGTCCTTTTGTATCTCCGGGGTGATTTCCAGGATCTAGCGCAGACACTGGAGGTGATTGGCAGGCATATATTTAGTTTAAGCTTCCCCTAAGGTACCTTCCTCTATTCTCCACTCGAATACATCCATAGAGCCTTTGGGCCACTCAGAATATATAGGATAAAGTACCCTGTTAGCGAGCCATCGTTTCCATCATATGATGAGGAATTGATGTATCCCTTGCAAATTCCAACATCTCTGGTCAATGGCCTGAGGCACCACTCCCAGTGCGAATTGAAGGTCGAGACACTGTAGCCAAAAGAAGGACCTCTCAAACACTGACAGACGAAATACTCGTTTGTATTCTCTCCCACCTGTCAATTGCCGCCGGTGTAGCTTCCCTTTCGCTTCAGCGTCGACGGCTGTATCAACGGTGTGACATGTTTAACCGACGCAGATACCGCCGGGTGAAGCTACGAGAGACTTTGGATCTCGCAGTAGTCTCCAAGACGTTGTGCTCAATTCTGAAACGCCCAGACTGGGCTCATATGCTCGCTATCTCAAGCTGAATCGATCGCCATCCTTGTAACATGTATATGTGCGGTCCTATGAACCAAAACCACGCAAAACGCAAGAACTGTATCGAGACCCGCGCAACACGAGGATGATCTTTGGCAAAGAGATACAGATAACAAGTGGACGCACCACGAGTATCAATAGGTCTTGGTGGATCTTGAAGTCCAATATAAACTTAGCTTTCACCTATCCTTCTGCGCTCTGCCTCACAGTCACCGCTGTAACTAGAACTGCCGCGTCCCGAGTACAACGATTATTGTAGCCCGGAGACAAGATCTTGCATGATTTCCAAAATTGTATATTGTGTGATGGAGGCTTGGTTTCTCCAATCCCCTTCAAGGATTGGCCCATGCATGTAATCCAGGCTATTTGGACTTCGTCACGCTGTATATAGCGAATTAAATAATCTCCATATTCGGCTTTCCGAAGTGATGAGCACGATGATTATTATCCAGATAGGTGTGGCAGGTGTCCCTAGACAATAAAACAAAGAGTACCTCGTAGAGCTAACCACGAAAGGGATTGGTCTGCGGTCAGTTATCGTCTCTTCCGCCCGCCACAAAGAGCTTAATCTCCGGAGCTTCTTTCGCGGTTGTCAAGTCTCTACCCACGAAGGCACGCTCAACCACATTCTTTGCGCTGCTTACGATCTCAATTCTTTTTCTGTATAAGGAGAATAATGCGCTCTTACCGATAATTATCTACTCTCCTCACAGTTCGTACGACCGCTGAGCTCCTATGACCGCCAACACCTTGAATCTATCCACCACCTTTCCGACGTCAACTATCCCTCCTATTGCTGCTTCTCACGACTACCAACTATGGCGGGCCAGGGCACTCCTGTATTGGATCGCTTCCTAGCAGGAATAGCTGATCTCGTGAAAGAGCGCGATGGAGCCAAGCTCCAGGATTTCTTGCAGATCGAACCTCCTCTCCCGGACGTGTACCGACAGATGGTGGACGAGCTACGACAACAATACCCCAGCGGATCGCCAAGAGAAGGAAACCTGTTACGACGATGCGAAGAGGTTGTGCCGCGCACCAAAGGAGCTAGCTCGTGGGCGGCCTTCCCTACATTCATGAAGCTATATTTCAGCTTCCTTCGCGATGTCAATGTCGACAACCTCCTCGAGACGTATAACCTACTCAAGGGACTTCTCAAGTAAGTCGCCGCCGTCTATTTCCTGTCTACACGATCTTCTTGTCTCGGGCTCGATCACCCAGCGAGTTTCTGACCGATATTTCCGCTTTCGTGACGCGATGACTGATTCGTGCCTTTTTGAACCAAACAGCCAATGCGTCATAGCTCTCGGCGACAGTCAGATGGGTGTGATAGTGTTACCGACCGTTCTCTATTTGTCCAAAGTCCTTGCAAAGTTAGCAATGGGTCTGGACCGTCGGCCAGAATTGATTGCACACTTGTTGAGGCAGGAGGGTAGTTCGAGCCAGGAAGAGAGCGTTGAGAAAGTCACCCTCGTGGAGCGGTCGGCAAACGTCGTCCGTGAAGCCTTCATCAAGTGCCTTACCGATCGGAGCGGCACCCCAGGGATTCATGGAAAGCCCGAGGGCAAGCGAGTGGGCATCTATCTTATGGCCAATCTGTGCTTGAAACTACTCTTTCAGGTATGCATTGATCCTCGACATACAGTTCATCGTTATCAATTACGCATCGACTGAAACAATCATACAGTGCGGCAAGCTGCGAAATGCGGAACAGATGTTCGCCAGCATCAGTGCCCAGTCACCGCC